AAGATTTGTATCTTCTATTGAATATCACAATTACTGTATCTGAAGATTTGAGATAAATCCCAGTATCATTTGAATTCCAGGCATCGGTTGGCATGTCCACAAGTTTCAATTTGAAGAATGCGTCCTCATTCGTATTGTGTATTCCTAATAGATGCATCACTTGAAAAGTTTTTCCCATAAATTGAGATGTAATCCTCAGGAAATTGATTTTTTCTAAAAGTTTGTAAAATGCATGGATGAACAGCTCGTTCCGAACATCCAACAATGGTCATTCTACATGTCTGAAGAGTTTCCTCACTCTGAATTCCTTGTAGCAATTGGTGTTTGTAAGTGTCATTGTCAAAATAATGTTGATTATCAGAATTTTCTGATGGACTCAATGTGAGATTCCTTAAAGAGTGATGTTTCAATAAGTTTTTCAGGGAATTCTTCTTTTTCAATGATGTATTATATTGGGATGGATCGTAAAATTCATGAATATGCACATGTTCCAATGAAAATGGTTTAATTTCTCTCAAAAATTCCGAACAAATTGAAATGACACACTTCCTTATCGAATAATCTTCTCCCAACTCGAAGAAACCCTCATAATCACTTCCAACAATAGATTCAACAACTGTTGGGACATTCACATCACCAGCAACTGCTGTATTATTCCTATAATTTGGAGGTATCGAATTTACCTTATTCGACAAACTATTCGAATGTTTTACAATTAATTCCTCACTTAAAATTCCCTCAAAATATTGAATCCTCCTCCTCACTCTCACAATAAACTCCTGTAAAACTCCTTGCATGATAAGAGCTTGATGTTGAACTGAATTTAAACCTTTCGAATTTCGATTATTCATTTCCAATATTCTCCTATTCGTTAGTTGATTAAGGAAGGGTATCGTATTTTGTAATTGGTGCCTCCACATACTATCATTAGGTTCAATTATATGAAAAATGTAGGATTGAAAAAGTTTGCAACTCGATGAAAATTGAAGAATGTCTGGAAGGCAAAGAAATGGAAAAATTAAATCGAATATTAATTCGAAAGGGAGTTGTTTGAAAGTCTTGTGGTTGATTTCTAGGGAGGATTGAATGTAGAGGTGAGAAATGGGCCGTTTCGTATTTGATGATGAAGTGTTGGTAGAACTATTCGAATCGGAAGAACGAAAGTCATGTTCATGATTGTTTTGAGGAGTTGGTGCAGAGAAAGCCTTGAATTTAGTTAGATGATTAGTTCGGACACATTTAATATCATCACCATGGTCTTCATCAGTTTCCAATATTATATCTGAAAGTGGTTGAATTTGTTTCTTGAAAATGTTTCTTTCGGCTGTTTTACTAACGGTCTGCAAGATTTTGTTATCTGTTTTAATCGCTGATGATGTTGATGGTTCAGACAATTTACCATTGACCTTTCGAATAGGAAGTTGTGTCATTTTGTTCGAAAAGTTTATTGGTGATTTGTCCATTTGCATCTCGTATTGACAGCTGTTATAATTTCTCAAATTGTCATCTCCAACACTTTCTATTCGAAATGCCTCAACACTTTCACATCCTAAACTTTTTGTAAACTTTCTTCTTTACAAAATAATATTATTGAATGAAATACAAAAATCAAATTTCTCAATAATAATAATACAAAAAAAAATGCAAAACTCAAACACAGGCGACACCACATCAACCTCTCATACAACGCTGCCGCAGCCACCATCAAAAAATTCGGAATTTTCCTTCCTCACCAATTCCGATGGTTATTCATCAATAGAAGATGAAGAACAATTTTCCAAATTAAAACCAAAACGATATGGTGGAGAGTTGGATGAGGGACATGCCTTTTACTTCTCCGATATGATTGATATTATGTCGAAGGAGAAGGATTTGAATAGAAAGTTTTATCGGATGAGAGTTTTGTTGCACGGGAGTAGGGAGAAGAAGGAACGACCATTGTTTCAGCATGAATCTGATGTGGTATTGTCGTGGACTTCATCATTGAGGGCTTCGGAGGTGATGTATCGATCAGTGCAAGCTTTTGGCACTGGATTGGAACGTGATTTGCAGAAATTGGTTGAGTTTGGACTTGTGAATCACTTGTTGATATTTATTACACATGGATATAGATTTAGATTTTGGGATGAGGGAGCTCCTACGAGAGATGATGTTTCAGTAGATCATTTCCTATATGAACCACGCAATTTTCAAGATATGTCGCTTCACTATCCAATGTATGCTGCAGAAACATTATTGTTAATTCTTAAACACTCGGACTGGAATACCTTTTTGGCAATTATGGAACGATACTTTTCTAGTAAGCAAAATGGACCTAGAAGTAGTAAATTAATTAATGATGGAAAGCACACCATTATGAATGGTGTCGGTGTATTTTACAAATCATTGAAATATGGATTGGCAGGAATGAAGGAAACTATACTCGTCATTCTCAAAACCATTCACACTCGATGCAAAACATTCCAAAAGAATATACTCTACAATACTAAATTCCCACTCATTGAAGCATTGTTTGAATGCATCGATTCTCTGACGCCAGAGAATCTCTGCAAAGAACTCAGCACTCTTCCAGGTGAAGCTCAAAAGAGGCATTTTGGTAACAGGTTTGACCCTACTACAGAAAGTGGAAAAATTGTAATAGGGTATTGGACAGAAAATGTTAGAGATTCAATTGTTGATGTTATTGGAATCTTTTTAAATGAAGCCAAGAAAAATGGCAATAGAAAAATGTATTTGGATCCAAAGTATGTCTTTCCGTGGACTGAGGAAGAAATCAAGGTCAAGCCAGACAGAGCAAACTATAACAAAATATTGCACCGAATGACAGATCTGATTTATCAAAAGCCACTCACTGAATTGAAAGTGATACAATATCATTATTGGTTACCTGGAATGTTTTCAAACATGCTATTTGAGAAGGAAGTTTGTGACAGCTCTAATTCCTTGGAACAAGTGATTGACATTGATTATCAATTATTGGACTTTATTTCAGGAGAGGATGAAATGTTGGACAAGTTGTTTGGCTTTATGAAGAGATTGTATCATGATCCAATGTACAAATTGTCAAACTTTCTCGAGTCAACACGTCGCTTTTTGATTGCTCACGATGGAACTGATCATCCATTCGAAATTACACATAATAAGTTCAGACATTTGATGGAAATGATAGAGTTATCAATGGTGGATTTACTTTCTTGGATTACATGCAATTCTTTAACAGCTTACAAATGTGTACAATATGATAATCACATTCTAATGGAGGATTTTCTTAAGCAAGATAACAACTTTACGGAATATTTAAATATGGATGTATTTTCAAAACCTGCTCTTTCATTCCATTCAATACTAGATGAAACAGAAGGCTACTATTCTATGGGAAGGAATACATGCATTCTCTCCATCATACACAACATGTTCATTGCCGCTCCTGAGCATGCCAATAGGCTGCCGGATATACATAACTTGCTGCTTAAAGGTGTAATCGAAAATAAGGATCTGATTAATACTTGTTTTGTGAGTGGCATTAAGAATTATCAAATTGGATTACATGCTTATATAAGTTTATTTAGAGTGTTTGGAGAGTTAATGGAAGAGTTTGTTGGAAAGGCACAAGTCGATCAACAAAGAGCCATACTTTCTAGTAACATTGGTGAAATGTGTTTGAGAATTGATAAACATGATCTTGCCGAAAAGTATCTGAAATACTCCCTCAAATATGATCCAAATAACGAAAAGACAAAGAGAAGACTTGATAGAGTAAAGAAATAAAATGAAATGTGTATAATGTTCACAATAAATTCATAGCTGCCATCTATCGTACTTCAAAAGCTGTAAAGGAAAGAAATAAAACTGTAATGTCTTCCTTCTAATAAAAACTATTTAATGCCAAGATTGATTTAAAATCATAAGCAACAAATCTTGATAATTCCAACCAATTTCTCTAGCAGCAATTGCAGATAAACTGTCTTGATTGTCTCTATTATCTCTTCCAGGTCCTGTCATGTTTGGTTTCATATTCAAATCAAACATTTTAAACTCAACAGAGTCTGAAGTTTGGTGAGATCGACAGTCAATTCTAATTGGAGCCTTAGCTTGAACAAGCTCAGCAGCTTTTTCACATGCTTTAATTATCTTTTGGATGGCTTCATCTGAATCAAAATCCTTCAATACTACACTATTATTTACAACTGCCACAATACCATTGTATGGAGCAACACCATTTTGATGGTTGAATCTTTTTACAGGTGGAAGAGCCCAATGATTTGAAAATTCCATTTCTTGAATATCGTACATTATATAATTTCCTGGTGGCATGACAGTCAGTGTCAATTCATCACCATTTAAAAATTCCTCAACTATAAAATAATAGCCATATTTTGGAACTGGTTTGTTATTCACTTGAATGGTTTGGTTGATTAATTGAGTTGACTTTTCTACAAAACTGTCAAAATTATCAACCTTTTCAACTCCTTCACTTCCTCTTCCTCTCACAGGTTTAATAATGAGTGGAAATTCAATACCGTTCTCCCTCAAAGATTCCTCAGATAATTCCTCCAAAATTTTAATACCTTCCTTATAAAATCCAAGTAATTTCATTTCTTCCAACTTTTCCCTCGTAGAGACAATCAATGAATTAGCAACTGGTAAATTCTCCTTCTTTAACATTTGATTCGTATCAAACTTGTCATCAAATTGTTGAACCAACTTTGGATGTTGTCCAACAAATTCCACTCCTCTCAAATCCAAACCACACCACTCACTCACTTCACATTGACTCTCCACTTGTTTCTGTTGAGCTCTGATCAAATCATGCAACGGATGCTCCTCAAACAATACAGTATTTGCCCAAATCACCTTTGCACCCTTCTTCAAACACTCCTCAATACCTTCCTTTGAATCGGGAAAAACCCACTCCAAATCATCCCACAATTTAGCATCATCCACACTCATCATCCTAATCAACATATCATGAAGATGCAACATGCCTCTTTGTGGTGTTACAATGGTTCGATTTGCCGCCAATAAATTAAAGGCAATATCAGCGCCCGAATCCTTGTACCCACCTGGTTTGCACGGCTTGAGAATACCATCAATGGTCGGAGGTTGAATGGCTTGATAGAGAATGGCAATGGGTTGATGTCTTTTCATTTTTTTTTAAAAAGAAATAAAAATTTGAAAAAGTTATTTTGCAATTGGAAACAATTGAATTATTGGAATCAATACGAAAGATATGGTTTCGAATTTCGAAGAATAAATTGGATAAAGAAGTTATTCGAAAGGTAAGTGATATTAAGTTGAATGGTGTAATTGATGTTTGTAAAATTGTTTTTTGTAACTTGGGTTCGATTTAACGGTTATCTTTATGACAAGCAAATACCGCCAGTCAAATGTCAAACACTACCATTAAAAAAAATGAGGCCTCATGCCGTGGCCTCTTCATCGAGTCTCTCCACACGACCTATGGTTAGAAAGATAGTTTCCGATATTGAAAACTTTCTCATCGAAGGTTTGTGTTTTAAAATTCACAAGAAAATTAATTTTCCCGCTTCTTTTTGAAATCTTTGAAAAAACGGAAAAAAATTTGAAAAAACCAAAAATCTTCATCATTTGTTTTTATTCATTTAAATAATTATTATTATTATATTACTATAACAACAAAATGTCGGAATTTTGCTGGAAATACTCTCGGAATGGATCATATAATCGAATGAAAATTTTGGAAAATTCATGATGATATCAAAATAGTTGAGAAAAGTAAAGACCAAGTGATTCCGGTCATTCCCATCACAGCCTCCTACTATCGAGATAAGGTTTCCTACTTTAAAGAACAATTGAGAAAGCAGAGATTGTATTCCAATCAGACAGCCACTCTCCTTCCTTCAGCTAGTAATTTTGCAGATGATTCATCCTCATCCTTCCAACAACAACAACATTCAACAACTACCTCTCCCTTCAATCCATCAACAAAGAGATTTATAGGAGGGAATGCATCACCGAATAATGGACCAGTTACCATCACAAAGAAAGGAACTGATAATTCTGTAAATAGTGATTTGGATTATTTCGATGATAAGTGGAGTCTCTACAGAGAGTACATTACTCTCCAGAAACAAATTGAGGAAGTTCAACAGGATTCGGATTTGAATTATATTGAAATGAGAAGGAGAGTCGATTTGGCTCAAGTTTTCAGAGAACATGGAGAATTTTCTGAAGCTTTTATTCAATTAGAACTTGTGGAACAGTCGGCTCAACAGAAGGCAGAGAGTGGTGAATTTGATCCAAAAGTTGAGTTGTTACATGCCAAATGTCTGTTTTTACTTTCAATTGTTTTGAAACAAAAGAATAGATCAGATGATGCAACAGAATATTTGGAATCTTCAAAGGAAAGAACTGATTACTTGCTCAAAGTAATTTCTCCAGCAAATACTCACAAGGATCAGTGTACTAATTTTGTTTTCAAATCGGCTCGTTTACTGCTCTCTGAAATTTCCCTGTACAGCTCTGAGGATTTAATTTCACAACAACAAAAGAACTTTCAAGCCCTTCCATTGGGTCAAAAACTCACCATCAATGAAGAAGCAAATATTGAAAAGATTTTGAGTGAATATCTCATACCTGGCTTGCAGAATGTGAAAATTGTGAGTGGCTCCCAGAAGGTTACAGTTTCCAATTTGGAAGTTTTCAGAAATTTGTGTTACTACTCTGCTGTTTGTATGATGATGTTGAGGGAAAACAAACTTTCCAAACAGTTACTCTCTGTCGCAGAGAATACCTCTCCACTCAAATCAAATGGAAAGAATCACAATAGAAGTGATAGTGACATTTATCTGGAAGCCAATGTGGAAATTGATAAGAAAATTACTAAACTAGCCATCGATATCAAAATTGCAGAGGAAAAGATGGAAAAGGAAAAGCAAGCATCAACCTCTCAAAAGCACACCTCAAAGAATCACAAATTTAAGGATGATAGTGATGAAAGCGACGATGATGCTTGGGATGATTTTGTGCCAACAGGAGCTCTCTCTGGCTTGGCTAAACTAATTCTAGGAGATAACAGTGAAGAGGAAGACGCAGATGAAGATCCAATCAGTACTGACATCTTCCCTTCCAAATACAGACTTTTCAAGTCTAGAATTTATAAGGAGGAAGACGACAAGTTACCTCAATGTATTTTAACAGACTCGCTGGTGAATCCAATTGGAGTGTCTCCCATGTCACCAGCTTGCAGTAATACATTTAGTAATAGAGAGGAATTTAAAAAGTGGATACAACTCTTGAATGCAATTCCAACCAATCCAAATCCTTACACACAAAACATTCCAGTAACAATTTTCGGATATAGTCTTAATGATCGATTGCAAATGAATGGTAATCAATTGTGCAGTCTCTACGATAAGCTGATACAGAGCGAGGCATTTACCTCAAAATGGATCAAAGTGTATTTTGAGCTGTGCACTCGGTTGTACAATGTCAGCTCGATGGAAATGATGATTTCACAACAACAAACAGAAGTTTCTCAACAGGCTCTCTCACTCCAACAAAAATGTGCACAAATGCTGTTGAACTATTTCAACTTGTTAAAGCAACACAAAACCAAGCATTCTTCAATGTCTTCATCTATTATTTCTGCATCCATGTCTAATATAGATTCGAATCCAGATATCATGAGCAAATTGAATGATATTTCAGACAAGTTGGTCGAAAAGAAAGCCTTCCTTTTCACAGTAAGTATGGAAATGTTTGCCATTGCAGGTAGACTCTTCCATCCAGAAGAAGAGGAAATTGGATTTATTGTAGGTGTGTTGAAGGAATGGTTTGGTTCTCAGATAATGTACATTCAATTGGCCAAACTTCAAGCAACCATCCGATTCCACATGAGATTATTCCGATATGATTGCATGATGCCAATGAAGGAAGAAATTAGAAAAGTCTACGATGAATTACTTAATTTATTCGATAATATTGAATCTGCTGAATCATTACCAACTGCCGAGAGTCCACAACCTAATGCTGTCAACCACAGATCATCTGCAAGAAATAATCAAGCTTACAGTATTGAAAAGCACTATTCTCCAAATCTTTCCACAGTTGCTGCCAAGGTCATTATTCTGTTCCACAGATATCACAACTTTTGGATCACATCTCTGAGAAGAGGTTCTGCAGATGATGAATGGGCCTACATGCCAGAGCTACCAAAGCACAAACTCTTATCAGATAAGGAAAGATTTTCACTCCTCCTAAGAAAGTATTATCCAAAGATTCCTCTCTGTCATACGAAAGCAGAAGTTGCCTATACTGTTGGAAGTTACTGGTTGAGACAACCTAAATCTAAGGATGATAGACAATTGGCAGAGTGTGTTCTCTTTGAATGTATATATCTGTATTATAAGTTGAGTCAGAGCGTTCAATCTTTTGGTTTTTCATTCATGATTACCAATGATGCTCTAAAGGCATTGAAGAAATTTTCAGAGGTTCTCTATGCCAATGACAAGTACGAGTACTCCTCCCTGTGCTATGAAGTCTATGTGAACAATTACAAATTGTTGAGAGGACGACACGATTATCAGTTCATTGACGATCTCACATCCGTAACAACGAAACACAATGACTACAAGCACTCTGTCAAGTATTATGAAATTCTCTACGAAAAGGCAAAGGAAGAAAAGAAGATTCCACAAATTGCCAGACTATCAACAAAATTGGCCAATCTTTATATGGAAAAGGGTGAAGTATTGGAAGCAGAGAGAATTAAATTGGAATCGATTGACTATGCCAAGAGATATGGTACATTGATGGACTATAAGACGGATCTTGAAATTGAGCTGGGCACCTTACTGTTGCAGGGAGGTAAATTTGAGAAGTGTATTGCTGTACTTTATAGTGTAGCACAAGAACAGGCCAACAAGAGACACATTGTCTATGAAATTCTATCGAGAGCCTACCTCAAGAAACGTTGGTTTGCCGAGTGTGAAGATTCTCTCACAGAAATAGCCAATGTATTGGTAAACTTTTATATTCAATTGAACCAACAACAAGAAATGAGAATTTTGGAAACTGTGAGCAAGTACTACTTTAAACGTAGCATGTTTGGATATGCACTCGAGTGTGTAAATATTGCCCTCTATAGATGTTCAGGAACATTTGCTGTTCTTGCCAATCTATTCAAGCTTAAGGGAAAGATTCTGAAATCAATTTGTCAGTACAGCACTCGTCTCTCCTTCCCATGTTCTATTAGTGAATCTACGGAGGAAGAATTACATCAGCTTGTCACCCAAATAGAACAAACTCCTTCCAATAGAAATAATCTCTATGAAGGTATCAATGAAAATGATTGTTCCTTTGTTTTCAGCAAGAGGCCAACTTACTACTGCGTTGCACAACTGTTACAGGATTGCATCGACTGTTTCACAAAAGCTGCTGGATACTATGAAGCTTGTTCAAATCAAATTGGAGAGGCCAAGGTTAATTTGCTAATTTCTGAAACTCTACTTGATTATTTGTTTGTTCCTGTTGCTCTTCTTGGAAAGGATCCAGAGCCATATATCAAGCTCAAAGAACAGAGTGAGGAAAATAGAAAGAAGAATGCTGATCCTCAACACAGCCAATTCAAACCTATTACACCATTGGACTATCTCGATTTGAATCACATATTTGCAAACTATATTGAAGCTGCATTGGAAACTTCAGTGGCTGCATGTGATGTCTTTTTGTGCATGAATTCGTATATCACTTCTGCCGAGTGTAAATATTTGCAAGGCAAAATTTCAAGTGCCAAGAGTTTTTGGTGTGAATGTAGAGATGTTCTTTTCACTCTTTTCATTGATAGTGACTCACATGTGATATTGTCATCTGGTACTCCACTTGGTGTTATTGAAAAGCTCATGATTATTGTAAAGAGAATGGTTCGTCTCTTGTTCTGCTTTGAACCTGAATTTGTCAATCAACATTTAGGAATTTTTGATGTATACTATGTAATTGATATTCAATATGAACAGGCAGCTAAAAGATTGCCAACATTTGATGCTGAAAGTGAATACGTCGATAAGGATCAGCAACATCCATTATCCCTCGAGTATTATAACAATTACTTCTACTCAAATTTGGATAAGATTATTGGAAATAATAAGCAATTATCAGAGGCAGATAAGCAACTTCTCATCAAGAACAAACTCTTTGAAATTTTACAAAAGAGAGTGACTGCCACTTCTTCAACCTATTTAACACCTTCACTACCTTCTTCCTTCTCTTCTTCATCTCTGAGTACATTGACTACACTTAGAAAGGGTACTCTAAAGAAGTCAGCCTCCATTTCATCCAGCTCAAGTAATGATAAATCAAGCGAAGGATCATTGGGAAGTGCCACAATTTCACAATTCCTAGATGTTCCAACAACAACACACAAGAAGAGCTCACCATCAGAATTTATCAAACCAAACATGACTCAACTCAAGCAAAAGATTTTGGAAAGAGTTTTCGGATGTATCTTGACTATGAAGCAAGACAGTAAAAAGTATTCGAATGAAATTCACGACAGACTTAAGGCCAGAAATCAAGAATGTATGAGAAGATTGTACAATTTAATGAATGCCATCAGAGAGAGTGGAATTTCTATCTCCAAACACAAGAAGGGTAAGAAAGGTGCCTCTACCATTAATTTCTCAAATGAAGCTCCTTTGAGTCCACTCTTTGCAAAATCTCCACATATTGTCTCGCCAAAACAACGTGAAAGATCCATGTCTGTTGATGCTGGAAACACTGGAGGTACTCTGATGACAATGGACTTGCTTCCAGGAGATGTAGAATTGATGGAAATGCTTATCAGAACTGTAAATCTCCAAAAGGGAACAAAATTGAAAGGAACCATTCAACAAACTATGAATATTCACCTCATCTTGGAAAGAAACATTGCAAGGTATACATCCATTTCACCAGATATTAATTGCCTTGAGGAAAATTTCAAACTCGTCCAAAAGATGAAACTGTTGGACCAATTGGTCTATGTCTTTTATATTGACAGTGTTTTGATTTTCTACATTCCTAAAGAAGGTAGAAAGGTTGTCATACCTTTTGGTGGAAGAGATCACGCAATATTGGATGATAAAATTAGAAATGTTATCGATCTCAATGAAAGCCCGGCTACTCCAAGACGAGGTCAAAACGATTCTGTGGAATTCCTCTCCAATAAGGTATCCAATTGGAGTACAAAAGATTTAGGAAAGGACTTGACTCTCATTGACGATTACTTACTCACTTTGATAACCAGGAGTGCTCGAGAAAAGAAAACTAAAAAGTTTACTCACGAAGATATTGTCAAGGGATTGAGCAAGGTTCTGAATGCCCAATCAGTATTCTCATACAAGCCAGACCTTGCTAAATACGAAGAATTCAAAAAGAGTATTTCACTGCTGAACTTTTCCTTCAAACAATTATACACTCAAAAAACAGGAACAATCTCAGGTACTTTATCATCAACATTTGGTCGTAAAAAATCTATTGGCTCAATACCAAAACTCGATCAATTACCAACCTTTGATGATCATATTATTCTTCTCTGTAATAGTTTCCTGAATGTAATACCTTGGGAGCTTCTGTTTGAAGTTAGCTTGACGAGAGTGAATGCTATTCAGTACTTTATTGGAAGAATCAAGAAGAAGAAATCCAGTGAAGCCAAGATTAGTAGATTCATTGCTTTCTACTCTGAAGATGAAGCCAAATTCATTTTGCCTGCAGAACAAGAAAGAAAGGAATGGATTTTCGAAGATATTCAATGTAAGCTCAACTTTAGAAGATCAAAAACTGCTGGAAGAATTCACAAAGATTTACAAGATATTCCGTTCCACACACCAATCATTAAGAATGGAAAGAAACCAACCAAGAGTAGCTACAAGAAAAAGTATGAATTTGTTTCATTTATTGAACTTTCCTCGATTGTCAATGCCCAAAACTCAAATCTGATACGTACCCTCCAAGAAAAGGTTGGCAAAGATGAATTCCCAGTCTTCCTTTTCACATGGTCCGATTTGGCAAACCTCTCCAATATTATTCACTTCATCTTTTTGTACATTCCTGATTGCTCTCTGTTATTTGTTCCAGAAATGGATATGAAGAAGTGTGTGAAATATCTCATGATGTTATTGGAAACCTACTTGCCCCAATTATGCTCATCATCTCCAAAAACTCTCAGTGTTCCAATGATGAATGGTGGTGACAGTACTACACCATCAACACCAAATGGTGAATCAACCAATTCATCATCCATTCCACCAGAAAGAAGAAACCTTCACAAATTCTTACTCTTTGCCACCAAACTTCTGAAGGATGAATTCGAAATCCCAACAGCTCTCTTCTTCCCTCCATCTCTCTATACCAAACCAACTAAAAAGAAACCAAGTGCTTCTTCCTCCTTCTTTGATGTTTCTCCGAGAAGGTAAAAATACATTCACATTTCAATGAATCTTTGCATTTTCATTTTGGTACTTTCCACATACATGCTTTTCAATCAATTATCATTATTTCACCATTTTCACCCATATCAATTTGATTGGTATTCAATAAATCTTTGTATTCGATTCCATCATGGATTGCGCCAAAATTGATTTGATGATGAAACCTTAATCAAAAAAAAATGCTCAAACATCATACCAGGCGATTTATTCTCTCTCGTTGCTCAACGACGGAGAAGATGAATTTGTTATTTAAAATTAGCAATAGTAGTAGTGGATCTTTGTCATCTTGCTGTTCCGTATCATCTGATGTGATGAAAAAGTTTAATCATGATGGAAAGTTGTCGGAAAGAACAAGTGGAATGATGAATTTTAGTACAATGCTGTCGAGTCAATTGGCCAAATCGATTGAACAACAATATCAAAAAAAGACTCCTATTGAACATGTTTTGGAAAGACCGGATACCTATGTAGGAAGTACGGAGAGGATGAAAAAGAAGTTATTCTGCTTGGATTCTGTTAATAATATCAAATTGAAGGAAGTTGATTTTATACCTGCATTGTATAGAATTATTGATGAAATTTTGGTCAATGCTGTGGATAACCATCATAGAAAAGGAACACATACTAATGAACTGAGAGTCACAATTGATGAAGCAAAAAATTGGATTCACATCCGAAATAATGGCAAGTCAGTTCCAGTGGAAATGCACAAGATTGAGAAAATTTACGTCCCTGAATTGGTATTTGGTAACTTGTTGACTGGTTCTAATTTTGATGACAATGAAGTTAAATTCACAGGAGGTAGAAATGGATACGGAGCAAAATTAGCAAATATTTTCAGTACAGATTTTACTATTGAAATTATGGATCACAAAGGTACACACTATATTCAAAATTGGAAGAAGAATATGAGTCAAATTTCAACACCTACCATTGTGGAAAACAAACAAAAAACAGAACCATACATTCAAGTTTCATTCCATCCTGATTTTAAGAAATTCCAAAGTACTGGACTAAACAAGGAATTGAACATGATCGATTTACTCAAGAGAAGAATTTATGATCTTTCAGCTTGTAATCCAAAGTTGAATGTTTATCTGAATGACAAGAAAGTTGAAGTTGATAATTTCAAAGAATATGTGAAATTATTCTATCAAAATAACAGCTCTGGAGAGCATCCAGAAAAGATGTTTGTTCACAAGCATATTTGTGATGGATGGGAAATTGCCATAGGAGCATCAGTTGGAGAGGAATTTAATCAAATTAGTTTTGTAAATAGTATTGCCACAGTTCAAGGAGGATCTCATGTGAATTTTGTTCTCAACCAACTTTCCACAAAAATCAGCGAATATATTGCCAAGACTTATACAGACCTCCAATTAACAATCTCCCCATATATGGTTAGAAATCATATCACTCTATTTATTAATTCTCTTATTGAAAATCCTACTTTTGACAGTCAAACTAAGGAAACCCTGACAACCAAGTCTATTTCATTTGCCCAAAAAGTGGTCATTTCCAATGATTTAATCAACAGTATTGCTAATCATACCCCAATAATTGACAATATTATTGCCTTTGCAAATTATAAGCAATCATCAGCTAGTTCTAAAAAGTTCAAGAAGAGAGAATCAAAATTATTGATTCCAAAATTGGATGATGCCAACTTGGCCGGAACTAATAGATCTATGGAATGTGTCTTGATTCTTACAGAAGGTGATTCTGCCAAAGCATTGGCTATTTCTGGTCTCTCTGTTGTTGGAAGAGATAGATTTGGAGTCTTTCCACTCAAAGGTAAATTATTGAATGTGAGAGAAGCATCTGCTGACCAAATTAGAGATAATCAGGAAATTCAAAACCTCAAAAAGATTCTTGGTCTCGATGACGTTTCCAAAACTGATTCTTTCGAAGAATTGACCAAAAGATTGAGATATGGTAAAGTCATGCTAATGTGTGATCAAGATCACGATGGTTCCCACATTAAGGGTTTGCTACTCAATATGATTCACTTCTTTTATCCTGAATTGTTGAGAAATAATTTTGTGGATGAATTCATTACACCAATCATTAAGGTATCAAAAGGATCTGATGTTAAAAGCTTCTTCTCCATTCCTGAATTCCAAAATTGGTGGACCAAAGTGCCAGAAAATGAAAAGAATAGATGGAATCAAAAGTATTACAAGGGTCTGGGTACCAATTCTTCAAAGGAAGCCAAAGATTACTTCTCCAATCTGAAACGACACGTCATTGCACTGCAATATGATGACGATAGTGAACCTAATATTGAATTGGCCTTCTCCAAAGATTTGGCAAATGCCAGAAAGTCATGGGTAGCTTCTCTTAAGGATGGAACTTTCCTCGATACAACAAATGGCAAGGTGACCATAACTGACTTTATTAATAATGAACTTATTCTCTTCTCGAATCAAAACAATATCAGATCTATTCCATCTATTGTGGATGGACTCAAACCAAGTCAACGTAAGATTCTCTTTGCTTGTCTCAAGAGAGATCTCAAAGATGAAATCAAGGTAGCTCAATTGGCTGGTTATGTCAGCGAGCACAGTGCCTATCATCATGGTGAACAATCTCTGTACGGAACCATTACAAGCATGGCCCAAGACTTTGTTGGAGCCAATAATATTCCATTACTGTATCCAAGTGGTCAGTTTGGTACTCGTCTACAAGGCGGTGATGATGCTGCCAGTGCCAGATATATCTATACTAGATTGAACAAGCTTACACGATTGATTTTCCTCAAGGAAGATGATCAAATTTTGGACTATCAAGAAGAGGATGGTATGATTATTGAACCAAAGTTTTATCTTCCAATTATTCCAATGTTGCTTGTCAATGGAGCAGAAGGTATGGGAACTGGTTGGTCTACATCTATTCCATCTTTTAATCCAATTGATTTGATTGATTCTTTGAATATTCTTCTTGATAGTAATGCAGAAAATATTGGAAATGTGAAATTACCATCACTTGATATGTGGGCCAGAGGATTCAAGGGTAAAATTGAAATGAATGATTCTGGAAAGTTTATCTCCAAAGGTATTTTCAAAATGAAATCTAGAGGTGATTCAATTGAATTTGACATTTCAGAACTTCCAATTGGTGAATGGACAGAAAATTATAAATCACACCTCCAATCGTTGGTAAAGAAGGGTTTAATCAAATCCAAGATTACTGAAAGAAATACTGAAAATAGTGTAGGATTTACAATTGCAATCAATGATCCTGATGAATTCTCTGAATCACAATTGAAAAAGTTGAAATTAGAGAAATCCTTCTCTCTTTCCAATATGACTGTATTCTCTGAAAATTTCGATATTATTCAATTCAGCAATGTGAATGATATTATCAAACAATTCTACTTGGTCCGATTGTCCTACTATCATCAAAGAAAGAGCCACTTGATGAAACAATTGGAAAAACAAATTAGAATATTATCCAACAAGGTTAAATTCTTGAATTTTATCACTTCCAATGAATCCAATTTGAATACTTTCATCAAGACAAAGAAGGAAAATATTCCTAGCTTCCTCACCAATGTAGTTGGCATTGTGGTTGATCCAACAACAATAGAACAATCCTTCAATTACCTCACCGATATGAACATTCTCAGCTTGACTCACGAACACAAGGATAGAATTAACAAACAATTAGAGTCTGCCCAACAAGAATTGCAACAAGTCAGCTCCGATGATCCAAAGCTAATGTGGAAGAGAGATTTGAAGAGGTTGAGAGATGAACTGACCAAGAGTGAAAACTGGGTCGTTTAAATTTTGTTAATAAATTAAATTACTTTAAATCCAATTGTAATAATATTAACTGAGAAGAAGAATCAACAGTTGATGTGAAAGACAAAAGATTTGTTTCATCTTAATGATTCCATTTTTTTAATTAACTTTCTTCATCAATTCGAATATCACATGTAAGCCAATACTAATATTAATTAATTTTCGAAATTTAATGGTTTTATTTTGAAACTAGGTTGTGTACTAGATTTAGATTTACAAATTTGTACAAAATTTGGTATTTTAGGGGGTTGTGTGGAAGTGTGTTAAATAATTTAGGTTAGTTGTTGGGATTTGGAGGAGTATGTAGATCAAGCCATTTACTTCTTGGTCTTCTTCTTCTTTGATTCGGTTTCTTCCTTATCTTCCTTTTCCTTTTCTTCTTCTTCCTTATCTTCCTTTTCTTCACCTTCCTTTTCATCAGCCTTTCTCTTCTTACCACCCTTCTTCTTCTTATGTCTTTGACCTGGCTTCAATGGTTTAGTAGTAGTTTCATCACCAGCCAAGAACTTGAGAATTCTCTTACACATAATCTTCTTGCTACCAGTCTTCTTCAAACCATTTTGCTTGGCAAATTCGACGAGTTCTTCAGCATAGAATTGATACAAATCTTCAAAAGTGATACCTTCCTTGATCTTGGTAATATCATTCTTTTCTCTTTCTTCCTTTTCTGGAGTATTAGCTTCAAGGTAATGTGGATATGATTGACCGATAATTCTATTAACACAAGCCTTCTTGGTACCAGACTTTGAGATCTTCAAAGCATCACAGACATCATTGATGAATTCCTTAGCCATAGCAGTGAAACCGAGCTTCAAACCAGTGATCAAGAGTTCTTCCATAACAGCATCAGCCTTTTCTTCCTTTGATGAATCTTCTTCCATACCCAAAGCAGCTAAGAATTTAGTCAACAATTCAAGAGAACATTCTTGGAAGTATTTAGCCTTATCCTTTTGCTTGGAAAAGTGAGACTTGAATGACTTGGCCAACTTTTGCTTAGATTCAGATTCAACCTTCTTGTCCATTTCTTCCAAAGCCATCTTCAAAGCGTCCTTTTCCAATTCCTTGATGAAGGTGGATTCACCCTTCTTTTGAGCATGTTCGAGAATGGCTTCAACAGCGACCTTCTTGTTGGTCTTCTTTCCCTTGATGTCGTTACCATCCATATATTCCTTGAGGAGATTGAGTGGAATTTCTTCGAGGAGAGTTTCAATTTCTTTTGGTTCAGAGTCAGACATTTTTGATTGTTGATTTTGTGTTTTTTTTTGTTGTGATTTTAAAAAAGTTCTGAAGAGTTTTATATCAAAAAGCGGAACAAGGAGCTTGCTGTACTTTGCAAGCGTAACCGAATAAATAACGGTATTTCATGATAAATTTGTACTTTCCCAGCCGTTACGCTTCATTTTATCCAGAGTGCAGAGGAAGAAGCAAAGAGAACCAATCAATGCATTGTTAAATTGGCGGGCAAAATATTTGTAACGGTTTTGAGAAAGTCAACTTGAGTGCAGCTAAGCGGATTGGTAGAAATTTTTTATGGACTTTACAATAAAGATGTAATTTTTCAGAATAGGTAAAGAGACAGAACCAAGTAATAGGATCATCATCAAGATGTTTGTTAGTATGGCAAATGTTGTTTTTCTTGATCAACGTTTGTTTGTTGCTGTGGAGAATTTTATCAAAGTTTAATCATCACGAATTTTATTGTGCAATATTTGTTTATTTATTTCTTCTGTGATGACTTTTATACAACAGCCACTAAACACTCATCATTACATACCTCTATACTATCTATTTATTGATCGCTTGTGATGATTGGTATTCTATTCATCCAACTATAAATTCCATCTTTAAAATGTAGGTGATGATGAAGCCTTTCCGCTGCCAGCAAAAGCAGAGAAAGAAACCGTAGATTATTCTGGAGCGGAATTGATGATTAGAAGGAAAAAGAAAGTTATGGATTCATCGCATATGATTATTAGCTGCATTCGCAATGATATATTGTTGGTTGTATGATGTGTTTTGAAAAGGAATCAATTCATGTTAATTCTGTAGATATTTATTGCATATTACGAAATTCTTATTTGACTAATCAGATAGAAGGCAATGTATTTGATTTATATTAATGACAAACTCTTGGCTGAAAACTTGATAAGTTTCTACAGTCAAATGTCTTTACGTTTGTGTTCATCATAAAAATCGAGCTCTTTAACAAGGTATCACCAGCATCAGTAAAGTCATTGTAGGAAAGATCCAATGTCTTTAGAGCTGGGAAGGACAATTTGGCAAATGCTTTGATTCCAACATCTCCAATTAAATTTAAGCCAATCTCGAGAACTTCTAATCTAAAAAGATTTGAGCCTGTTTCATCATTTTCACTGGCGAGTCCTAATAACCCAGTGTCACAAATTGCTGGCTTATTGGCATGTAAATTCAATCTTCTTAAATTTTGCAAATATTCTGATTGACCCAAAGCACAGGCACCTTCTGGTCCAATGACATTGTTTTGCAAGCCAAGAGAGGTCAAGTTTTTGATGAATGGATTATTGGCAAGAGTTTTGGCTCCAGCTTGATCAATTCCACATGAACCAAGTTTGAGAGATTTGATATGTTTCAATATTTCACTTCCAACTAGGGCATTTCCTGCAGTGGAACCAATTTCATTTGAAGAAATATCCAATTTGGTCAAATTCTTTACATATTCAGTATTAACTAGAGCTAGAGCACCTTCCTCTCCAATATAATTATATTCTACATTCAAAAGTTGTAAATCAGCCATATTTGGTGAATTTGCAATAGCAATCAATCCTTCATTTCCAATTCTTCCAGAGAATATTTCCAATTTTTTCAATTTGAATGCATTAACAATAGCTTTGGCTCCTTCGGCACCTATCTCACAATAACCCAGGTTAAGTTCTGTTAGATTTTTCATATTTGGACTGGAGCAAATGGATAATACACCTTCACTTGAGAAATTATTTGCATATACATCCAAAACTTTCAATTGTTTCAAATTCTCTGATTGGGCAATTAACATGAGTCCTTTATCTTTGATGCTATTTCCTCTTGCTTTCAAAACCTCTAAACTTGGTAAAGAGGATGAAATAATTGACATGCTCTTATCATCTAGCTGATTGTAATTAATATTGAGCTCTTTCAATTTTGCAGAATATAATCCAGTAGTAATTCCACTAATATCACCTCCTTTCAATTGTGAATTATTAATGGTAATGGACTGTATAAAGCAATATTTCAACATGCCATTCGAAGTTTTGGATTTTAAATCTTTGGTAGAGGAAGCCCAAATTTGTGTCTTCAAACCACAAAACTGCAAAATAATAACTCGCCACTGCCGACACACTTTTGAATAACTTTTGATAAAGTCTTGAAACTCAGCTTCGGAATTGATGAAGGAAAATATATGGAGACAAATATCGTTGGAAAATTTGTCATTCGTTGATACGGCCAAGTCTGATAAATCGGTGTGAGCGAGTTCTCTAGTTTGTTGTGATCCCATTTTTTTGAGGTTCTTTGTTATTGGCTTCAGATGATTGACATTTTGTAATCTTATACCAAGTTCGAAAAAAAGAACAAAATTCATCAGGACTTATTGAGCAAGACAACAAAAACAAAACACATCCTTGCCAAACAGCTGAATACTGATATGGTTAAATATTTAAGATAAATGTAAGGGACCATGGTCTAGTGGTATGATTCTCGCTTTGGGTGCGAGAGGCCGTGGGTTCGATTCCCACTGGTCCCCTTTCCTTTTAGTTGTTTTCCTCAAATTGTTTTTAAAGTGTTAAACATATGTATGAATTGGTATTATTTTAATCTTTATTTAATTTGAACGACTACCTCAAAAACAAGACGCCATTTCATATGAAGCATGTTTGCTCCAATTACTCGTAACATCATAGATATTCATTGCTGCTACCAATTCGTCTTCATACAGAAATCCTGAACAAGAGAAGCATGCTCGTGGTGATTATCGTGATGCAGAGAATAACAATGAATGGTTGTTTTGTCTCAATCTTTTTTGGTTTTTTTGAAATGAGTGGACATTTTAGGTCAGTGTTATCTTAATTGATTATCTTTATGGAACCTTGATAGAATTGAACCAAAATTTCACCATAGAAACTATACATTCTATGAACAATAAGTATATGAGAATGATCATCATATCAAAACGATTAAGGGAGAAAGAGACAAAATTTGCAGAAGGTGGGATTTGAACCCACGAAGCTTGCGCAGTAGAACTTGAGTCTACCCCCTTTGACCACTCGGGAACCCCTGCTTCACATTTAGAATAACAACTGGTTTTTCACATTGAAATAGACTAAAAACTCATTTATCTTATTTTTTCTAATTAGAAAGGTTTTCAGTGCCTTCAACTGGAAACATGCTTCGCTGTAGGTTTCCTCGTTCATAGATGATTGCTGCATTCCTTACCAGCCATGGTTTGTGAATGGGGGATTTGTGAACATGCAGATTGGTACCTTAAACTTTTTATTAATTAATAGAAAAATCACGCCTTTTAGGCAAAATGAAAGATTCCAACCTTTTATAATCACTATTAACATTCTGTAGATTGTGTAGAGAGCATGATAATTCAACATTTAGTTATCTTCATGCACTGTATTGGAGTATTAAAGAATAACTTACTGAACCAACAATCAATAGATTCGTTACTCACTGCTCATACATAAAGACTGTAGCAAGATTGTCACCATATTCCTAGCAGGCTTCCTGTCCATTAAAACTAAAAGAATATCAACAACTACTGTTTTCAAAATGATATTGGTTCAGATTATCGTTTCCTTATTCAATATTAAGTTTTTCTTAAAATTGCTACTTCCAAATCATGCTACATGCCTCTTTTCGATTAAGCCAGTACTATTTCTTATTAAGCCACTCAACCAAATGCAACCTTTTAACCATTTGGTTTATCAATCATGATTTATTTGTTATTAAAATGCTTATTTTCTTAGTGATGTCAATTATTTCATTTCACTTATGTATTTAACTCCTTCATCACCACTTTGACTGTAACCAATATCAAGTGATGTTAATTGCTTCATTTTGCTAATGTATTTGTATCCTTCACCACTAATTTCATTGGCAGAAATATCAAGTGATGTTAATTGTTTCATTTCACTTATGTATTTGGCTCCTTTATCACCAATTTGATTATTAGCAATATCGAGTGATGTTAATTGTTTCATTTCACTTATGAATTTAACTCCTTCATCACCACTTTGATTGCTACCAATATTAAGTGATGTTAACTGTTTCATTTCACTTATGTATTTAGCTCCTTCACCACTAATTTCATTGGCAGAAATATCAAGTGATGTTAATTGTTTCATTTCACTTATGTATTTGGCTCCTTCATCACCAATTTGGATTATCACCAATATCGAGTGAGGTTAATTGTTTCATTTCACTTATGTATTTAACTCCTTTATCACCAATTTCATTGTAACCAATATTAAGCGATATCAATTGTTTCATTTCACTTATATATTTGGCTTCTTCATCACTAATTCGATTTACACCAATATTAAGTGATGTTAATTGTTTCATTTCACTTAGGTATTTGACACCTTCATTGCTAATTTCATTGTCATAAATATTGAGTGATGTTAATTGTTTCATTTCACTTATGTATTTGGCTCCTTTATCACCAATTTCATTTTCAGAAATGTTAAGTGATAGTAATTGTTTCATTTCACTTATATATTTAACTCCTTCTACACAAATTTGATTATTAGTAATATTGAGTGATGTTAATTGTTTCATTTCACTTATAAATTTGGTCTGGTTGGTTTTTACTAAAGAGGCAAGCAACCAACGATAAACTTTAACCTTAACAATACTATTCAGGAATTGACTTTTCATGAATAATTCAACTCGTTTCTCTGTAAATTTTTTTTTAAATTGAATACCAAGTTTTGAGCGTTCCTTGATCACATTAAAGAATTGTTTTGAAATTAAAGAACAATTATTTAAAATAAACCACGAATCATCAAGCATGGAAATTATTTCAAAACAAACATCATCTGAAAATATTTCTTGTTGAAGTTTCACACTTTTTGATTTCTCTTCCATAATATTGTTAATGAATATTTCCTCCGAATTAATGAATTGATGATTTTCTAAATCTTGTCGATTTCGTTTTCTCATTTTTTTATAAATATCATAAATTTATGTGCAGAGTAATGTTGAGCTGATGTTATGATTATTTTCTTATTCAACATTCAGTTATTAAGGAAAGAAATGGCTACGGCCATATCACGATGAATGCACCTCATCCCGTCCGATTTGAGAAGTTAAGCATCGTAGAGCCACATCAGTACTGAGGTTGGAGACAACTTGGGAACCTGTGGTGCTGTAGTCTTTTTATCTTTATGGAGAGAATATTAGTTTGTAATTTTCAGAATAACATGATGGTGTTAATATTTCCTTTATTTTTAAATATTAAGGAAATGCCCATGAAAATACCATGATTCATGGACAAGGATTTGATCTTGTGCTCTGGTCAACGGATTTGAAGCATGACTGAAATTAGAAAAGACTTTAAGGGTAACCTGTTCATGCTTAATAATAAAAAACGAAATCAATTAATGGACATGAATGGGAAACCTGGCATTCTCAAAAGATGCTCTTTCTATGAATGATATTGAATCCACTCTCTTCATATTCCTCTAAGGTTATACGCATCGATGGGAAGGTTGATAATTGGGAGAAAATACTACCACCAAGCCACGCAGTGTACTTTCTATCTGGTGGTGCTATTATTCGAATGTTCATTGAAGAATGAGATAATTCCCTCAATTCATTATCCAATCGTTCTACTATTCCATTGAACAATGTCGATCCTCCTGAAAGAATAATATTCGAATACAATTCCTTTCTAATATCTAAATCCGACTTTCTAATAGAAGTGAAAATATTTTCATGAATTCCACCAACTTCCATTCCAATAAGATTTGGTTGAAATAATATCTCACTAGTTTTGTATCTTTCACTTCCAAGTGCAATTATATTTCCATCCGGTAATTCATATGAAATTTCTGATATTGTTTCTTCCAAAAAATTACTAGCAACACAACCAGCGAAGCCTGGACCGAGGGGAAACCCTTGACCCGGGACGAGCCAGCTGTTTTTCAATATTGATTACCCGCATTAAGCGGGAAACCCTCGCAAGAGGAACCCCATACCTCAGAGACCCAAACGATTCATTCGTTTAGGCTCGAATCGAGTTCATAATGGCAAACGGATGGATAGCCAGTAGGTGGTGCAAACCAACGAACGCTTAATTAAATATATAATCCCATATCTTTTCCATGTGATCAAAGTCAGTAATCAAACCACGATCAATTGGATATTTGAAAACATTCACACCTCTCCTTCCCAATGCAATATCTCCAACGAATGTGTCAATGGAGCCCATTCCAACCATGATGGTGGATACTTTTTGTCATCCAGTAACTGTGGGAAAGACCACACATGGAGCATCATCAATAAAACCAGCTTTCATGAGAGAGGAACCATTATCAATGATGAGAGGTGGATGTTCAGACATTTTTTTTTTGTAAACTTAGTGTTATATGGTTGGTTCATGCAACAACATGGTGAGTTAAGGGCGAACAAATACTGACAACAAAACCTAATTAAAACCTTGAAGCTGACTGATGTAAAAGGAAACGCCCACCGTGGGGGTCGAACCCACGACCACAAGGTTAAGAGCCTTGCGCTCTACCGACTGAGCTAGACGGGCTACATTGCTTAATAAATCGTTTCCTTAATAACGATTTCTATGGTAAAATTCAAGTTTACTATTGATTAATTTCAATGTTCTGCGATTCTACAATAATCAGATTTTGATACATCAACTGCAATTCCTATTTTGTTGAATTCCTCTTCAATTTGTTGAATCACGATATCCCTATTCGGATTATTTTCAAGTTGAATATTATTATATCTCAAATCAACAAATTCTAACAATGTGAATTCTTTTCTCTGTAATTGGATTTGCTCTGCAATAAATAGTGCATCATTTTCTGTTGTTGAACCTGATAATGATAAATCCAATACGCGAACTCTTTTTGCAATATTTGATTTCATAATAAGTGGTAAGAGTTGCGGAATATTATAAGTATTTCTCAGACCAAAATATTCTAATGTTGGATACTTTCCATTCTCTGATTCTGAAAGCAGTTCTGTTAAATTTTTTTCTGTAATATCATTTGTAATGTGACAGGTCGATCATTTTACTTCTTATTTGACAGGGTGACCCTAACCATAATTCTAAATGTTTCAATTGTGGGAATGAGCAGTTAAGAATTGATTGTAACATGGAATTTTCCATTGCTCCTGTTCTTATAATTAATACTTTCAAGTTGTTCAATTTAACTGGCTCTTGAAAATCACAATATCCAGCTAGATAGAGAAATTTAAGATTTTTGAAATATTTTAGTATTGAGATAGAAGTATAACAGGAATTTCGTACATAATCATTGGTTGACTTGGTATTTTCTACATAAAATTTTTTCAAACTTGAAAGAAGAAGAATAAACTAACCTCGTATGGAAATAATATTATCCAACTCAATTGGTTCGTAAGCTTCCTGTTGTTCTATTATATAATTATTAAACGATTCATGAAAGTAATTAGAACTTGGATAGCTCAACGATAATTCTTCAAAAGTTTTCAATTTTTCAATAATGTCCTGTGTTTCCTTGACCAATTCAACTGCTGGTCTCATTTTCCCATCTCCTAGTTGTGCACTTTTCAATTCATTTTTAAAGAATTTTAATATATCCAATCTGTCTTTGATAATCTTTTTGATAATATTCAACAGTACTTGTTTTTCATTCTTAATACTAGTGCTGCGTTGATTCATTTTCTTAATTGATTCTTGCCACTTTTTTCTAATGCATTCCAATTTTTCATCTGTCATTCTCCCAGATTGCAAAAGCATTCTCACAATTACTGGATAACTCATTATTTGCTGAACTGAAAGATACACAATTAAATAGTACTGGTAGTTGCACTGATGATAATGCAATTCTCTTATTAATAAATAAATCGTTATACATATTAATAAAAAGAAATCTATTATTTGCAATCTTTCCATAATATTCCTTATTCAATAATAAACAACTTGTAATTGTTTTGTAATCCAAATACTGAAAAACAATATAACAAATAATATCGGAGGAGAGATTTTTAAATGAAATGTTTGTAGGAGAGAGGAGAGCAAAATCGGGACAATTCTCGCTCCAATCATCACCACGATCAAACGTATCATTGTGCTGATGATGGTGATTAAACATTTTTTTTGATTTTTGTAAAATTTGCTGAATTGGATTTCATAGCCTTAGAAACTCAAGTGTTGGTCATGTGAGCATCTAAGGTTTCAATTGGTTTTTAGAACTTGGAATTGGGCTGATATTTCACATTTTGAGGTAATGAATGGCTACGGCCATATCACGATGAATGCACCTCATCCCGTCCGATTTGAGAAGTTAAGCATCGTCGAGCCACATCAGTACTGAGGTTGGAGACAACTTGGGAACCTGTGGTGCTGTAGTCTTTTTATCTTTATCTTTTGTTGACCGATTTCCATCTCAGCACTTTCAATATTTCCTTCCTCAATCCTTTGTAATGCTTGGGTTTTGTGGGTTTGAGCTTTCAAAGTCAATTTTGTAATCGCACTTAAAGTTCACAAATGTTTTGAATGTTGAAGTTTGACAACACACAAAGCCAAGTACTAAAAAATGCATATACTTTCCCTCTCGTTGGATATTTGGCAATTTTGTATTTTTGAATATTGGCTTGGTCCCATTAGTGAAGTGAAATTAGATTCGAATGAAAATATTCTAAAATTTAAACATTTTTTTTATCCAAAAATAGTGAATGGTTTGGATTTGGAAACAATTAGAGCAGTTCATAAATTGTGTCATGTTACTAGTAAAAAATCTAGTCACTTATTCATGATTGAAATGCACGATTTTTGGAAAAAAGTTTCAAATGTATTAGAAATGGTCGTTTATTGGAAACGATATCAAACTTTTGAGGGATTTTCCTTAGCAGTTGGAGACATTACTGTTGATGAGTCAGTTGCCCAAGTTAAAATGCAAAAGCTCATTGAGGCAACTGAAATGAATTCCAACAGAGAATATAACCAAATTATTGACCCTTCCATGTGTGAAAAAAATTCCTACTACTTTGGTGTGGACTTGGATCTCATACCGAATGATTTTACTGACGGAGAAGTGAACACGTTATTTGAGGAAAGAGTTCAGAAATTAATGGTATCTGAATCTAAATTTGAAAAGATAAGAGCCATCACTCAATTGGAACCATACGACTTGTTTTTACATAAGGCATTGATCTTGGCGCTTGATATGGTTTCTTACTTTGATAGTGAGAGACACATGAGTTACAGTACTTATAATTGCTATGACACATTTGAAAAGTGTTGTCTCATTTCGAAAGGTTTATTTACGAGAAACATGTCGGATCGTTCTCTTGGTCTATTAATTGACTTGGAGAATGAAAGGGAGGAAACTGTGAATCTCTTTGAAAAATTAGAGCCGATTTATGTGGCCATTTCAATTCATATCACTCCAGATCATTATCAACACTTTACAGCACCCAAACATGCTCAATTTTTATGTCTTGCTTTTGCACACTTTTTGAATGAAACACCATGTCCCTATGAAAATTTCCTTGAAGGTCAGGAATTTCCAAATGTTCGTGATTTAACCATCAAGATGCCACCAATTGAAAATAACTATTATTTCAAAATTGACACCAAGCAAGTGGAGAAGAACATTCTTTCCTCAATAACGAGGAAGAGATTTCCAAAGTTATTAAGAATTTCAATACAAGGATGTTCCAGAATAGATAATCTTTTAGAATTGGAAATATTTTCAGAGTTGATGTATGTGGAAATTATTCCACAGAAAATGGGAGACGATTACAATTATATTCTCAATTGGTCTGAAAGAAGAGTTCACAATTTTATTAATCATCAATTTATTGAGAAGGATTCTTCATTGATTCACCAATTGGTTGTCCATGCAAATATTGTTAGGAATAGTGCTGATGCCAATTATGACAGCATTAAGGAATTTTATGACATGAGTAGAGGAAAATTTGTGCCGTGCATTTCACGTTCCTCAATTAATGAATATTATGATAGATGTTATGAATAAACATTTTGTAAACTTGGTTATTGAGCTTGAATTCTTGCTGATTTCAATCGTCAAAGGACTTTGCTTATAAAGTAGATATAAAGTATTATGATGTATTTACAATTTTTGATGTTGTTGAACATGATAGAAAGTATCATGCTTTTCCTTATTGGTAGCATCAGGAGTGTGTAAAAATTCGACTAATCTTTTAGATTTAGCTTGTACCTTATAAGCTCTCTTCACCATTTCTGGTTCAAAGATTTTCAATAGAGATGCAAAGTTCAAATCTCCATTGCTTAATAATTGTTCCTCCATTAATTCGACCAATAATTGCACATCATTGAGGGCATTGTTCATTCCTTGTCCTTTGAAAGGTGCCATAGCGTGCATGGCATCACCTAAAATGGTAGTATTAGAGAATTTGGTATGTGGTAGTGTTTGCAGCTTGGTTGATTCGTGAAGAAGACCTCCTCTCATCAATTCTACAGGTGTTTGTGATAAAAAGTATGGAATTGGGTGATCCCAATGTGAAATCTTTTCCTTGGCATATTCCAATAAATTTGACTTTTCAATCAAGATATTTGTCTTGAAATGTTCCATTTCAGTGGAATCTTTTTCAAGAGGAAAGGTTAGTAGCCACATGGATTCATCCTTTGTGAATGGTTTTACAAATAATCTAGAGTGTCCATCCAATACTTGAAAAACAGTGTCCAATGTCATTTTCCTAAGCACTTCATCTCCAGTCACATTGGCAATGCCATTAATCATGGCAACTCCAGTATAGGTAGCACATCCAAATCCCTCTCCACTTCCAAATGCATTAGTTTCTTGTCCATCAGTGTCAAGTTTCATTTCTCTATTCCAACATTAAATTATCAATGTAATGACGATCAATTAAATTCTGCTAAAATCTCTTACCTTCTCACAGCAGACATTAATCCATCACATCCAAGAAGAATATCAAAATCCCTCTCCTCTCCATCCTCAAATTCAACAGTTACAATTCCATCATGTTCTCTAAAATGTTTCAAATCCTTATTCCAATATATTTTACCATCATGTTCCAAATATTCATCCAGGAATATCCTTCTCAATTCTTGTCTTGGTAGAGGAGTATTCATTCTCCTGGTATTCTTCTTCTTAACTCCGGACATGTATTTCAATTCACCTCCCTTAATCATTGAAAAAGTGAAATTTGCACTAATGATACACTGAGCCTTCTCTCTCACCTTCTTTTCCAATCCAAGTTTCCTCAACGACTCAAATCCATTCTCTTGAATGGTGAGAGCATATCCCTGAGCCCTCGAATCAAACGAAACATCCCTCTCAAAGATTGCATGTTCAATATGAAAATCCTTCAATTTTGCATTCAATTGATTAAAAGAAACTCCTCTTTTGTATTTCCAATCAAATTCAATGGATTTAATTTAAATAATAATATTAAATATTTAACATTAAAATTCATTCCGATAAATAAATTAAATATTCGTAATGATGATGATCGTTAAATGATGATGAAGAAAAATTGAAGATATTTACAGTGCTAAACCAGCAATTCCCGATCCAATAATTGCAATACGAATAATCTTTTTATTCGTCAAATTGTTCATGAAGTCTGAGGAAACATCAACAGCTGATGATGATGGTTGTGGGTTCGGCAACATTTTTTTACAATTTGAAATTGCACAAATTTCAACATCAAATTGTAAAGTAATTGTAAATGGAATAATATATTATTTACATTAGGAGACAGTTTTCATCCTTTCCAAGTTTCTCAATCTTCATTCTCTTGTAATAAATCTTTAAAACTTCAGTAAAAATTTGATTAATGTTAGTTCCATCTTTGGAACTACATTCGATATATCCAGAAATTAAGGGATACTTGCTGAGAAAGGATGAAATTTCCTCAGAACTCACAGCATAGGTCCTATCGACATTCCTCAAATTTTCATACCTATTACTATTCAATTGCTGTTGCTGTTCCTGTATTCTTGGACTCACCAAAGTTTCAGTTAAGATTCGAGGTTTGTTATCAAAAGTTCTTGTTGGATGTGGAGGTCTCAAAAGTGATCCAGAATTTGGACTATTTGAAGAGGAATTGGTTTGTAAACTTCCAGTACTTGAGCTACGTTGACGAGTGTGAGATTTCTTGGTTTCGTTTTTAAGTTGTTGAATGAGGGAAGTTTCGTCTTGATCAACTAATGAACTTTCAGAATTTGAAGTGGAAATTGATACTTGTGGTGAGCTTGGTGTTTGATTTTTGGGTATCGGATAAGGCAACTTGATACCTCCTTTGAAAACAGTCGAATATTCCTTTTCACTTTCTTCTTGTTTAATTCGTTTCTGAACTAAACTGCTATTACTAGAAATTCCTTGAGAAAGAGGTAAAAATTCAATCTTTGGATTTTCACTTGGAGTTGAAATGACAGAATTTTGTTTGACACTTATTTTTCTCTTGACATCTCTTTGAATACTTTTCAAATCATTTCCACTGACTGATTTTGAATTTTCACATTCGAAACTATCTGATTTTGTTCCTACCAGGAAAACTACCTTCTCATTTAATGGTAATCCTTTAATGGAATTTAATTGTCGAATATATTTTACCAAATCGAGGAAACTTTGACGATCATCGAGTGCAAAACACAACAAGTAAATATCCGCAACCTTTTCGAATTGTGAATTAACATGTTCAAAATCATCCAATCCAATCGTATCATAGAATAATAATTTAATACTGTATCCATCATATTTATCTAATAATATTCGAAACCTTTCTAATATCACAAAATTACTTACACACCACATAACTTCCTGTATATTGCCTGGGTACATATTCTTCATTAAATTCACTCGTTCTGAATTTAATAATTAAACTCGTCTTGCCAACAGTTGAGTTTCCGACAAGACAAACAGAAACCGTTGGTGCATTCGAAAGCGAAAGATTGGACGAAGGGGTGAAACTCATATTTTTTTATAAATTGGAAAATAAACAATATCGAAATGCTCTGATATCCAATCGTCTTAACAGTTGATTTACTTTGGCCCACTTTAGAATAAAAATGGAAATATTTGCCTCCTCCGAGACGAAATTGTCTTTTTGCTTTACAGTAAAAATTATCAATTTTTGTAAATTATTGTAGAAATCAGTAAGAATGCATTTTATCCGAAAGATTCACAATCTTATTTGTGTACTTGATGAGTTTAGATTCAATTCGAACAGTTTTTTGCATTCCAATAGAAGATGTTACTAGGAGGATGAGGAAAAGAGGAAGAACCTGAATATTAGTAATCAATTAGTCTTCACAAAGTAATTTAATTCTTTGCCACGTATGGAGCCTTATCTTTGAGTGTGTCATTAATATACAATTCAATAACGTCCTTTCCTCTCTCACCCTCAAACTGAACATTCTTTAAGAGAGAGGTCTTTTGAGATTTGGAGATTACATAAGAGTTGTCATTTTCCTTTTCAATGTTGGGAGTGACATCTAATAGTCCAGTGGATGATTTGCTATTTTTCACTTGAAGTTTGAGTGATTTGATAGCTTTTCGTGCCTGGGAATCACATTCGATTTGGATTATTCGCTTAGCATCCACACAACCATCCTTATGGAGTTTAAATGAATATTTGTGATCTGTTTGTTGTGGAGTTAGTTTCTTATTAATTACAGTTGGAGTTGGAGTGGTTGTGATAAAGTTCGTGATCTTAATTGGCTCTGTTTCATTATTGGGCAAGCTCTTTTCCTTAGTGCTTGGAGTTTTTCTTGGTTTGGATTTGGTGTCACTCATTGACATGGCATCCACAGTTTTAGGGCAGCTACTGCTGGATAAATAACGTGTTTCTCCATTAATCTCATAGACCTTGCTTTTCTTTGAGTTTGAGATGGACATTCTGGAGAGACTTTCTTCTAAATCATCGGTCATAAATAATTTAGATTCGTTAGAAGAAATTTTTGGAAGTGGGGTGTTACTTTCCAACGACGATTTGTCAAGTTTGAATTTGGTGAAATATCTCTTTCCATTCAACAACTTCAGTTCTTTCAGACATATTTCTTGTATTTCCCTTGTAGAAGGTCTACAATGGGGTTTTTTGTCCATCATTCTATTCAGAAGATCGGTGAGAGAATCTCTAGGCTTGAACTTGATAAATCCAGGAATTAATTCCCCAAGACACATTGTACTCACTGTTTTTCCAAGAGAAAAGATGTCAGTCTCATCGCTTGCAACTTCTCCTGATTCCAATAATTCTGGAGGAACATATCCATCGGTACCTGCAGCTCCAGAACTGCAAGAATCCATATTTCTGGACAATCCAAAATCTGACAAGACCACCTTGATATTCTCATATTCATCAATTTCCTCAATTAGTACATTATCCAATTTAATATCTCTGTGAACAATATTGTTGTGGTGTAAATGTTCCAATCCATTTGCTAATTGCCAAATAACTTTCCAAATTTGAGTGAGTGTGAACTCCCTATTCCTCAATGTGCCATGTTTCATGAATGGATATACCAACAACACTAAACCTCCTCCAGGATACATAAAAGCTTCTTTCAATTCCAACAGATGAGGATGACAAAACCTTTTCAGGGCCTCCTTCCAACCACTATTGTTTTTATCGTCAACAATCTTGAGAACCCTATCTTGACTAATTCTATACACAAATCCAAAACCACCTTTTCCAATTTTTCTAAAATTACCAACTGGCATTTGAAGAGTTGGAATTCCCATTCTACGTATTACTGTATGAATACACCAAGCATGAAGATAATGAAAATCCTTCAAAGGTACATGAATAACACCTTCCATGGCAACTCCATCAAGAATAGTTGGCTCAATATACTTGAACATGTCAGTTGGAAAAATAGGATATTGGCTTCCTTCTTTCAATTCATCAAACTTCACAATACATTGGCACGACATGTTATAATATTGATCATGATGATGAAGTGATATCTGTGTCGAGGCATGTGGTGATGCAAATAAATAAACCGGTTGTGATCCTTGTGTAGGAAGCATTCCATAACCTGAATTTGGTAATACTGGTGATGAAGAAAATCCCGTAGGACTATTCAAACCTAAAGAAAAAGTATTATTATTATGCGACAATAAATTATCAACAAAAAATTGATTTAAAGTCATGGGTTGTTGCTGTTGTGGTTGCAATTGTTGCTGGTTATTATTACTAATGAAAAAGGGAATGCCTTGCTGACGATTTGCCATTTTTTTTTTGGTGTTTGGAAATGCAAATTCCGATCCCGCCAAAAATTCTAGGAATTCAACCGCCTCTTGTGCATGTAAGGAAATGGGATATTTATTACTATTCCTTCTTCTTTCTTCTGACGTATTTTTTTATGAATCTTCCCATGTAGTCTAAGTGTTCAATGTAAATGTCACCCATTTTGTTGTTTTCAATTGAATTGTTGGTGAGCTTGACGAGAAGATCATCTTGTGAGAAACCACGAGCTGGATAATTGGCAAATAAGATGCCAAATTCTGAGGCATTGGAAATGGAACAGGAAACTATCTTTTTCACTCTTCCTTCATTTTGAACTCGAATATTGTCAGATATATTTTGATTAAAATTGCAATGACTGATGAGAGTTGACAGAGATCGATCACATATACATAATCCACTCAGTCCACATCCTAATATATCAACCTCTTTGAGTTTGTGGAGGGAAGATTCACCACTCACTCTAATACCATCGAGTTTACAACTAACAATACGAGATCTAGTGACTGTACACTGAGATCTGTCCATTAACCATATTCCCATATCTCTACATTGTGAAATTATGGATTCCATCATGATGAGAATACTCTTATTCATCAAAATTATTCCAGATCCATATTCTGAAGAAGATATTGTTACTCCTTTCAAAGTCAACCCACCATTATCTAATTCCAAACAACTCACAACAGGTTTTTCCTCCTCTGATGCATACTTGTAGGTATGTGTTCGCACCCTGAATGTAATATTTGAAATGACACCTCCATTAGCTTTGTAAACTAAACAACTTTCATTTTCGTCTGCATTCTCAATGACAATATTATTGGTTGAACCCATTATTTTGGTCTTTATCCTCTCCTCCTCAATTTTCTTCTTCATCTCAGATCCAACTGCAACTGCATTTGTATTTTTCACACGACGAGATGATGCTGTCTTTCTCAATTCAGATTCACTCATTCTTGTAACATCATTGGCATTGGTCATTGCGTTACTGTCCATAGATGCTGTCTTTCTCAAATCCTTTTGAGCATTGACAGAAACTGCCTCCTCTTCTCCATCATGACCCTCCTCATTGTACTGTTTTGAAAGAATTTGCTTCATGGCTTCGGTTTTTTGTTTAATTTCCAACTCTGACATGTATCCAACAAGTTGAATTGGTTTTTCAATCCACAAATTTTCTCTATAAATTCCAGGATAAATCAAAATCTTTTCTCCTCCTCTTGCAGCATCAATGGCCGTTTGAATGCTTCCAAATATTTGACAATTTCTGTGTTGTTTTTCCAAAGGTGTTGGATCTTGAGCAGATTTTACTACCAGATGATATCCAGATTGTTCAATCAGTGCAATTAACTAAATATATTTAACAACATTATTTTAAATATTATTCAATATTAAATGGAGATGAATTAACACATACCCATTCATTGGCATCTTGTTCCGAATTGGCTGCCAAATAATAAGTTCTCGTCTTGGTAACAATTTTTAAAGTGTGTCTCATTGAATTTGTCACTTCATTCGGATCACATCTCAAAATTGGACAACCCAAAATATTGATGGCTCCTGTGTAGTGTTTATCATCAATTGTTTTATAATACAACAGATTGGTTTTCAGTAGGATGAATATACGTGATTTCCAGTTTTTTACTTTTTCTCCGAGTTTGTTGAGTGAGCCAACTTTTAGTCCTTGTTTGAGAGCAAGTTGTGCTGGGAGACGAAAGTTACTGGCCGAGCGTGATGACATTTTTTTGATGTGACTTTTGATTTTTATTGGTTTGATAGTGTTGCACAAGATGATGAATGTCCACAATTGTTCTTATTAAATCCTACTGCCGTTGTTTGTGTTCTATTGTTATTGAAATGATTTTTCACACGCAATTCGGCTTTGTAACTTTTGCAATCTTGTAAGAAATTAATGGCAACTGTTGTGGCCACCATTGAAACGTCATTGCTGGTGGCCAACAATGAGGTGATCCATTGTGATAATATCCTCCCCAATTCTGAGCTGGCCACACTGGAACTGTTGCCACACTAGGAATTGGTTCCAAATAAATGATTATTGGTTCCTTTTCCTCCCTTGAGGTGTCATATTCGTCAAATTCCTCTTCCTCATCTTCTTCTGGATTGTAGCTACTCATAGAATCAATACTGCATAAATCATCATCACATGATTCCTCTCCGAAGTGCATCACTTCTTGATTGTCCTCTTCTTCTTCACTGCTTTGATAATCATAAATATCACATGAACTCTTAATAGACATTTTGTTTGTATATTTGAATTGTCTCGAGACCATCCTTGCCATCAATTAATTTAATAGATTTTGAAACATCCATCACCACAAGGAAATTACCAAGTTCCTTCATCGGATCACTTAATAAAATTAAGATCCCATTTTTTTGATGTGATGATGATTGGATAGGTGAACCTTACTAGAGAACATCATCATCTGATTAATTCATCATCAGACAGAACAACCTCAGGAAGAGAATAACATCATCAATAAGTAAACGTGAAGCTAAAAACGTGAATTGTTTTTTTGTAAAAAAAGCAATAAATCACGGTTGTTCTTGTTTTGGAAAATCACGAATGAGTTTACAATAAAAAGACAAGAACGCAAAAATTCAAACAAATAACAATAAGTAAAAAAAGGAACAACACAAATGATTGTCAGCAATTGCTCATTTCTAGGCGAACAACAAGATTTCACAACATCGATATATGAATACACAGAAAATGATTTCTTCAATTTGGACAACTTTGAATTTCCTTCTTTTGCAGCAGTTTCCAATAATGCAAATTCGAATCTTTCTAATAAATCAACTCAAGAAGAGTTAGATCCGCAAGAGCTATTTAATGATGACATTTGGAATGAGGAAGCGTTGCAATACGAAACTCAATTTATTATGCAACCTTTCTTTCCTCTTAAATACGAAAATTATTATGGATACAATATCTGTATTAATAATGCTGAAGAATTGGATTTGATTAATTCCCAAAGATTTTTTCCTAATTTCAGAATTAATTGTTCGAGCAATATTTCAGATAAAACAAGAAGAAAACTAATTAAAAAAACCGATAGAATGAGAGATGAATTGAGACGAAACAAAGTTATTTCTCTTAAAGATATAGAATCACAAATTGTAAATATTAAATATGGTGCATCCAGCAAGAAAGAAGAAACCTCTAAATCCAATAAGAGAGGACGTCCAGGAAAATCCAATAAATAATTAACTATTTATTGGTGTTTAACATGACATTGAGATGCTATTAGAAGGTATTAAAAAGTTTACCTCATGAAAATTACTTCTTTAAAGTATAGAGTTCTAATGTAAAGCAGGCTAATTATTTCAAGAACAATCAAGTTTACAAATTGTAGAAAATTGGAATAATTTCAAACTTGGGCCTTTATTTAACTTTTGTAGATGATTGTTCTTCCATTCTATTAAGAAAAATTAGAAAGAAATGGAATGGTAAAAAGAAAAAGTACTCTTCCATGCAAAGTAATAAAGATAAAAAGAATCCACAGACAGAGATTGGCTCAAAAGGCCAAAGGATCTTTGAGCTTTAAAATATAATCAGCCTTTCTACCTTTTAGACATTGTTTTACTTGTTTAACATGAGAACAAAAATAAAACAATGTTTCAAATGTCAATTCAAAAAATAGTTGGACAGAGGAGATCTCAGACTTGGCCTTTTACATGTTTTTAAGGTTGTAACCTATTAATTAAGTGAGCGATATCAGTGTCCATGTATGACCCCTTTGCCGACTAGAACCAAATCATTCCAATAATTTGCAACATAAACTAATCTCAAATCCTCAGAAATATATAATCTCTACAGATGATTTGTTGAGTTTTTTAATACTGCAACTCTTGATGTCTTGCAAATAGATATTCGAAATGACAACAAGAGACAACTAGCTGAATAAATCCATAATTATCTTTGAATAAGTTTTTGGTCTGAATAAACCTATATTTGTATATGCTGAATCCGCATCCAAGATTATGACATTACTTGACAATGAGGAGATGATTCCAATAATCACTTTCGTATATCTAAAATACCACTGGCAACTATCATAAAAAAATCAACCAACCAACACCATCCCCATCCAACTAACTTTCCTCTAAAACACCCTCATTCCATTCACTTTTTCAACCCAATAATAATAATTCATCCTCTCTAACATACTCCACTTTTTAACTTTCTGAAAATAACAATGTTTTTATCCCGCTCTCCTTATTCTCCCTCAATTCATCGCTTGCAAAAAAAAATGTCTTTCGGAATGAACGCTTCACACCGCCGCAAATTGGGAGACGACAATGATGATGATCACACTTATTACGGCAGGGTTGAACAACAACAAATAACAACACCACCAAAGAATAAGGCAGTCTCTGGATTTGAGTTCTCAGAGTTTAGACAGCAGAGATTGCAGAGCTTGGCTGGTTTGGATGTTGAATCGTCTCCATCATCAAATGATGAATTTGCCAATAAGGCAAGAGAGAGAGTATCTTTTAGTATTCCGAGAATGGATTTTTCAATGATGGGAGGTGACTATCAATCTTCATCATTTGGTTCACCTCCACTTTCATCGGAGAGGACAGATTCTGTCAGATCAAATTTTGGTAAAGTATTTGATGAAGATATGTTGCAATTATTGAATCCAATTGCTTCTCGGGTTCATTCCTTTGAAAATAGAAGCAGTAGGAGGAGAAGTATTAGTAATAGTTCGAAAAACAGTCCTGAGGTTATTTCAGGCATTGTAGATTGTCAAAAACTTGTACAGAATGAGACTGGGTTATCATCTTTCCTTTGGAAACAAAGTAAGGAATATTTGTATGTTTTGATACCAATGGGAGGAGATAAGGGTTTCTATAAACAGGATGAAAATATTGAACTTGATGTTCAAATCAAATCAAAGAGAATTTATGCAGCCTTCAATGAGAAGGGTTCGGATATTCCACACGAAAAGCTTGTCGATTCAGAGTTGAGCATTGAGGTTCAAGTTGATGAATCAGGTTGGTGTATTAGAAATTCTCATTTACTGTTAGAGTTGAAAAAAAGAGATTCATCTGATGATGTTCAATTCCCTTTGCAATCGAGATTAAGAGTTAGAGAACTAGAGGAGGAAGCTGAAAATTCTTGTAAATATGTAGTAATGCCATCAGATGCTCCACTCCACAAGGAAATGTATCAGAGTTGGTTCAGTTGTATTGAGGATGATATTGCCAATTATTACTCCAAGTTCGAAGCTATGAAGAAAGATATGGGCATTGGAGAGATTTCAGATGAAGACATGGATGATGCTGAAGAATTGCACGATGAAGCCCTGGAACATCCAGACTTGGATGAAGCATTCAAAATTTATAAGGAAGCTGCTGATTTGGGTCACTCTCAATCAAGATTTGCCTTTGCCAATTTGTGTTTGATAGAGGAAGACAATCCATTCAAAATCAAAAGATCAGAAGCCATGGCTCTCAAATATCTAGAGATGGCATCTCTTCAAAATGGGTATGGAAAGGCAAGTTTCAAAGCTGCAATGATGTATTCAAAAGGAACTGGAGTTGAAAAGAGTTACGAAATGGCCAAGATGTATTTCATGGCTGCTACTATCCAAGAAGGTGAGCCAAAAGCAATGTTACAATTGGGAGCACTCTATGAAGAAATAGCCAACCAGAAATCAGATGAATCAATCAAGCAAGAAAAGTTACAAAAGGCTATGGCTTGGTATAGGTTGGCCATCAACAGAGGTTTCTCAAATGCTTGCTACAGTGCCTCTCTTCTCATGCATAAAAAGAAGGATAAGAGTAAGAACTTTGAGTCATCAATGGCTTTTTTCAACTTGGGAAGAGCCTTTTCTTCGAAACTTGATGATAATGCCTACTTGACGACAAAGGAAAAGTTAGAACCAATTGAAGATTCTGATGAATTAATTATTCCTCATTGGTCTCCAAGAAAGAGTACTGTCAAGCCAAGAAGTTCTATAAACTCTGCCAGAAACTCAATAAGTAGTGGTAGAAGAAGGACTATCGACCCTGTAGATACAATTGGTTTCAAACCATTAGAAAAGTTTAGTCTCCCAAATGAAACTCAGCTCTTGAAGAAACAAATTGAAAAGCTCCAATCTGAAAAGTTTGCACTCGAAGAAACTGTTGAAAGATTAAAACTTGAACATGATAGACAAGTGCTCAACATGACCACAGATATTAACAACCTGAAATCAGAGTTGCAAAAGTACAAGTTTGAAGAAAAATCTAGAATTGAAGAAATGTCAAATGTTACCAAACTGAGAGAAACATTGACACAATTCCAAGAACAAGAATTAAGACTTGCCATTCACCATGCCCTCTTGAGTTTGAAATTAAGAGCAAACACCAACTTGGAATTGCCACCATTGGTTGAAAAGGCTGTAGATGAAAAGATTCCTATGGACAAGTTAGGTAGTTGGTTTCAAAGTCAGTGCGAAAATTATGAAGGAGGTTGATCGTTCTCCTACTATAATATTCACTTCTCTATCTAAATTATCAATATTTACGGGAGCTGTGATGATGAAGGAAGTTGTAAATGAAACCAATCGAATATTCTTTGACTCGAAAAAACAATGAAAATTTCTCTAAGTAAACCCAAACAAAAGATTTAATAATTATTAGTTCTCTTCTTTTGTTGATTGGAATTTGATTGAAAATTTTTCTTTCCACTATTGTTACCATTAGGGGTATTTTGAGGAACTGAGCCATGTCTTGGTTTTGAGAAAGACCCTTCATCATAAGAATTTTTAGGCGAATACTCCTTATTGGTATTAGTAGGGATTTGCTTTGGTGGTGAACCAAAGTTGGCCCCTTTTCCATTACTAGATTTTGGTGAGCCTTGGTAATCAGATGACACACCAGAATTATTCTTCTTTGAATAGTAAGGATTGAATCCAGTGCTAGAGGCACTATCGTCATCCAAATCACTTGGAAAGAATGGATTCCAATTATCATCTGAACTTTCTCCTTCGATGTCTGTAGATCTTCCCTTTCTACTATGTTTTCCTCCATTTGGTGAGTTTTTGTATCCCTTGTTTGATTTTGTGTTATTGTTGCTCGTATTGACATGAATGTTACCATTACCAGTGTTTCCGTTATTGTTGTTATTTTGGTGGTAAGGATTATTCTTATTTGGATGTCCTCCAGAAGAATTGTTTCTTACACCTCCATTATTGGAATTCCACGATGATGGAGTACCATTATTATTGTGATATTTAGCATTGGAGAATGAGCGAGGTCTTTCTCTGGAGAAGGTAATGTTTGGAGGATTTGCATTGTTATTTCCATCCTCCAATGTCATTTCACCCATAGCAAAACTCAAATTATCAACATTATTACTATTAGTGTGGTGGTGATGATGATGATGATGATATGGATTCTTTCCTGAGAGTGTGCTGCTTCTACCTCTTGATCCACTTGGAGTTCCAGCAGCTGATGGAGTTGTTCCAAGAAGAGAAGAACTGTATGCTCCAGGAGAGGCTCCCAAATTACTTCCACTCGGTGATGCTTGATACATGCCATTATAAAATTGAGGTGGATAATTGTGAACACCTGGACTAACTCCAAATGTCATGTTGGCATTTGATCCAAAAGATGATCCGTAGGTAAAACTTCCAACACTACTTCCATAACTTCCTACAGGCATTTGATTGTTGTGAGAATTGCTGATTGGAATACCAGGTTTAAGATATGGACTTGTGCCCAGAGGAATCTGTTGATCAAAAGAGCCAACATATGAGGATTGTTTTGGATAAACATTATTATTGGCAACAGGTGATATTCCCAAAAGAGAAGATCCCCCCATATAATTGCCTGCAACAGGAGAAAGTCCAAACGGTAAGAAGGATTGATTTGGTGTAGAACCATAGTATTGAGGATTTGCATACGGTTGTTGTTGTTGCTGTCCTTGTTGAGGAGCAAATCTCTCAGCATGCAATTGTTGAAGATTTTGAATGTGAGCTAAATATTGAGATGTTTGTGGAGGAATGAAAGGTTCAACAAAGTCTTTTCCTGTAACAAATGGATGCAATTTAGCTTGGTCAGGTGTCCATCGCTTGTAAGGATCCAACTGCAGTAAACCATTAAGAAAATCAATAAAAGATGCTCTAGTTCTCATTTCCTTCTCATCAACCTTGGAAATATCTCCATAATGTTTCACAAGATCAGGAAGTTTTGTATAGTTGAAATATCTTTTCCATTCCATAGGAGCTTGATTAGGATTTTCTGCCAAAAATTGTCTTTCAGTCTTCAATTCATACATGCTAGGAGTGCCATCTTGATGAAGTGGTAAATCTGGATCATTAGGATTCATTCTATTGGGAGGAAGTATTTTGAAATATTTGGCCGAGTATTTTCCATATTCGATCATGTATGGTGGTGGAATACCAAACATTTCAATCATTCTACCAACTTGATTGTACTGGCTTACACCAGGAAGTAATGGTAATCCTAGAAATAGTTCAGCACAAATGCATCCAAGAGACCACATGTCAATAGCCTTATTGTATCTTAGTCCGAAAATAACCTCTGGAGCTCTATAAAATCTTGATTGAATGTAAAATGGTCCTATTTCATTTTCATGACATGCAGAACCAAAATCTATCAATCTTACTAGATCTTTAGGATGAGAAAGATCTGTCAGCAGAATATTTTCTGGTTTCAAATCACAATGGATTATATTGGCCTCTGACAAGATGCATAAAGCATCCAGTAATTGTGATAAAAAGACCGATAAAACATTCAAAGAAAGGCCTTTGAATCTGTTTTGTTTGATTAACTCGAAAAGATTCATTCCTAATATTTCAATCACAATACATAGATGGTTTTGGTGATTGAATTCTCCTAATTTTGTAATGATATGATGAGACCCATTGGAGCCATACTTTGCCAGCTCATCAAGAATAGCAATTTCAATACGTGCTTGTCTCAAATAAGATGGTTTGTTCTTTACCACTTTGACAGCAACAATTTGCTTTGATGTCAAGTCCTCACATTTGACAACTTGTCCAAAAGTACCTTGCCCAAGCATTTCCTTAACGTAGTAACGTTCTCCAAGTATTGAACCAGCATAAATGATCAAATTGCCATCTGCATTATCAAGTCCGCCATTATGAACCCCTATTGAAGGATCTGTCAATGGTTGCTTTCTGTTAAAGTCTTTGTGAAGAGCAAGACCAATGGTCATTAACTTGAGTGCACTTTGAGAAGAGTAGTATTTGGTAAAAGGGTTTTCTTGTGTTGAATTATTTCCTTGATTGTTGTTGTTGTTTTGATGGGCTTCATTGTTTGCAGTAGAGGTAGTAAGAGAGGCTTGATTGGTTAATGGGATGTTGTTGTTGGATCTTGAAAAAGTAGTAAAAGCTGATCTGGATGAAGGAAAGGCAAAGGTAGTATTCTTGGAAGGAGAGTTGGACATTAGATCAGTAGTAGAGTTTGTGTTGGTAGTATTGTTTGAAGGACTCGAGGAAAGCATGGTTGTTTAAAGGAATACGAAGGAAAAGGAGTGGTTTTAGAAAACTTGTGCTTTAAACGCTTGAAAATTGATGATGATCGAGAATGGAGTAGTGGAGGGTTAACAAAATTTTAGATATTGATGGATATCTAATACAAATATTATCTGCTGTTCAATATAAATTAAAGAGAGTGGTATGTTTTTGTTGATATATGCCGATAATCCCAGTACTGTGGTGCTGTCTCGTCGTCCAGTAGTAGTACTGTGATGATGATGATTACGGTGGAAAAAGGGAAAGGAAAAAAACAACAACTTGAATGATATATTAGCAAACGGAAAATGTCCAAGTTGAATTGTTGTTGAGCAATAGCCAATGTTGAGCAAGTAAGTAGTAGTAGTAGATGTGTATATGTTTTGAGAAGAACAACTACAATAACCCACTCTTCAATTAGCCAATAGAGGTAGAAGAAGATTTTGCGAGAGGTGAGGTGAACGGGAAAGTTTTAAATTTTTTTTAATAATAGAAATCATCATTTGTTTTTCCCTCCAAATTTTCTGAATGTGGAAGTGCTTGGTTGTTTACAGAGATGGGAAAAAATTGTGCCACTCACATTTGTGGTGTGATTTGAGCGCTAGTATTGAAATAAGGATATTGTTTGCTATTTTACTGCAAAGATTTTTGTTCTTATTAATTCTATTCTCATCTCTCTCTTATTATTGTTGGTATTTAATAATGGACAGTATAGGTGGCCAAAGTAATTGTGTCTGAGGAGAGTGAACAGGTAGTTATCTGTTCCTTGTTATTAAACAAGTCATTAATCATTGGCTGGAAAGGATGACTTGTGTGAAATATTGAAAATATTAGGATGAGACCTAATAAGGTTGTGTGGAAAGTTAGTTTGTGAGGACTGTAGATGGTGGTTGTTGCATCAACACATCAACAGAATTGTGCTTTCCATAGGCTGCTTGAAAGTCCTTTTTGCATTTGTCAATAATAATTTGGAGATCCAATCGAAAGGGAAGAAAGCAATTGAACGCGTTATGCATCAAATTGGATCCACTCAACTGTTTACAAAACGTAACGGTTGCGACTTGTTTGTCATAGTTGCTGTGACGGAGCACTTAAAAATGCCAAGGCTCAAAAACCAATCTAAAAAAAAGTAACAACAACAAACACTAGGATTATCAATCTAAAATACAACAGAAATGACTGAATCAGCTCCAGCCCAAAACGTCGAAACCAAGAAGACTGCCACAAAGAAAGATAAGAAGGACAAGGCCAAGCCAGTTTCTAGATCAAGCAAGGCCGGTTTGCAATTCCCAGTTGGTAGAATCCATCGTCACTTGAAGCAACGTGTTCACTCAGGATCAAGAGTTTCTGCTACTTCATCTGTCTACGTTGCTGCTATTCTTGAATATTTGTGTGCTGAAGTCCTCGAATTGGCTGGTAATGCCTCAAAGGATTTGAAGGTCAAGAGAATTACTCCAAGACATTTGCAATTGGCCATTAGAGGTGACGAAGAATTGGACAAGTTGATTAAGGGTACTATTGCCGGAGGTGGTGTTATTCCACACATTCACAAGTCTTTGATTAATGCTGGTGTTACCAAGCCAGCCACAAAGGCTTCTTCTAAGGCTTCATCATCAACTCCTGCTGCCGAAAGCAAGGAAGCTGCTGAACCAGTTCAATCCCAAGATTATTAATCTACTCCCATAACACATCTTTCAAATAACATCAACAACAAAACCAACCTAGATATGAATTACCACTAATTCCTTTTTGCCCTGTATATATAAAACAGTCCACGAGACAATAAAACTCTAAATTAAATATTTATGATTAAATGTGAATAGTTTTCTTCTTTCGATTACTGCTACATGAATAAGTACTTTTTGATTCGATAGCATCCTATCCCAATGTCATCAAAGTCATTTGAAGACATTATTACAGTTGATTTTCAAGATTAAAAAAATCCTACACATTGAAATAGTTGTTGCATTGCAGGAAATATTGGAAACAATATGAAAAGTAGTTGATAATTTTAGAGTTTACTAACAGTTGTTGCAGCAGCATCATCTTGTTCATCACTATTAGCTTGTGGATTCAACTCCATAATTTCAAAATCAAATCTATACTCATATCCGAGCTTATCGTAAATAGGAAGACCATCAAGAGAGGCTTGAATAACAATGTATTCATACTTGTCCTTTCTGGTCTTGGCCAATTCAAGCATGGCAATCATCATGACAGTGGCAAATCCCTTTCCTCTATACTTTGGTTTAGTACACAAATTACTTCCATAGCAAGTTCTTGGTCCAAAGAAGACTTGTCCAGTGGTTGCAATCTCATTGGTAGCCAAATCCTTGATACAAATCCATGAGAATTCATCAGAGTGGAGAGGATAGGTATTATTCATTACTTCAGCAGTCAGTGGACCAGATTTAAAGTCAGTAAAGGTCTCTTGCATACAATCAATGACTTGAATTAATTCTTCACGAGTCTCTACAATTTTCATCACAAAATCATTACCCAATTGACATACAACATTCTCACCATTGCTGATTTGGAAAGGTTGGAGTATTCCCTTATATCCCATAGTATTCTGCATCATTTCCTTCTTACTCTTCATGTAGGAAGTTTCCTCTTCACGTAAATAATAGATCATTCCATGATAGACACTATAATCGGTAACATATTGTCCAAGTCTTTCATAGAGAGGTTGATATTTGGTGAGTCTACCTTCGGAATCTAACAAACCCTCCTGAACCATCTTTTCAGTTTGTTGTTCAACTCTTCCATTCTCAACTAACAAGGTTTTACATTTGGTATCGGGCAGGAAGAGGTAAACCAATGAACGTTTAGCTTGTTTTTCAACAAGGTCAATCAATTCAAAATTAGTAATATCATCCCTGCAGGTGTAAGTTGGATTTGGCTCATCCAATTCCTCATATCCAGGTTTAATGCAATTGATGGACTCTTTTTCTGTTTCTTGTAAATCGGAGAGAGTAGGAATGGCTCTTACCATAATTTGATTCATTTCAAAAATTGAATAGCTAATATCGGCATTCTCCTGTTCTAATTTCTTCTGTTGTTGGTTAATGATGCTATTAAGAGAATAAGTAGTGTTGGTGGTACATGATGTTGTTTCACTCATTTTTTGATTCTCAGCTGAATTATTGGATGGTGGATAATATGCAACTTGTGAAATACGGTGAGTGTTGTGTGAAAAAAGTGTCCGATAATTAGAGAGATTGAATAGGTTGTGTGAATAATATTTGTTTTCTCAGTGAGTGGTGATGCTTCACAAAGATGACAAAATTGTTGAGATGGTTGCTGTTTGGGTATTGAGTATGGATGATAGTAGGTGGATTGGGATTGGAAATTAGGATGTCGTTTTGATGTTATTGGAAGAGTTTGCTTTCTGGGATAATTGAAAATGTTCCGAACATGTTGTTGAAGAATCCAGAATAAATTTGCTTACAATAAACTTGTTTTCAGTCATCTACAGATATTCACTTAACATTTCTGTATTGAGGAAGATTGAATTATTGTGTACATGATCATCCATAAACATTCGAATAGTTTGCACTTCTTTTATCAATTTCAATAATAATATATTAATAATTTTATTTAATTAAAAAAAATGATTGAAGTTGAACCAATGAAACCCGTTCGCATTATTTGTGAACTCAAGGCTACACCAAATGATGCTGTTGATGATGATCAGAACAATAACACAGAGCAGAAAAATCCAAAGGATGAATTTGGTTATCCAAAGACAAGCCTTGAATATATTACAAAATATTATCAAGATCATCCGGAGGAGAGCAGCAATCCAGAGAATTTTGCAATTATTGTCGGATCCGATAATTATGATGGTACTCATGTCAAGGCGATGATATTTGATCTTGAAAAGTATAACATTAAAGATGTTATTGCTATGGAAACTACAGTAATATTTCTGGCAAAGAATGGAGTTTGCTATTGTTTATTATATGAAGAAAGCAATTATTGGACTCATAGATTGAACAATGCTAACGAGATTAATGGAGAAATTGCATATGCAGCTACATTTTCGTTGGAAGATCCTGTAGAGAGAGTCATAGCAAGAGAAGGTGTCATGTTTATTACAAAATCAGGAAGATTGATTTATTGGAATAGGAGTGACAATTTGGAGTTTGAACCGGCCCAGTTTGATTATGAAAAAATTGTTGACATTGCATTAGGTGATGGTCACACTTTATTCCTATCAGAAAATGGTAACTTATATGGATATGGAAGCAATAGTAGGTTTTTATTATTGATTTAAAATTATTAATCTATTGAAATAGCTGCTGGTCAATTAGGTAATGACATCTCTCACAAATCACATCATGTAAAATTTAATATTTCACACATACCTGACCGTATTGTAAAGGTTTACGCTACCTACAATACAACTCTAGTTTTAACTGAATCAGGTCATGTATACTCATGTGGAGATAGCTCATATGGAGCTCACGGACATGCTAATTATACTGAAGGAGGAGGACTTTGCAAAATTGATTTTCCACACAGGGTTGTGGATATTTTCCCTGGTCTGTTCTTTGTGGCACTAAAAACTATTCAAGACGAGTATTATGTATTTGGCTATAACAACATGTCACAATTTGGACAGTCACATACTATTGAAGAAAGAATTAATGGACCTCATTATTTAGATACATTCCAACAAGAAAATATAGAAAGATTGTCATGTGGAGGTTATCATTCATTAATTGTTACAAAGGATCAGAGAGTATACATTGCTGGATGGCCAATCGCACATGATTGTTTTCCTTCCAAGGAAAAAACATATCATTTTGTCGATGTGAATGCAATTCTTGGAAGAAAAATACCACTTCCTTCATATACCGAATTATATGCCACAACTGGACTATACTATATATTGATACAATCAAAGTCAAAATCTACAAATAGGTTTAATTTCAAAAAGAGTTACAAAATTTGTGACATTTCATTCAATTTTGAAACAAATACCATAGAACCATATCCTGCATTCATGAACGATGAATATCATTAGAAATGTGATGAATGCTGGTCGATGATTGTTAAGAATTTAGTGAGTGATTTTATTTACATTAGAAAGTATGAGATAGTTCTACTCTTGGGATTTAAACTTGCTCCTCCCAAAATCTGATTCCTTCCCCAATCTGAAAACATTATACGTTATGTATATTCAAGGAAAAGTTCCAAGTTTCCTAACAACTTTGGGAAAGAATGAAAATTTCTTCCAAATTACAAGATTTTACAATAGGAATGTTGATTCTTTGGATTTACAGTTGAAAATATCATAAAGCAAGGTCAAATCTTTAGAAAATGAAGATGAAGGACAGTGAATCATAAATAAATTGAGATTTCAATTTACTCAACTGTAATATTTGAAGAAACAACCTTGCCATCAACCAATTTTCTAAGTTCCATATTGTAAGGTCTCTTTGCAAGGATATTCTGAACAGTTTGTCTCAAATTTGTAAAGATTTTCCACTCATTACATGCATTATCATCTGGTAATTGGATTACAACATCAAACACTGGATCTGCCTTCAATTGAAGTCTCATCTTTTCTCCATCTCTTGATGCATTCCTATCACCCATAATCACGCTCTCAACACCTCCTAATAAATCACACAAAATTGGGTTTTTAAGAATTGATTTCATATCACCGTGAGCACTTCCACACAAAATGACACCCCTTTGGGAAATGGTTCTTGCTGTGCTTACCTCATCTTTTGTTCCAATCTCATCAATGACAATTACTTCTGGGGTGTGATTTTGAACTGCTTGAATCATGACTTCTTGTTGTCTTCTAATGTCAGCAACTTGCATTCTTCTCGCCTTTCCTATAGCAACATGGGGTATATCACCAAATCCTCCAATTTCACACGAAGTGTCTACAACCACAACTCTTCTCGATTCTGAAAGTGTCTTGGCAAAATCTCTGATAAAAGTAGTCTTTCCTGCTCCTGGTTTACCTAACAACAAAATACTCTTTCCTTCTTCTATCAAATCTGAGAACACTTTAGCTCTTCCCATCACTGCTCTTCCCACTCTCAAGGTTAGTCCAATAATTTTTGCCTCTCTATTGAGCATGGCACTAATTCTGTGCAGTGATCCATCCATACCAGCTCTATTGTCAGTTCCAAATGATAGCTTGTTAACAATTTCATCAATTTCTTCCTGTTTCACAATGAAGGTTGGATTACTGTATGGTTCCTTTTTGTGGTAGAAGAATAATTCATAAGGCCTACCTTTGTCCATGGCCACTTCTATTAAATTGTTAACGTCTTCTCCTGATATGGTTGATAATTGTTCCTGAATCTTCTTTGGAAACAAATCCAAGAAACTATAAATTTGATTGATTATTGTTACGTTAAAATCAGAGTGTTGCGTCAATATGGCGACATCTTGTTGGGCTGGCTCTTCAAGTGTTGATTTAACCTTAATAGTCTCTTGTTTGATGGTTGGGTTTTGCAGTTGATTGTAAATTCCATTCCACAACTTTTTGACTTCTTCATCAACCATAGACAAGATTAATTTAGCTTCGTCGTTTACAGAATCAGTCATGGCTTGATACAATTGTACAAGTGTTCTAACATCTCCTGAAGCATAATTCAACATTTCTTTAGTAAATATCTTATTGCCCCAACTTCCAGTACTATGCAGCTTTTTTCCCAAATGTTTGTAACTATTTCCAGGCACCTCATACAATTCACACAGATCATTGAATGAAATATTTCTTTGAGTATCACTTATTATTTGATAGAGTATTGAAGTGTCAACAATTGATGTTACAATTATTCCAAAATCCTTAAATAATCCACATAAATCATTTTCACAATCATGAATTACTTTCAAAATAGTTTCATCACCAAGTACTGTCTTTACAGCATTAACAATAGTTGGATCTTTAAGTTTCATATCAAATAAATATTGAACACCATGTGCTGAAATCTGAACTAGTGTCAATTTTCCATTTCTTCCCAAATTCACACCTTCACAATCAACACCAATCATCTTTGTAGAATGCTTTGACATGTTAGATAGAAATTCATTAGCAAAACTTGGAGTATTCACCAAAACTATATCACCATTATCAACACTCTTCTCAATAGGCATTTCCTTTCCTTTACTCTTCTCAATCAATGCATTCAATTTTGATAGAATATTCTTGATTGACTTTTTACCAAAATGTTGAAAAGCACTTGCCAATTCTAAAGCACTACATTGTTGCAATAGTTCCATTCCACTTCCAAATGTTTTTTGGGATTTAATTTGTAGTTTTGGAATTTTAATTTGTAAAGTTAGAGTATCTGCCTTTTCATCATATCGGAACCATCCACTACTCTCACCACTAAACATTACATCGTAGACATCTTGCCACGATGGTAAATCATCGAATTGCTTTTGATAGGGTTCATAGGAATATTGACATTCGAGAGTGCCTTCAAATTGATTACTGGTTGCTGGTTTTCCATTGGACAGGACACAAACTGCATAGGCACGGATTAGTTTATCAAGGAGAGTATGATTGTCGGTCATGTTGTTGATGTTTTTTAATTGTATGTACAATAATTATTTGAATCGTGATGGTTGATGACTAAAGAGTTCCTCATTCCTCAGTTTAGCCCATAACTCACACACTGATACTCACAAGTGAATCCATCATCCAGGGACCAATTGATTCATTGGTTTGTTTTTTTTTAAAGTGGACAGAGCAGTTGATGCATCTTTTTATTCGGTCGCTTACTAAGGAACCAACAACGGAAGAGTCTTTCCATCCTGTTCCTTATCACAAATTTACAACTCTATTAAGGCGCGGAATTCATCTTCTTCGTCTCTTTGTTTCTCCATGGTTGTAGGAAATGATGAGGAAAAGTATAAGAGTTTGATATTCAACGCTTTCTGCAAATTCTTCACTCACCATTCTTTTCAAGAATTTAATCTTCAAGGAAGAAGGAACTCGACTTCAATTCAACAACATTCATCTTTCCTGATCAACAATTACAACAACAATCAAAAAAAATACCTCACCTTCGCACAACCTTTTGCTTGTTCGCCATCTGGTACTATTTTTTTTCACATGGAATTTATAGAACTTTCGGATGATAATTGTTTCGAAATAATTAGTTATTTGGATAATTGGTTTGTTTTGAAAAATTGCACACTCATTTCCAAGCAATGGTATGACGTGATTCGGTATCGTGTTTCGAATCTTTCCATTTCTTTTAGAAAGAAAATGGACGAGGAAAGAGTTTCGAATATATGGAAGAGTGAATTTTTGAATTGCATTAGCAAGGTTCATGTCGGATGTTATGTTGGAAAGAGTTTCTTATTAGCCCTCCAGAAAATGAAAAATTTAACTTGGTTGGATATTCATTCGAATCAGATTGATTCTGAAGGAGCTCGATTAATTAGTCAAATTCAACAATTGAAATATCTGGATATTGGATGCAATCAAATTGGGACGAAAGGAGCCGAATTTATGAGTGAAATGAAACAATTAACTTGCCTAAAAGTCAATAATAATCAACTGAAAGATGAGGCAATGCAATCAATTGGTCAATTGGAAAATTTAACACATCTTAATGTGAATGGAAATGAAATTCACTCAAATGGTGTTGAACACATTGTGAATTTGAAACAATTGACTCGACTTGAAATGAATTGTAATGAAATTAGAAATCTTAATCCTGATTCGATTAGTCAACTTTCGAATTTGACCTATCTTGATATTTACAATAATAATACAGGAAATTCGGCTGTGCAAGCAATTACAAGTCTGAAACAATTAACTTTCCTAAATATTGGTTACAATGGAGTTACTTGGTTTGGAGCTTTCTCATTGAGCGAAATGAAACAATTGAAAAATCTTAAAATGAAAAGCAATTCAATTGGAAACGATGGACTAGAAGCTTTAAAAAGTTTAATATTTACACAAATTGAATTGTAATAATTATAAAATCAAACAAAATTGACAAGAAAAAAAGAAGAAACGTATTTGCACCTAAAATGGAAATTCTAAATTTTTAAATTTCTAAAAAAAAATGCTAAAATCAATCACCACGTTTATCAAGAATAAAATTTCATATGATGATGATAATCAGCCCACTCGGAATGAAATTAAAGAAATTATTTTATTAGAAAAGAATTTAGAATTTGATTTTCTCCGATCGAATAATTCAAATGGTGATGATCAAGAAGTATCGTCATCATTAGTGAACATGAGGAATAATTCTGTTGATAATCTATTGGAGAGTTATCTTCCCGATGAAATGATAATTCACATTTTACAATTTCTTCCAATTACTTGTTTGATAAATCTGGAACGAATTTCACAGAATTTCAGAAATTATTGGTGTCAATTACCTGAATTGTGGAAGAATCAATTGAATGGAAGGAATATAATGCCCTTCTTACCAATGAATTATGGATCAACAAGAAAATACTACCAGAATCAGTTATATTTCGAACAGTTTTTTAAACCAAAATTGGTTAATTCATTTACAATTTTGAAAAAGAATGAAGTATCTTCAAATTTTGCCACTCGTTGTTCTTTAATCCTGTTGGGGGATGGATTTTTACAAAAAAGATTCTTGCTACGTATCTGCTCTCTATTTAATTTATCAGCTAGTAAGGGAACAGTCAGATTTAAGGTAGATCCATATACGGATAATCATTGCATTGATATAATTACAAGTAATCCATGGGTTATCCATACTGCAAGACAGCAGCAAGCAAAAATTGCTTGTTTTTGTTTCAATCTCAATGATTATGAATCATTTGTTCAATTTTTTAAATTTAGCTTTTTAAGTTGGAAAAAATCAAATGAACTAGAGGATGAAGTAATGGAACATTTAGAAAGGAATGAGAAATTTGTATTGATATTTGGATTTTTATCAGATAATGAGGAGGAAAAGGTTCCTCATGGAGAAATTTGTAAATTCATTGAGGATAACTTTGGAAAATCATCAATTTCTCAATTACACTCTAACAGAGTGCAATATTTCAAAATCAATCCAGTCAGTGCTTCGATTGAGAATTTACTATTTCCAATATTGTATGCCAGATGCTTACTCTAAACATTTCACAGAGAGTACGATTCAATTTAAGGGATGGGAAAATTTCTACAATTATTATTCCTTTCTGTAGATAATTTATTAGAAAGTCTATTTGAAATAGTGAAAACCACTAATAAAAATGTCAACGAATGTGTACTTTTCAATTCGAAACTCAATTTTCTTTCAAATTCCAATCAAAAGATTTAATATTGAGCTATAAGGAAATCTGATCACGATTTCATCATATTTTATGATACTTTCTCATACGTATCCAGTTACCTATTCTTTTGTGCTTCCTGCGGAGCATTGAGTGGAAAGAAAGCTACTTGAAAAAATATCCATTTCCCAATCTGGAAAAACTACTCCGCAAACTATTTATGAAAAGAAATAACCAGTACTATTAATAATATTGAAAAAATGTCTCGTTCATATGGTAAACTGTTGGTTATTAACAGTGTCTTGTCATTTCTACTTGTATTCATTTTGACAGAATTCTGTCATGCCTTGCCAAAAATCAGAGGTTTCAAACAACAATCAAATTCTATTGTAAGACCTTGGTCACAAACGTTTGGAGATTATCGTTTCTCGAACTTGGTCAATTTCACTCTATCCCATTCTGATTGGTCAACTGAACTTGGTGGCTCAATTGACGAAAACAGTGTAGCCTTTGCTTCTCTTACTAACAACAAGGAAGGTTACCTGTACATGATAATTGACTATCCATATACCAATCTGAATTCTACCTTCATCAAATTAGATGCCACCAGTGGTAAAATTGTCCAAACTTTAGTTAACATTATTCCACAAGATTCTCAACCAGTCATTATAGAAATTGCAGCACTTTTGGATTCGAATGGAAACTATTACGTAATTAGAAAAAGCAAAAACGATCACAATGGAGTACTTTTAATGAAAATATCAACAAGTAATTTCCAGGTGCTAACAATTTCAATTTCCACAAGTTTCTTCACTGGAATGGTCATTTCAGAAAGGAATAATTTGCTAATTGTCCATGGAAATGAATTCGTTTCTGCTTTCAATTTGGATACTTTGAAAACGGTATGGACAACCCAATTGAAAAAGGATGATACAATCTCAGAGTCAACCATTGTCCTCGTTGAGAATGAATTCAACGATGGAATTGACATTGTGTACTGTTCTTTCAGAAGTTTCGTATTCAGAATTAGAGCAAGAGACGGAGCTGTATTGTCAACAATGGATGTGCACGATGACAGATACTTTGTTGAGATATATCTTTTGCAAATTAGTTATAGTGGAATTCCTGGTTTAATTGGAGTTCAGTTTGGTTCATATTTCATGTCAATTGAAACAACCACACAAACTTTAGGTCCTAGAACTAAATTGGTATCATTAGAATATTGTAGTCCTCCAATGTCCACACAAATCAAGAGTGGAGAATCAGAATTCCATTTTGAAACTGTTTTTACCTGTTCCAACATTTCATCTTACATGCAATGGACATTTGGTTCCAATTATTTGTTAAATTACAAAACTCTCGCTCATCACCAGGGAAATGGAAGAATTGTAATTGAAAATCCCAAATTGAAATATGAATTGGATGTTGGAAGAGGGCAGGAATCTCATCTTCTTCCAACAAATTCATTGGATTCGTCTGGGTTGACTATTTTGGTTGGATCCAATTCTCAAGAATTTCCACAACCATTCAAGTATGATCTTTCAAGAAATGGCATTTCAAAGGTTCAACTTTCGAATAGGAAGAGTGGTGTTTTGAATTCGAAATTTTTGACCTATACAGCAAGTAATTCTAGAATGTATGTCTGTAACAATAATGAGAAGAAAAACTATTGCTACTCATCATTGATTCAACAATAAATTTGGTATTCCACACAAAAAAGAATTTATTCGAAAGATTTTAAATAAAAAATGTGTCATCTTTGAATTATTCGAAAGTAGGAGTTCATCATATTCCGAAATATATTGAGTTTCTAACTAAAAAAATGAGCAAGATTTTCAAACTCATAATAGCATGCACAACATTATTGGTGTTTAGTTTCGTTTTCTTTCGTCTACTGACCAAGTCACCAATTAATTCAGATAATAACATTTTCGATAGAAATTCCAATACAAAACAAGAAACACCCACCATTCCACACAAGAACAACCTACCAAGAGTCGTAATAGTCCTGGGAACAAGACCAGAGGCCATCAAATGTGCCCCACTAATCTCACACCTCAAATCAAACTATTCCTCCGAATTGGAATTGATTGTTCTAAGTACTGGCCAGCACAGTGAAATTCTGAAACAAACATTGGCAGTATTTGATCAACATGTGGACATTGATTTGGAATTAATGGAACCCAATCAAAGTATTTCCTCATTCTTTACACTTGCTTATCAAAGGATTAGTTTAGAATTTGAGAGACAGGGACCTATTTCTATAGTGTTGGTTCAGGGTGATACGACCACATCTCTTGCTGCTGCCCTTGCTGCCAGTTATTTAAAGATACCTGTTGGACATGTAGAAGCTGGATTGAGATCGTACGATTTCAATAGTCCATTTCCAGAAGAATTGAATTGTAAAATGATTGATTCATTTGCTAGACTCTTGTTTGCTCCAACTGATTTCTCTAAGGCAGCTCTTGTTAGAGAAGGTATTTGTCCACAGCATGTGCATGTCACTGGTAATACTGGCATTGATTCGTTCTATTCCTTAATGTCTGTTCCACCAAAGATAATTCCAGAATTTCTGAAAAATATCAAAAGTTTTAAAGGCAGCAATGATCATGCAGCAGAAACATTGGCAATTGAGTCACATCATCGAATAGTAATTCTTGTTACAATGCACAGAAGAGAAAACATTCCACACTTTAAGGAAATGTGTAATGCCATCAAAACAATTTCCAATACATTTGGAAAGAATGTCATGATCATTCTACCTGTACATCCAAATCCCAATGCTAAGAGTGTAGTTAATGAAGTGTTGTCAGCATTGGATAACGTACAACTCGTTGATCCAATTGCCTATGACATCTTTCCACATGTGATTAGTGAAGCTGACATTATTGTTACTGACTCTGGAGGTATTCAGGAGGAATCAGCAAGTATTGGAAAGCCAGTTATTCTCATGAGAGATACGACTGAGAGACCAGAGGGAATTTATATTGGAACTATTAAAAAGATTGGAGTCAATTATTTTCACATTGTGAAAGCCATGACAGATGCAATTAAGGATTCACAAAATTCGAAACAAATTCTTTCGAAACACATATTTGGAGATGGGAAAGCTAGCATGAGAATTTCAAAAATTGTTCGTGATTTTGTCACCTCCAAATTACCAGATTCTATAGAATGTTCTACTCAATTCATCCAAGATTCAATTGCAGAAAGTGTTTACTCTCAAAATTTTACCATTCGAAAGTAGAAAGAAGGAATTATTGGAAAGATCAACAGATAACTCCCCATACAAGAGTTATTCTCATTACCAAGAACAGAACTTGAAGAGATGGATTCCCCTCTCGATCAACTCTATACTTTCTGAAAAATCAAACAAATTAGTTGAAATGAATCATGTCCATCATACATGTTTATTACAACTTTCTTTAAGATATTTGTGAAACTGAGTTATTCGAAAGAAAAGTCAATATCATGATAATTTCCTGCCTTTTTAAACTCAAAATAAGTTGGCATGGCCTTTCGTTTCATGGTGAGTGCATTCCACATGGAAATTTGATTTTCCTTCTTTTTAAATCTGAAAATAATTTGATATTCTTTAGAATTGATTTGAATCTCATCTTTTCCATAAAACAATCGAATACGTTTCATATCTCTAATATCAACAACCTTTTCCAATTCTCTCTCATAATTGCCCAATTCTGCATCTGAATTAATGTTAACTTTTAAGAAGTGTTGATAAATTATCTCATTACTATTTGGTTTGAATAAAAGCAATTCACCCAATTTGGAAATTGCAATCGATCCATTCTCAATCAATTGATTCCCAATCTCCTTACTGTTAATAATTTCAAATTCCAACCCAACCAAAAGATAATCGAACATGTACAATTCTATTGATTGCAGAAATTCAGTATTCTTCTTCACATCCTTCAGAAATGTACTCTGTTCTGAGAAAAACACAATTTTTTCAGTTAATTTCTTTAAGAGCAAATCAGTTTTCTCTTTTTGATCAGTATCCTCGAGATATTTCTGTAAATCTCGATATAAAAGGATATATCTGGATAATCTTGAAAGGAAATAAAAATTAATCATCATTTCATTAGTAAATATCTTGTTATAAATTCCTTTCCAAACATTGCAATCAAAGGTAATGGAATTGACAATGAAAGTTTCCATAAACAAATCATTATCCAAAAATTTAGACAAGTTTCCAACACACAATTCGAAACATGCCTCATAATTTGATGAATCCACAACAACATTCAGCCTATCGTAATATTCCTTCATCACCCAATAAATTTGATCAAGTTTTTTATATTGAAATCTCAAGTAAATTTGCTGATCCAATGTAAAACAATCCAAATTATTAGTCAACCAGAAATTAAACATTTCGGAAGTTTCTTTAAATTTGCTTATGGTTGTTTGATCGGTTTGGATAATTTCTTGCAAGACACGACATGCTCTTTCAATGTTATTCATTTTTTTTTATATTTAAAGTTCTCTATTCGAAATGAGACTATTTATATTGAAAAATGTAAGGTTGCATGGTTACTGACTTGTTGTAATGATGACTCAACTTGACATTTAAAGAAAAAATATGAACAAAAGAACTTGGCTTTTTTTGTAATTTTTGACACTTTTGATTCTAATTAGCTTCAAAATAATTCATCCATGCAACAACACATTCTATTTATTTACAATAACTTTAGTCAATCACTTACTCACATCTACACAGATATCATTAATATCTTCATCACTTTACAATTCTCTTAAAACAAGCAAAGTATTTAAATTGTTCAATAAGGCAGAAACCGATCGAATTGTTGGCGAAGAAGAAGCTAGAAAAATAGCATTGGAGAATGGAAATCTTTATACTGTGAAATTTCCAAAGATATCGAATCTATTAAGTAACTAGTTGTTGTTACTTTGGAACTAGAAGTTTTAGCAGAATAAATTGCATGGTCAACTGCTTATCAAGACTTTGGGAATATTTTCATCTTGATTCCTTTGAAATGTTGAAAGAAACAGCAGAATTACATGAAAACAAAGAGTTGGAAGTTATCAAAAACTGAATCCTTCACACATCCATAAGTAGTCATGCCTCCGACCAAACTTCGGAGTTTCACACCAAAAAAAAATACGCGTACACACAATGCAAGCATTCATTAACATGGCCACTCTCTGGTTGGACTTATCCTTTCTCTTTGGATCCATAGCCTACACTGCAGGTTGCATTGTGTTGATACTAAAGGTTTCGTATTTTGTCGAAGGAGTTATCCTATTCATTATCGGTTCTGCTTTTTTCATGGTTGGACCAATCGGAAAAACACTTGTGGATTTGATGAATTTGGTTCGATATTACATGTGGAAGAGGAGAAGAAGGAAATTCACACAACTTATTGATGATTATCAAAGTGTGAATAGAAATCGCTTGGTTGACTATGAAGATTCGAATATTTGGGAAAGACCAAAAGATGTACCATCTATTGGAATGATTAGTTTGGAATTATTTAATGATTTTACTCAATTGATTGGAGGAGTTGCATTGACTATTGGATCGAGTCTATATATGGTAAAACCAGAACCTTTATATTTAGTTTATACTGCAGTTTCGAATTGGTTAGGTGGCTCTTTATTATTCCTTTTAGTTGCATGCATTCAATTTGGAATGAAACAATATGATATTTTAAAGAACCATTCCACCAATCAAAAACTGTCATGCTCATGTTGCATTCATCATTCTTTTGACATTTCGTCCTATGTGTTCAATATCATTGCTTGTTTGCTATTCTCAATGGGTTCGACATGTTTTTATTTTGTAAATAACAGATCTTTAGAAATTAGTGGTGAAGTAATTTGGTCGATGGGATGTGTGTCATGTGTCATGGCAATTGCATGTAGTAGAGTTGTTTGGATTGAGAATTGTTTTACAAAAGCATAAATGCTCCTCTTCTGGAACAGATTAGTTCAAATAACATTAAAAAAAATTGATTCTTCTTTAAACAATTGTCATTTATTAGCTTGTGATTGCCGAAACTAAACATCTGAAAATATTTCCACCAATAATAAGAAAAAAGTTTCAAAAAAAATGGCGCGAACAAAACAAACCAAAAGAAAAACATGCCCAAAAACCGAAGAAGAACAAATCGAAAAGATCAAACAACGTAAAATCCTTCTTGGCCATGAAAATCGCTCATGGAAAAGAACCTCTCCTTCCTTCATTCTCTACCCGACCGATATTTCCATCCTCACGAGTACCAACTCTGATCCGAATTCTAATCAATTATTATTATTGGGAAATAAGTTTGTAGAACATGCATGTTCTGATTCAACTTGTCATTATGATCTTCCACGAATTAGTTGGAAAAATACTGGATTGAATACACAAGTATTTAGTGATGTTTTGGTTAACAATTATGGAATTCCAAGAAATGATTGTACGCTCATATGTGATGAAGGAGCTGGTGAAGAGTATTCAGAAATAGCAATGAATATTCTTGAAAAAGTGTTAAATAATGTTCAAGCTTATGAAATGAATACGAAACTGATCGAATGTGAAAGAGAACAAGACGAAAGTATCAACAGCATTACCATTGAATATTCAACATGTGGATCAAAGTGTTATTACAAATCAAATTGTGATTATGAATATGAATTTGTAGTCTTACTTGTGAGCCAGGATGAATATCTTGCATTTGGACATATTGGATGTCATGCTTTCTATTTATTACCTGGATTGGATTATTCGAATTCAGATGGAAGTTCACCTAATGTCTGCTCTGATTCCATTGTAATATATGATGAGGAGAATGATATGTCCTATCCAAATATTATTCCACTTTCTAAGGTTTTGCAAAAATCGAAAGAATTTTTAAGAAATGTTTTAGATAACAGATATCACTAGAGAGGTCACTGAGAAAACCAATGCACAACTCAGTAATATAATAATAAATTTAAAATCATTTCTATGAAAGATAGTAATAGTAGAAAATTTAAACAAACTCCCGCCTTAATTTGAGTAAAAAAAATGCAAGAGCCAACAAGGGTCGGAATGGTTGATGTAAGCAATCCTGTTTCCTTCTTTACAAGATTTGCTCCTTCTTCTCAATTTTTGCGACCTAGGTATTGTAGAGATAAACCTGCTATGGAAATTGAATTATTAGAAAAATTTGGCTTTTCAAAAGTGATTGATTATAATTACATCACAAAGGATTTTGAATTATTAGATGAATTACTAACATTAATTTTATCTGGTAATGATCGTGTTATTAAGAGTTTCGGATATTTGTTTAAGGCAATTCACAAACCACGGCAAGGTGAAATATGTGATGATTTATTCAGTATTCTTCATTTATTGAAGAAATGCACAACCGAAAGTGATTATCCAAGTAAATTGAAATGGATCAATGAGAAATTACAAAGTTATGGTCATGCAGATATCAAAAGCAAACCTTCAACATTTAAATATCACGGCATTGAGTTTAAACTTCCACCAAATTGTTTGTTAACATGTGAATCAGCTAATTTAATTGGGTTCTATAATGAGCAAGAAGAACTCAATGATGAATTGATTGCTAATTTGATAATGTTATTTCCATCAATGTTCGTTCATGCAATGACTGAAAGTGGAATTACAATACGTGAGAATTGCTTTTGTTTTCTAATAGATTCAAAAGGAAATATGAAATTAATCGTGTCCTATATGGGGTGTCTCGAGGATGAAAAATTTTCTTTAAATCAAAATACCAAACTGTTAGATTTGAACTCTATCAAGGGCATTAGTTCAACCTATTCATATTTTGATTTGTTTTATGATAGGTTTAGAAGGAAGGGTAAATATGGAATGTTTAATCACGAACTAGTTTTCGATTCTTTTAGATGTGGATCTTTGGGCCAATACTGTGGAAATTATGAGACAATATTGAGTGAATTCTATCAATTTTTAATGAAGAGGTATGCTGAAAGGAAACCAAGGCAGAAAAAGAAATTAGAAATTAAGGAAACACCCAATAACCAAAAGAATAATTCTAATGAAAATTTGGCGGCATCCAATTTAACTAAAAAACAATTAGAAATGAAGAAGAATAGTGAAAATATTTTGAGAGATGTAACAAATTTTATTAAGAGATGATTCGGCTTAAATTTTAAGGACTGTTCGAAGGCTAAAATTTTGGTTTGTTTCAACTAAAATACAGCACAAACTATATCAACTACAGTTTTTTAGCTTGATTTGTTGTGAAAATCTTTTTGAATGATTTACTGTTAAACTTGTTGTTGATATGGAATGTAATCATTTCCTCCATATGGATAAGGTTGTTGACCTTGTTGTGGTGGCAAAACAAGTCTTGGTGGTTGATACTCTGTTTGATTGAGTCCATAAACACTCTGTAACATTCCTTGTCCATATACTGAGCTATATCCAGCATTGTAGATTGGTTGTTGGGTGAATGCAATTTGTTCTGGGAATGGAGTTACAGAAATTTCCTTTACAAACAAGTGTTCTTGAGTATCACACATTCTATTGAATATTACTCTATAGAGTGAATTTAATCCAAACAAGGAGAATAAGAGATAACAAGGCATGGAAACAAAGAATGATGATTCTTCTGGTTTGATTTTAGCCAACATGTTTGTTTTGAATGCTGTATCCAGAGACCAATTTTCAGAATAATCCATATAAGTATCTCTCCAACGATTTTCCATTTGAATTCTTCTTCTTGCATCATCAAGAGCTGTTTTGGTTTCCGGATTACTCATAAATGTCACTTGTTTTAATTTCAATTTCATATATTTCTTGTCAGTTCCTTCCAATCTAAAATAAATGATTAAGGTTAAATACTTGATTAAGAAAACTTACAAAAATGGTTTGGAAACATCTCTAAAATAATTATAATTGAATGCTCTAGTTTCTGAATAGGTTGTAACTCTTTCTTCATATGTTCTAGTTTTAGTATTTCCCTCACTATCAGTATAGGTTTCAATTCTTGTTTCGTAATGGTAACAAGAAACATAGAGTGAAATTGTTGGTCTAGCTCTAGTCAACTTGTCAACATTATCATAAATACTCGAAGCATCTTTGTTATTGAAAAGATACTTGGCAGTGCTACAAGTAAAAACCAGAATAATATAGTACAAAATAGACAATCCCAATGGTACATAAACTAGTACACGTGGTAAGATTTGAACAAGTGTATTCTCATAATAATTTGGATAAACAACAATCTCACAAATGATTTGAGAAATACTGGCAGAAACAATAAACAATACAAGAAACAAGCTCACCCCACTCGAACAACACAAATCTAGGCACGATGTATCAGTCACCCTCGATGAATAGTAGGGATCAATTTTTTGTTCTCTTATTTGTAAATTACTTGTCCGAAGAGGCTGTTGTTGTTGACCATTCCAAGCAGCAGCAGCAACATCATAATTAGGATTGATCTCATGATGTTGTCGTTGTCGATTATTATTATCTGTTAACAAGGCTGAATTGGATGAAGGAATAATTTGTGTGTTGGAGGCTGTCTTTTTATCAGAGCCATACAGCAGAGATTGTTGCTCCGATGAGTTATAAGAGGGTGATGAACCATTACCTGTTACTACCATATATTATCGTGGTGTTGTATTTAGGTGAATTTTTTCTGTATTGTAGTTGGTTGCAGCCTCATTCAAATTTCAATATATTTGTCTGAGGTTCTACTTGAAATCCAGTATGAAATAGTAAGAAGTAACCCAACAAGTTGTGAATGGAAACTAGTTGGATGGTTTTATACAGCTATGAGCTATGGGATGGAAATAATCATTGAATATCATGTAATTATTAATAAGAAGAGAAAACATAAAGGATTGCAATTGAGAATTTATAATGTGAGTTTAAACTTTTTTGTACATCACAGATGAAGAATGACGAATCTGTCCTTACTTTCTATAGGAGAATCTGATGATGATGAATAATAATTATTCACATGGTGATGATGCTGATAATGTGAAGAGAATAATAATAATATCGAATATCACCAAATTGTTATTGGAAAATCAAGACACAATAATTAATTACTCTTCCCCATTGCTCTTCTCTTTCTAATCTTCATAATAATTGGCCAAACATAAACCTTTCCGATGGAAGCAACAATCAGGGAAAAAATCCAAATAAACACAATAATGATAATGATCTGTGAGACGACATCATTCTTTTGAATACATTGTGCTCGGTACAATGTTGTCTTACAAGGATAATCCAAAGCATCACACACATACTTGGTACATTCAAAACAAGAGGCCACAGCAAAGGTAGCATTAGGAATATTACTACACATGGTATCGGAGCAACACTGACAAGTACAAAATGTTGTCTTGTGTCTATCCTTTGGATCCAAATCAATATTAGATGGTTCTTCCCTTCCTTCAACAAGACCAATAGAAAGAATCAATGCATAGGAGATGAGCAATGCTGTAATCACCAGCAAAAAACATGATGATCGAATATTTTTCATGGGCAGCAGATTTAATGCCATTTTTTAAATTGGAGTTTCAAAGCTCCTGCCAACTATTAAATTAGCTCCATGACTTTAATTGTTATGTGGATTGCCTTACATAAAATTCCAATAAAATCCGAAGATGACCTACTAGTAGTGATTAGTGTCATTCAAAGGTCTTTCTTCATTAATAATGAAAGAATGGTTCACAGAAGTGTTTTCAAGACAATTTGAAACCAATGACTTAAGTACAAACAACATGGCTCCTTTTGCAACCAATGATACAATTCAATTTATTTGTGAATCATATACGTTTGCATCTGATCAAGCAATCTTGAAATTGTGTTTTCAACAAACACAAAACCAGAATTTTTGTTTTTTCAATTTTAAAAATAAATTTAAAGGCCAAATCTGCTCGGTCTTGCTAAAACACAAACACAAAACAAATGAGTCAACAAGGATTACCTACCAGATCAAAGAGAATTCGTAACGATAAAGAAGAAAAAGCCGTTGATCAAAGTGACGAAAATGATGCTCAAGAGGAGAAAGATGTTACACTACTGGATCGAGAGGAGAAAGAAGGTCTATTTGAAACGGTTGGAGGTTTAGCCATTGAAAAATTGGAAGAGAAGGATTGCAACATTCAATCACATTTTTCAATGTCAAACGACACAGGATCAGTTGTGGTCATCGATCAGGGATCTTCCTTTTCGAAAGGAATGATATTTACCAAAGATTCTAATGGAAAATTCAAAGAAGAATCGATCAGATTTAATGTTACTCCAAGAGCGATAGCTTCAGAGTTTGCACGAACCATTCTATATTACACACCATCAACTGATGAATATTTCCTATATAAGAACCCAAACTCTGATTCCATTCCTATCCATTCCCTCAAGAAACTTTTCACTGTATTGGAAGCCAATACCTACATTGTAAAGGATGAAAATGGCACTAGTTTTCCATTGAATGTATCCCTTTTAATGTTTAAATTCATTGAGAAGCTTCTCAGTGCAATTACATGGAGGAAGAAACAAACGAAATTCACCAGAAAAGTTGATACCTTCATTTTTACAGTTCCTACTGGTACACCACAACATGTGAAAGCTCTCTACAAATTGAACATTTTCAAAGCTATTCAGAAATGTTTTGAACATGGTTCAGCATTAAGGTTGAACAATATTTACGTCATTGAAGAGTATTTGCTATTGTACTATGCTAATATCAATGAGCAGTCAACAGATCAGATCCTTATGATTATTGATTTTGGTCACTTGACTGCAGATGTCACGGTAATTGACAAACTCCAAACTATTATTTATGCCAATGGTGAAGTTGGAGGTGTTTCAATGTTTCATAAAGTCATTGAAGAACTCACAAATGAAAATCCATTTGACGTCATGAGAAATATATTCGAAAGTCAAGATTCTGTCCTTCCAGAGAAGTACCAATGGTTAGACAAGCCTTTCAGAGAGGTATGCAAAGAGATAATCCAACCAATTTTGGATGCCATTCTTCAAACTAACCCAGAACAGGTAGTTCTCTGTGGAGCTTTCATTTCGAATGGGTATTTTAAGGAACTTGTTAAAAGTATGCTAAACTTTGACAAATTGCAACAATACTATGATGGCAATGACTTCATTAGAAAGGACGAATTCAAACCTCAACACTTTGAAATTGTTGAAATTGAAAACCCAGGAAGTGCCTTACTTGTTGGGGCTGCAAACATGTTACAGAGCAATGCACAGAATATTTCATTTTCCAATGGTTTACCTGCTATTGTCAATATTCCAATAGATTTTGAAAGAAAATTACTTCCTTTTCAAACAAAAATTGCCTTCTTGTTTGAAGATGAATATACCAATCAAGTCATGCTCAAATTGACTAAGAATGATAATTTCCTTTATGTTAAACAAGATGTTGAAATTTTCATTCTCAAAATTAGAAATACCATTGATATGGAAAAGTTAGAAAACACCAATATCACCATGGATAACATAACAGATTGGCGTCTCAGAATTTGAAAGATTCACAACTGCAAATATATGGTTTGATCCAATGTTAAAACTTCATCATGCAGCTTTTTTCATTGTTGGTGAGGTTCTCCAAGATCATGTTTTTGTTTCTATTATTTTCAAATCAGTTGGTCACTACATTAGAAAGAGATTCAAAATTCCAAGAATTGGAAGAATGGAAAGAATTCCAATAACTGATGTTCTTGAAATTTTCACCACAGAAGAAGAAGAGGATACCACTTGGTACGGAACCAAATATGATTTAAATATGGTTGTCACTGATTCTCGTGTTCACAGAGTTGATAAAAGTCAACTTTCAGAATTGGATGAAAACGATTTCAAAATATTACTTTCTAAAGAAAATGTAATAACCAAAGAAGATCGTACTGAATATATTGAGAATTATGAGAGTAACATTCCAGCTCAAGAGAAAGGCGATGCGAACAAGTACTGTGAACAGGTCAACTTTAAATGTATCTGTTGTGGAAAGGCCATTCAGAATGGCGATCAGAAACACAAATTTACCAGTCGTACTGTTTACCGTTTTAGAGAAGCATTTGGTGATAACAATATTCATCCTGGTTCTAGTTGTCATGACTGTTTCAAAATTCAAAGAAATTATTTCGACAGGAAAAGAGGTTCAAAGAAGAGAAAATAATTCAAATTTCTCTAACATAACAATGATATTTATTCTATATTTCATTCTTGTTTCCAATAGAGAATCTTTCACTTTGACACTGGTTTCAAATGGACTTTCTTCATCAAATTTATTTTGAGTTGACAAGATATTGTACATTATCTACAATATTGTACAGATGGAGTTTGAAGAATGAGTAGCATACTGCATTGAACAATACGATAGAAATTTTGTTGACGTCATTTGTAGCTGTTGAAGGAATTTGTTTTCCATGTTCTCTCAACAGGGTTCACCTCAATGGAAGAATGAACTTCAATTTATTTTCGAAATTTGAATAAAAATGAAGCTGAAATAATAATGAATTCAACAACAAAAACAAACGAACTAATTAACTTGTATATAAACAAGACAAAACAATTGTTTGAAAAATGTCATTCCTTAGATCATTCTTCACAAAGAAAACTGAAAAGAAAGTTGAAAGCGGTGGCTATGATGATTATTCAGCAGACGAATCCTATGGAACTAGTTATTCTAGTAGTAGTGGTGGAAAAATTATTAAAGCAGACCATAAATCACAAGCAGGATATGATCAAGAACTAATTGACCATAGTGAAAATATTGTTGATTTGGTTATTGTAATGGATTGTACTGGATCAATGTCAGGTGAAATTGATGCTGCCAAGAAAACAGTGCAAACAATTTTGTCTAGCTTGAAAGATCACTTTAAAACAGATTTGAGATTCTCTGCCATTAGTTACAGAGACCACTCTGATGATTATGCAGTGAGAGAATTCCCATTTACTAAAGACATTCAGAAAGCTAAAAGTTATATTGACACCATGTCAGCTCAAGGTGGAGGTGACCATCCAGAAGCTTTGGCATCTGCGCTCAAGGTTGTCAATGAAATGCCATTCAATAAGAAGGGTAAAAAGATTTGTATTTGGATTGCAGATGCTCCACCTCATGGAATGAATTCCAATCAAGGTGCTGATAGCTATCCAGAAGGTTGTAAAGATGAAAATGGAAAGGTCATCGATTGGGTTAGATTGGGATCTGATTTACAAGAAAAGAATGTTTGCTTTTATTCATTGATTTGTGAAAGAGCTCAAGGAGATCAACAATTAGCTCTATTCATGGATTTCTTAGCAACCAAAACAGATGGTAAATGCATGTTATTGAAGAATGCTAACAAACTTCCTAACTTGATTATCAATGGTTCAATTGAAAATGATGAAATGGATCAATTGGTTGCCAAGAAAATTGCAGAACTAGGTGAAGAAACTGTCAAACATATGAAAGAAGAAGAACTTGTTGAAAAGATTCAACAACTTTCCAAAGATGCCAAAATTAATCAAGTTCAAACATTTGAAATTTGTTCGACCAATACCAAGGAATTATTGAATTGTGATTCACTTTCAAAGGTCAACAAGGCATGGCTCAATACTGGTACTAATAATATTTCAATGAAAGGAGCTGAATCGGAGGAATGTTTCGAATATGCTTCTCAATGTTATACTGCTCCAAAATTGGAACACTACTCAAAAGCTTGTTCAAGAGCCATGAAATCCAAAAGATAAAAATTTTATAATGTAAATACTATTTAATAAATAATGTAAATAAATTTTAAATTAAATTTAAAAATTAATTAAAAAAAATGAGTGGAGTGCTTCATCATCAATCTCTATTAAAAGTCTTTCACGTAAAGGCTAAAAAAACAGGCAATATTGTGCGAGTGACCCGAGAGGTTTATACTCGTGATGATATTTATTGTCAATCTAGATCTTGTAAATTATGTAATCATACAAATCCAGTGTTGGATGAACAGATAGAATCTTTATTAAAGTCATCCGATAAACAACAACAAGAACAACAATCGGACGATTCATCACCACCATCAAATGAAACTCTGAATAAGAAACAACAACAACAACAAAAAAAGAAACAAGCAACAACAAAAAAGACTCTGATTAATAATGGCACTCTTGTGCATTATCTAGTACCAACTTGTGAAGTAATTTTGAAATATTTGGAAATATTTGAAGTGAATGTCTTGAAGAATGTTGTTTTTTGTGAAACACTTTTTGAATATATTCACGATAATGTAAAACATAGTAACAAAATGACGGGTAGTATTAAAGCTATTATTGCTGATAAGAATAATAGAAAGAGTATTCTTTATAGTAATGAACACTCTAATAGAACATTGATCACTCCTAGAACTGAGAGCGAAACTATTGAAATGAGAAATGAAAGAGCAATTTTGAAAACAGCTGATTGGTATGCATCCCACTTGAAGGAATCCAAAATAATTATTTGTCTTTTAGCAATTGATGAGGAACAATGTAAACGGTTGAATGAATTAAAAGATCAATCATTGGAAAATTTGAAAATAATGACATTAAAGGAATATTTGGCAAATAAGGAATATTACAAGCAGGATGCCAGTCGTATTGATTTGGAACAGCTCTATGAAAATGTTACCATAACAAAAGAACATGAAACAGTGGATGATAATGAGTTTGGCTATCAAGACTACTTGACTCTTGATGTTATTGAACCTGGGTTGAACAGTGGAAAGTACTATAAGGGTGTTTTAAGAGTGAATCAATACAATTCTAGAAATGCTCATATCAAGACGACAATGAAACAAAACAATGGTATTATTGAAGAGGATGTATCTGTGAGAGTATTAGTGGAAGGATCCGCAGACAGAAATAGAGCTGTTCATGGTGACATGGTAGTCATTGAATTAAAGCCAAAATCAGAATGGAAAAAGATAGGATCTGACGAATCTAGAACTGAACCAGTCGGTAGAGTTGTTGCAGTTTTGGAAAGAAATTGGAGAGAATATGTGGCATGTTTGGAGGAGAGCAAAAATAATACTGGAGACTATCTTTTGGCCATTCCTATCGATTCTAGGATTCCAAAAATCAGAATCAAGACTAAACAAAAGAATGTACTGGAAAATATGAGACTCATTGTAAGAATTAGTGATTGGGAAAAGAAATCAAAATATCCAAGTGGATACTATGTAAGAACTTTGGGACCAATTGGAGATTTGGATACAGAAACAGAAGGATTACTTGTTGAAAATCAACTCTTCACAAGTACATTGCCATTCAGTGATTTGGCACTTAGTGAGCTTCCTCCAGTTAGTAGTGGAGCAGAGTTCAAAATACCACAAGCCGAAATTCAAAAGAGAAGAGACATTAGAAAGACTCACCTTGTCTGTTCTATTGATCCTATTGGATGTGAAGACATTGACGACGCTTTATCAGTTAAAAAACTTAGTAATGGTAATATTGAAGTTGGTGTGCATATTGCAGATGTTTCATATTACATCAAATATGATGGCTATCTTGATTTAGAGGCAAGGAGAAGATCCACAACAGTCTATTTGATCGATAGAAGATTAGATATGATTCCTACATTGCTTAGTGCTGATTTATGTTCTATTCGACAGGGACAAGACAGATTATGTGTTTCTGTGTTTTGGGAATTTAACAAAGAGGGCGAAGTGGTAGATACTTGGTATGGAAGAACAATCCTCAATTCCAAGTATGCATTGCACTACGAACAAGCAGACGAGCTTGTAAACGGAAAGTATCCAAACAAGGATAGAAAGCCAGCCATTGTAGAAAGAAATGGAAAAGTTGTTTGGAAAGAAAATGATGTTCATCCAGACGATATTCAAAAGCTCAAGAAGGATATTGGAGCATTACAACAGCTAGGTACTTTGATTCAAAAGAAACGTTTGAAGGATGGTGCATTGGAATTAAATGATTTGGAGGCTGTTTCCTTCAAATTGGATAATGCCAAGAACCCTGTTAAAATTGAAACAAAGGATGATTTATTAATTCATCATACTGTAGCTGAGTGGATGATTTTAGCTAACGCCTATGTTGCAAAGAAGATTTACGATTCCTTCCCAGTTGCTGCTTGTTTAAGAAGACACCCTTATCCTATGAAGGATAAATTCCAACAAGTTATCAAAGTGGCTGGAAGTAGAGGATTCGAAATTGATTTGGAATCAGGAAATTCATTATCTAATTCTCTTGACAGAGCAGAGGATCCAGAAGACAAATATGTTAATTTATTAATTCGTTCCTTGACAACTAGAGCCATGTCAGAAGCTGAATATTTCTCTACTGGTACCTTACCTGTTGATGACTTTGTTCACTACGGTCTTGCTTTACAATTTTATACCCACTTTACTTCACCTATTAGAAGATATGCCGATATTGTTGTACATAGATTATTATTATGGGCTATTAACAATGAACCAAATCCATTTTCAACAAGTAAATTGGATGAAATGAGCAAATATATGAATAATGTAAATAGAGCAAGTAAGCTAGCTCAAATGGAAAGCTCTGAATGGTTTAAAGCCAATTACTTTAGGGAACACAAAGATACTATCGAGGATGCAATTATTTTCAATATCAAATCAAATGCTATTTATATATTCATTCCTACCTTTAGAATTAAAGGTATTATTTATTTCACTACAAAGGAAGGAGAATTTATAATTCCAGAAACTGAACAAAAGAAGTATCAACTTCCAACACTATCGCCAAATAATCAAGCACACAATGGCTACAAGGTAGATCTCCAATTCTTAGAGGAAAACATTAGAAATATTTATTTGAATGTACTTGTTAAAGGAAAGGATACAGACTGTTACACTTTCCACATTTTCGACCATGTCAGAGTCAAAATTAATATTAATGAGTCTAGGTCACATCTTCCAAAAGTCCAATTAGATCTAGTTACCCTTAAGGCCAGCAAGACAATTTCAATCAATCAAGCATCTTCTAATAGCGACAAGAAATCTGTGGAAAAGATGATGCTTCAGAACTATAAGGATAAGAAGCAAAAAGAAAAGCAAAGTCAAGCTCTTGCTACCACTACTTCTGCTGATGATATTGAGTATCTTCAAAGAGGAGGACTCTACAATTACTTCCAAACCACTCAAAAAATGCATCCAAATATTAAGGTAACGTCTACAGAATTGGAACAGGAGGAAATCAAGGAATTACATAAGAAAAAGAAAGCCATCCAAAAACGTCTCTCTGACATTCAAGATATCAAAAAGAAGGAAGAACAAACTGAGGAAGAAAAGGAAAAGCTTACCACTCAGGAAAAGTATGAAAAGAACTTGCTTAAAATCGAAAAGAAATTGTCAAAGCTCAATCTTAGTAAATAAATTAATTTATTTGAATAATCGCTTGATAGCTTGGAAATAATTTCCATTTTCATATTCGCATTTTGCTAATAGTTTTTCAATATCCTTGCTCTTGTTGCTCATGGCAGAAAAGTCTGAATAAGCTTTCTCGAAATTTTGGGCCTTATAATTCACTACGCCTCTGTTATACAAGGCATTATCCAACACTCTTAAATCATCCAATTCAATTTCTCCCTTTTCCTTGGTTGGTAAAAGAATCTCAATAATTCCAGTAATATCATTCAATGCTTTGGTAGAATAAGTTTCCAGAGATGTGTGATTAAAAAGAGTTAAATAAATATGATACCTATGATGTAGGGATTCAATCTTGTACTTTGGATCGAACAAGTCAGCCAAAACAATTGAGTCTTGGAGGATCTTGAGTGCATCAGAAACTTTGTTGGTATCTGTTTCGATATATAGTAATGCCAATCTACACATTGTTGGAATTTGGAGTGATACTGCAAAATGTCTGTTAATTTCTTTTTCTTGTGATAAATCTGGTACCATTCTCAAAATTGTTTCATAATCCACAATCGCACTGTACTTGTCTTTTGTCATTTCATAACACTTTGCTCTGCAGAATAGACAAGTAATTTGATCTTCAGCACGTACAATGTTTTGAACATCAGCATCAAAGCTTTGGAATCTAGAGATGGCAGAGGTAAAATAAAAGATAGCTTCTTCATATTGTCTCCTGAATGACATTTTCAATTTGGCAACCTCAAACCATGGTTGTAAATCAGCTCTATTAGACTCCACTGCTGTCATGAAGAATTTTTCAGCGTTATCAATATCATTCTTCTCCAAATAGTTATTTCCTTTAAGAAGTAAAATAAAGGAAATATTTTTCTTATGCCTTTTCAATTCAGTTTTTCCCAAGTCTTCGGTTGAAACCTTTTGTAAAATATTATAACAAGCATCACAAGCTTGAATGGATTTTTCAAATTGACCTATTTTGTTCAGAGTCTTGGCTAACAATAAATTGGCAGAATAGTTGTCTGGATTGGTTTCTAAAAATTTAGATGTAAACTCTATACTTTTTGCAAAATTTCCAGATTTTTCGTGAGCTCGTGCAATATTAAAGTAAATTTTTGAAATTTCCTTTTCTGAGGAAAGTTCTGGCTCGCTTAGTCTAATTTCTAAAGATTTTTCGAATATTTCAAGTGCCTCTTCAGCTGCTGACCTTTCCAATAAAAGGAACCCCAAATTATTGAGTGATTCAGAATAAACTTTCTTCACTTTGACATTCTTTTGTTCAATGGCATCGTAAAATCCAACAGATTCATAGTAATTTTTCTCTGCATCACTATATTTCTCATGTTCAAAATAATACACAGCTCTATTATGTAAAATATCAATCTTTGATTGTTTTGTCATGTCATTATCTGGATATTCATTCAAAATTTCCATACATTTATCCATATCGTTAAGAGCAAGAGCATGTTCACCCTTTAACAGATAAGTCTTCGATCGTTGTAAATATGGCAAATAATTATTTGGTTTCATTTCAATACAATCCGAAAAGGCTTCTGAAGCCTTGTGTAATACTCGTTTTTCTAAATAATCCTCTCCTTCATTAAACATTTCATCAAAGGATTTATCAAAAACTCTCTGTTTAGTAACAACAGTGGTGGCTTGTGGTTTTTCATCAACAATTAAATTCTTATTTTCCTCAAATTGTTTAACCAAATCCACTTCCAACTCTTCCTCATCGGAAGCCTTCTTCTTAACCTCCTTCAAAAAACTATTCAATTTAATTTCTCTTGCCTTGACCATACAAGTTGAGGAAAATCCTCTTCTCACACTCGAAGGAAGGATATTGTTACTCTTTAACAGAGTTATTCTACTATTGTTGATGTTAGTACGTCCCACCAATACCGATAAAGATGAGGAGAATACCCTCAAGCTTTGTCTTTTCATTTTTTCATCATGAATTTTTTAAAATATTAAATAAAATAATCATGATGCTGTGATGATGGTAAAAATTCATCATCGGAATAACAAGGAATATTATCTATTTGCTTATTAATTCAGACTAGACTTAAGTTTTGATTTTGTTTCTGTTGGTGGAATAAATTGGTCCGCACTTCCTTCGCTTCTTCTTTCTAACACAATTCGAAAATAGAACAACAAGAAGTTAAAAAAATTTACAAATCCATTCTTGTGCACAGCATCAATAGTTCTTCTTTCTGTGTGGTTGATATTGTTTGGCTTGAAAATTCTTCTTCGTTAGTCGTTAGCCATCATCATCATCTTCATTATTTGATTGTTATTGATAAAAACAATTAAAAAAATAGTAGAACATCAACTCCATACCACAAGAGAGATAATATTTTGTTTGCTCGGACGATCATCAAAATATTATCATCATCTTTGATCTTTACATCATCAACAATATTAAAATCGGAAAATGTATAATAGCAATACAACAAATGTTAGACCGATATCTAGCAGTATGGGTCCACCTCCCTTGAGTGCAAATAGTGCATCAAGAAGAACGATAGCTGCTACAACAGGTCCACCTCCTTTTAATCCTAATAATCGAGTTCCTACTGCTGTAGTAACAACACCAATGCCGATGGTTAACGGTGGACAACCTCCTAATCCTTTCTTCAGACCTCCATATCCAAACAATCCACCAATACCTAATGGTATGATTCCGAATAATATGGGTGGATATATGCCACAACCAATGTGGTCACCAAACGTCCCTGTAACAAGTCCTAGTATGAGAAATCAACCACCTGTACAAAATAATTTTATGCCTGTTAACAATAATAATACTTCAATGACACTATCTACTCCAAGTTCATCTGCATCAAGAAATAGAAGTGTATCAATTGGATCAGCACCTGTTCCAACTGGTGATCCGAATGAAGCAAAATTATTTGATGAATTACTCACTACTTTCTATAGTGATCCAGTAAGAATTGATGAAATTTCTAGGATGGATTTATTTTGCATTAGAAGTGCTTTACCAAAAACAACTTTTGAAGAAATAGATATTTTCTCGAGCTATTTTGGACATGGATCTAGTGTGGATGCTTCTTCATTTGGAGCTAATTTATTATTGAATGATGATAATAATAATAATAACAATACAACACTTGACTATAATAATGGACAAAACTCTGTAATTTCCTCCTTACGACACGCAATTAGAAAATTATATTTGGAAGCTTTTCGTGATGATGACAAATTTTCTGCCTCTCTTCTTTCCTATCATTTACTTTTATATAAGAGATTGAAAATTTTGGAAAAGGTTCAGGAGTTTCAACATGGTAAAATGAATTCTACACAATCACTGAAAGTTCAATTTGAACAACTTCCTTCCAATAATGCTCTAAGTATTGCTGTTGATCATAATATTGACAAACCAAGTACTTCTGTAATAGCTACATGTGCTCTTTCGAGTGTTCCTGTTAACACAACTGAAATGACCCAAGTTGCTGAGCATCAATATCAACCTCTTAAAAGGGAAGATTTGGATACTTTTACAAAGAATTTAATCAAAGCAATGCAAAAGAGCGATGTGAAAAAAGGTATTTTTGCCAAACTGAGGAAGTCGAAATCAGAATCAATTTACAAAATTATTACAAAGTATGCATATCCACTATGCTTACCACTGGAAATTTTAGATATTGAATCACTAAATCCAGTCAAACAATATTTGGTAGAATATTCATTGGATAAGGAAAATGGTTTGAAACGTAGAACAAAATCAATTCACTCCATGTTGCTTTTGGCTTTGAGTACTGGCTCTTTATTAGACATGCTCCAAGTGTTACAATGCCTTCTTTCACTTTCCGAGAATCCTGACGATCCTCTCATTGATGCAGAGACTGAAGACGAAGGAAGCTTTGTAATGCGTGCCGAAACTCTAAAGCCACTACAACAATTCCAATATTTGATTAAGATGCATTTGGATCAATTAGAAAAGGACTCGAGTCATACACCTGGGAAAAACAATGACTTACCTACGTATCTATTACCTCAACATATTTGGAACGACCCTAACTATTCTTTAATATCCTTCTCATCAAATGGTGTATCATTGAACTTTAATTGGAAGAAACCTTACCTGACCGCAAAGCGACTTTTCCTTTTTTTGCTTAACCAAATAGACATGTTAGCGACCCATTACTTGTACTGTGAATCATATAGCACAATTAATTCTCAGGGAGATCTAGTCATAGAGCTGGGAGATTCAAAGAATATTAACTCACTTCTCAATCATAGAGAGAAGTTTTTGAAAAATAAGATTAGTGCAAATATCAAATTTTCTATCGAGTTGGGATCACCGAGAACCTTTTCGTCATTACTAGATATCATTGATAGCATGTTACAAATTCAAAATACCTCTAACAGTGAGCTTAATGGAGTTAAAAACTATTCCATTGCGGCACTTTTCAGAATATTGCACTTGAATGTGAAAGCATTGAGTTTGTGGAAAAAAGGAAGAGAGAACGTTAATCAACTTGTGCAGCATCGTATGTCTAGCAGTACAGGTTATTCTAATGTAAATTTCATCGAGTCTATGAAGGGCTATTTCCTTGGGTTCCTCAAAGAAATTGACACTGATTTGGAAACTAATCAAGATGGACTCAAAAGTTTTGAAACCATCCACGAGGCCAAACCTAGTTCTCAATCAAGGTCAAAAGATCCAAACATCAAGGAACAACCAAAGAATCAACAAAAAACAACACAAGACCAAAAGAAGGATGTTACAACTAATCCTTTTATTCTGAACTTGTTCGGATCTACAGCAAAAGAGCCTGTTCAAGAAGAACAACAAACCAATTTTGACATCGAAGAGAATGACGATTTTGTTGTAATTTCAACAACACCTGGTCATCCAAATAATAGGGAACAACCACCAACACCGGAGGAAGTTAAAAATGTTTCAAAGTATAGATCAATACTGGCAGCCTTGGCACCTCAAACTTTCATGTCTAAATTTATTTCTGAAAAGATGTTGGACATACTAGTTACTGGATTTTCTATTTTCTACCCATCTCCCGAAGAGCAAAGATTTTTCTTAGAAGATTCAATAAGTATATTATCGAATGGTGGAAAATCGAACAGCACAAGCTTACTCTCTTCTTCTACAGAAGTTCCTTTAAGAAGAAACTTTTTAAAGAAGTTATTAGAACGATTGGTTAATGATTTTACTCTATTTGAAAAGTTGATTGCTAATGGTATTGGCATGTCTGATGTGAGTGTGGTGATCCCATTCACAGAAAAATTATTAGAATTTATCAAACGTCAAGAACAATTCAAAATGGCAGAAGTTTTATCTAAACTCTCCAAGTTTACACCAGAAAAAGATATCAAACCAAATGATATTTACATGCATGAGGATTTGGAAATTATTGCAAATCTTGTCAAACAACTGATGATAATGTGGCAAAACTTTTTATTCCATTATGTTCACTCAATTTTTAGTAAGAGTTCTGTTTCAAACAACAATGGTGTTGTAAATTCAATCTTGGGAACAAACACTGGAAAAGTCCTGTTTGAATACTCTAGACTTATTCTTAATCAAAGTGAAGAAGTTTTAAATGAAATGTGTAAAATCTCAGCTGAAATTATTGAAGTGAAATCAAAAGTTGACAAATCATCTGTTGATGAAGTTAATTCCCTATTAACGATTGGAATTTGTGAAGGTATTCTGCAAAAAGGCGCCACAGGGTGGTTATGTTTCCCTCTCTTGCTTAACTTTGCTAAATTCTTGTGGAAGGGTAGTATTCTTAGTAATTCTAAATCTGCAGCTGGAAATGTTGTTATAGAATCTCAATTAGAAAAGTTAACTCAATTTTTATATCCTCCTGTGGTTAATCTCTTGAGAATGATAGATTTGCTTTGTCAATTCTGTGATGTTCAAGAATTCAAATCTGAGGCCGAAAGGTTATTAATTGACTGGACTATTGTAGAAACTGAACATCCATATGATGGTAATGTTACTGATTGGAAAGAAGTTAATTTTATAGATCCTAACAATAACATTATCAATGTGGGTATCAAATTTGATCCTAGATGTATTACCTCTGGTCCTGAAGATCACCTTAGAATTAACTCTTTACAAAAAATTGCCAATCTTCAAGCTTTACAATTCTCAGGACATGGAACAACAATTCCAGTTAATCCTTTATTAACATGGGGAGCTGGCATGTCTTGCAGTTTCAAGAGCGGTAATTTTGCTCTTAATTCAAGTGAAGGAGGAAAACAAGGAAGCATGTGGGGAATGAGATGTCTTGTAGTACCAGTTAGAAGTTTCTCTGCACCTCCATTGTTTATGTACGAATTTTCTAAGTTATTAGGTCACATTGGTGGAAGATGCAGTACTTATTTGCTTTCAACCTATCCATACAGTAGTGATGAAGACAAGTACGTAGAATGGTTGGAAAGCAAGATATTTGCCAATGGAATCAAAGGAGAAATTGGACAACCTACAGAGCAAAACACAGAAAAACAATCAAATAACAATAATAATGGTCTTTTGCTTCTAAGAATGGAGGAAGACTTCTCCAAGAATTCAATGATGTACCAACAAGCAAAGACAATAGCACCAGGCAAATTCGGTTCAAATCCATATGATCTCATCGAAAAAGTTGACGTAGATAGCTCTTCGAGTGACGTATTAGATGTTGCTGACAAATTCTTATTGGAAATGATCGAACCAACATCAAATACCTCTGCTCCAATCAACTATTGCAATTACATGTATCAAAGAATTCTCAACAAGGAATCATTTACACAAATGATGCAACAAGTACCTGATGTTGTCTCTGCTGAAAGAGCAGTTATTGCAGCAGTTTTAAAGCATACAGGTTTGGACTCTCTAGCAAGAAAAGTTTCAGATGCTGTTGCTGAAAGCCCATTCCTTCTTTCTGAGAATGTTGATAAGGATTCATACGAAAAATCCATGTCCCTCTTGGATATTATGTTCAAGAATGGAGATTATGAAAAGTTGAAATTAATGTGGAGAAAAGTTGGAAGAACTCTAAGAGAGTGGATGATCAAAACCAAACAACAAAAGCAACTGTCTTACCGTGATATGAGAGACTTTATTGTTCAAAAGTGCAAATTCTTGATTTCTCTTGAGAGTGCATTTATGAGTACGGTCCCATTAGATGCCAGGGATATTGGTACTACAGAGAAGTCTTCTTTATTCAAGAAAGTACAAAGTCCAAGAGCTGTGGAGAAATCTTCATTATTTTCTCAACAACTTACACATAATTTTGTATTCAATCGTTTTAAGAAAGGAAATATTGGCGGTTTTACAAATATACTACCAAGTGATGATTTTGTTGGAGATATTTCTTCACAGATTGTCAAATTCATTCAAAGTGATATCATACCAGTAAGAATTCAAAACTTGATGAGAATGAGAAGTGAAAGAGCATTGAATAGAGCAACATCTCTTCAAATGTTTAGTGAACTTTTGCAAAGCACTCAATTTGCTAGTGTTAAAGCTGAAATTGTTCATGGTATTAAAGCTGTTAGACAAAACAGATCCATGAAGAAGATAGACTCACCAAACTTCCACTACTTCAACAATGTAGAGGGAAGTGGCCCAATGTATTCAGATATTTTGAGCTCAAGTCTTAGCGATTTCTTAAAGCAATTGTTCTACCCTCTGGATTCTTGCATTTCTACATCTTCACAAGAAGAAAAGGAAAAGCAACTAAGAGTCTTGGTTCAAAGTGGCTTGTTAAGAGAAATATTAGATATTTGCTTGATATCTTTCAAGCACAATGATATCAAATGGATTATGCAATTTGATTTCTTAGAAAAGCTCTCCTACCTGATGTATAATACCATCTCAACTCCTGAACAGAACACTGATAAATTTAAAAGAAGGGATGGATTCACAGAGGAACAGAAAGAAATCAATAAGAAATCTTGGAAGATATTCAGACTTTTATCTATCAGATGTGTGGAAATGTTGGAAGAAAATGCAATCACTGATCCAGTTGTAGAATCTCAGCTGAATGATTTGAGAGATACTGTCTTTAACTTGTTGTTCAAGGATTTGAAGAGAGTAATCGGCGATATGAATTCTGAAATTTCTTCAGAAGTTTTAGAAGAAATGCTTTCTCTCATGGTTTCTCTTTCTAACACACCATCAGCACAATCTTGTTTATCAAGCGAAAGATTCCAACAATTATTATTACCACTGTTGAGATTAGAAAGCTATCCAAAGGTTCAAGAGTTATCGCTCAAATTATGTGGACAACTTATCACAAGCTATGGAGAGCTTTCTACTGATAATAACTATAGTGAAGGTTTGAAAGAATTACTAACAATATTATTCGAGTTCTTGGGAGCCTATGAGACTAAACAAGTAACTGGCGACGCTTCTCTTGTCAATGACAAAGATGGTAGTGGTTCTATTGGTATGAAAATGGCCAAAGATATCTTCAACTTGATAAGAAAATTATTCAGGGATATACCTGTTGATGATCATTCATCTGCACCTTACTTTGTAGGAGTACTTACTTCATTAATGGATCAAGCTATTAATCTCTCAACACAAAATATAATACAGAGTATCAGGAAGGGAAAAACCTCTGTTTTGAAGGATATTCAATTGGTTTACTCCACTTTGACAGTCCTTAACGGATTTAATTGTGTTCCCCAAATTGGAGAAATTGTTAATGTAGATATGAATGGCAGAGTTGAAAAAGCTAAAGTTAAAGAAATTGAGGAAACCTATCACTTGATCAAAATTGAACTATGTGACAAGACAGTCATTCACAGAGAACACTTTGTCTCTGCTGAGAATGTTAAGGTTGAAACCAACCAACCAATTGAAAAGTTTGACTTACAAAAGCAACATGTACACTCCTTATTCAAATTTATAACTGAGTTGGGAGTTATGGTGAATGGTACTGATTTAAGTTTAGATGACAAGATTCTATACTCTAATTTGTGGATGAGATCATTACGTTGGTTATTGGATGCTATTTCCATTCAAAATAACTATTCAACTATTGTTACAGAAACTTTACTTGGTGCCGATTCTGATTATGCTAATATGCTTGAAAAACTTGTTGGCCTTGGAGAAAAATCAACTATTTACCAAACACTTGCTAATGAAACAAACAAGTCACTCATAACCTATGGTAAAGATCTTAAATTGGATTCTTGCAGTTTTACATTTACAGGAAAGAAATTCCACAAACAATACTACTATAGTTGCCAAACTTGCAGTATGAACACTAACCAAGCTGTTTGTGCATTCTGTGCCAGAACTTGCCATAGAGGACATCGCTTGGGTACTTTGGAAGTTGGTGATTTCTATTGTGATTGCGGAGCTGGAGAAGCTGCAGCAAAGACACACGGAACATCTAATTGTAAGAGTTTAAGAAATGCATCCCCAGATCCAATTCTTACAACCGAAAGAATGGAAAGTGTAATGCTTCGTTTACAAAAATTAATGCCAATATCTTCCAAACGAAATCAAGCAGATACACTTGATTTGGTACCGAACAGTCCAAATAGTAGTACTGCTTCACAAAACAATCAACCAGTTCAAAAAGGACCTTCCAAATTTGTGGTAACCAACACTCTTGTACAAGATGGGGTACCATACACAATTAATAATGCTCCAGGAGAACTTCCACTCATCACTTTCAATCCAATGCGTTTGTACTCTCCAAAGCATTCTATAATTGCTACAGACTTTTCAGTTCCAATGAGCTGGCCTGGTTTTTACTTTGAAGTAGAACTTGTGGATTGTGGAGAAAGTTTTGCAATTGGTTTTTCATTACCATTTAATCCAACTAGTGCCATTACCTACAAGACAATCTTCTCTCAAACACAAAATATGTACACATGGCATACAGAAGCTGGTACTTTATACAAAGGAAATACTATTGTTAAAAACTCTTATCCAACTGCTTCAACAAAGGATGTCATTGGTTGTGGATTTATTAGAGAACAAAAAACTATTTTCTTTACTAAGAATGGTGTAAATTTAGGACCTTCTTTCCAAAATGTTGATTTAATAACACTCAGTCCAATTATTGCTATGAAGGGAAAGAACGTACAAGCAAGAGTTAATGTTTCTATGATTAAGCCATTCCAATTTAACTTGCCAAGAAATTTCAAGTTGCTTGTTCCTGTATATTATGCTATTAACAATCCTACATCAGAAATTGTAGAAACCAATCAACCACTGGGTAAGCCTTCTCAACCAGTTGTTCAAAATGAACTATCTGTCTTTGAAACCAGAGTCAAAGAATTGAAATCAGTTGTTAATGGACTTTACACTGAAGATGATATCAGAAGAGTGTTAACCTCTCTCAATAATATGGAAGGAAGTAATTTGAACATTCTTAACTTTGCTTTATCCATTTTACACAGAAATATGCAACCTCAAGTTCAAGTCATTTCTAAAACAAATGCACCAACACAACCAGAGGCTGTTCCTGTTCTAAGATTACAATTGGTAGAACAAATGAAGTTGATGGGCTTTACTAATGATAAGGTTTGCTTGAAAGCTCTTCAACTTGCCAATGACGATATTAACTTGGCTTTGAACTATGTTTTCGAAGGTGTTGTTGTTGAAGATACACCTCCACTTATTCCTAATATGGCTTCTAGCAGCAGTATTAGCATTCCTTCTTCTATTGCTCCTCCTGCCAATCCTTTTGTTGATAGAGAAGAATTCATAAAGAAGAATGAAAAGAGTGTAAATGACATTTTACTCTTTGAAAATTCTGGTGTACCATTGCTTGGATCAGAATGTAACAACTCTGATATGAAACAAAGATTATTGAAAGCTATGCTTCAAAACCCAGACATGAAAATTAACGAAAATAACTTTTGTGATTCTAATAATTTGAGAGAGGGCGATTTGGTTGTTGTTTCACCAAGAATTGTTGCTGTTGCTGATAATAACAGTGATTCTGGATATGATCTTTCTAGAAATAAGAAGACTGCTGCCCTGTCTAAACTTCGTGGTAAACTTGGCGTTGTATCTCGTAAGGTAACCTATGGCCCATACGTTATGGTAGCAGAGGAACAAGGTGCTGGATCTATTGTTACAGATTTGGTTGAATCCAAGAATGTCTACACAGCTCCACACGAGCTCAAAGGAATTACCATCAATGATGTTCCTGCAAAATGTTTAGAATTCTATATGGCTTTATCATCAACCTATATCAGAACAACAATTTTGAAAGCTTTGATAAAGGCATCAGAGATGAAAAATTTCAAAATGGATCTACCAAAGACCTTTTCAACAAAGAAGAATCTCATGAAAGGATTGAAGCTAACTTTGATAGATTCCTATCACCACTTGGATACCGATTATAACTTTATTTCTTCATATACCAATAATGTTATTCTTGAAAAGTCCGTAGACTATGATAATAATTATACATTTGCCAATAAGACATTACCTGCTATAGAACATTTTGAATCTTGGAAGAATATGGAAATTACTAATTCTGAAAACAAAGCTTCTGACATTTTCTTGGAAATTGAAGAAGAAGCACTCAATGATCTAAATGCTTATACTCTTGGACTTAATAACTATAGAAAATATGATTATAGAAAAGATATGAATGTATTGCACCAACAACCTACACCTTACAAGCAACATTTTATTCAATTTTATGGTGCCACTTCTATTGCTATTATTTTGGGAGAAAAATTTGAATTACCAACAACATTGGACTGTCTTACATTCTATTTTGATAGAAATGGTAAGAAAGTTGCATTGCAAATCAAGGGAGGTACTCCAGTTCAAGACAGATGTCTCATCATCACAACAAATAATTACAATTATTTCAACCAAACAGAACCTTTTGCCAATCAAGCACAACTATACTTTGAATTTACTGGACCAAGCGTAAGAGAAAACAATGGTGTTACCTTCTATGCAGCTCCTTACACTACAAAATTATCTCAAAGGGATGCCTTCCTTCAACCAAATATGCTCCTCTCTTCTTTAGTATTGAAGTACTCAGCCATCAGTAGAAAATCAAGAAAAGTTGATTTTACTGCAGCTCTTTACTTCCCAATCATGGGAAGATACCTGTTAACACCATTTGCTCCTTTCAAGGGTATTGTAGCTGATGCTCTTTGTCAATTAGACTATAGCAGTCCAGTTATTTTCAATTCTCACATAGATCCAATGTCTCACACTGGTATAAGGGATAGTATTGTTAAAAGTGGTCCAGCTTATGCTCACTTGTCATTATTGAAGAGGTTTAGAGTTGAATTGGAAGATTTATACAGAAAATATTTGAGATATAATGAAACTTCACCTCATGCCCTCCATAATTTCCACGCTCTGACTGAATTTATGACTGTCGTAAGAAAATACCTTGTTAGTGACTTGTGTCAATCCATGTTCCCAAGTGCCTCAAGCAGTTTATCTAATTTACCAACTAACCTTGCAAATATATTAGACAAACATCACATGTACAGTTGTAAGTTAGATCAACAACATTATGGAAGAACAGTTGAAAGAGAAACCCTGGCATGTACCAGTTGTACTCATAGTGTTGCTAAGCAGTTATCCATGTACGAAACAAAACCTTCCTCTTCTTTTGCCAAATATTTTGCTAATGAATCCACCAAATGTCAATCCCAGGTTGCTATGGAGTTCCAAATCAAGTATGATCACGAAAACTCATGTAATGTAGCAACAAGTATTGTTCCAATAGGAACTACAAGTGAATCCGTTTCAAAACTTTTCTCTAAGGAAGATAACTTGTTACAAGTTAACCCATCAGATTGGTTTGAACATGTATCTTGGGTTGACCAACTCACAATTATTAGAGAATTTTTGGAAACATTCACATCTAATAATGGTAGAACCTTCCCAGAATGGACCTTGTTTGAATCGATTCTTGAGAAGAGAAAGAAGGTCTGTTACAAGGAAAGCAAACATCCATACTCTGTTGTTAATGACTCTGATAAGATTAAGATTCCTGGAGCCAAGACCCTCTACATTACCTTTGATAAACACAGTAAGACTCACAAGTGTGATCGACTGCTCTTTAGTACTAAGAAGGCAGGCTCTGACGACTTGGGATCTTTCGGTGGAGATGAGTTGAAAGACAAAACTATTGTTGTACATGGTACAGACTCTGTTTACTATGATTTCACTTGTGGTGGAGGTGATCATGACGTTAAATGCTCTGGATGTAGATCTAATATTTCTGGAGTTCGTTATCACTGTGTCGAATGTGAGGAGTATGACCTTTGTGAAAAATGTGTTTCCAAGCAAGGAAGAGTTCACTCTGATTTGCACTTGTTCCTTAAAATTAGAAGGCCAGTTGATTGTATGCCTGCTATGATTCCTTCACTTTATACTCCAAGATGGAGGTCTACCTCTCAATTCAAAGGAAATATTCACGTTGGAGTTAAATGTGACAATTGTGGTGTAAATCCAATCAAGGGTATTCGTTATTGGTGTGAAAATTGTGAAAACTTCAACCTTTGTGAAAAGTGCGCTGACACTGAGTTCAAATACCATGATAGAATGCACATTTTCTTGCGTGTTGTTAGACCTTTACCACCAAAGAATCAAATGCCTGCCAATGCTCTTCCATATGGTCTCGTTTATGAGAAAGATATGGATTCTCACTGGGGTTATATGTTTAGCGTTTCTTCCTCTATTGAAGCTTGCCCTAGAATATCACAAGTCCAAAATGAGATTGATGAAATAAGATCTTTAATGAAGATTGGAAAGGATAATCAACCTATTGGGGAAGACGATGTAGATCCTGTCGAGTTTGACAAGCAACTACTCGAATATGTTGAAACATATAGCAACGGATGGCAATCATTAGAATGGAATCAACTCTCACCAAAGAAAGAAGAATTAACTAATTTACCGCTACTTGATAGAGTCCCTCTCAACAGACTTAGATATAGATTCGTTCTTCTCAAACTTTTCAACAGAAGAATTTCACGAGTTATCAATATTTTAGATTTTACAAATACTTCAAATATTGAGAGAATGAATGACTCAAGAGCTGTAACTATTACAGACATGATTAGTCAACAATTGAGAGATAGAATTTTCTATTCTGTAAAGATGGATGCTTGGCAACATACTATCATGAAGTCTCATGTAACAGTTGATCCTATCCATTTGAAGCTCAATAGACATTTGGCCTCTGAAATGCACCCAACAGATAGACAAAGAAATGCCTTCAATTCTCTCTTTATTCAAGCTTTCAACCAAGTTAAATCTATGCATCCAAAGATTTTGAGCAGAAAACAAGCCTCATGGAAGGTAACATTGATTGGCGAAGCAGCTGATGACTATGGTGGACCTTTCAGAGAGTCTTTATCAAACATGTGCCAAGAATTGATTGCTAATGATCCTTCTGTTTTGGATTTATTCATCCCAACTCCTAACAAGGTTTCTGGACAAGGTGATAACAGGGACAAGTTTGTTCCAACTCCAAAGAGCACAAGTGATCAACATCTCAAGTGGTATGAATTTGTAGGAATGTTAATGGGTATTGGTATTCTTACGAAGAACGTTTTGCCATTCGATTATCCTTCCTTAATTTGGAAAAGTCTTGTTAATGAAAAGATTGGTTGGACTGATTTGAGATCCTTTGATGAAGAAATTTACAATGCCATGAAATCAATACTTGAACTTGGAGATGTAGACGATTCAGATTATGAATTGAAATCAATTATGGAAGACAGTTTCTCTCAGACCTACTATGGAAGAATGCTTACCACAATGGGAAGCGACGGCAAAGAAGTAGAGCTTGTACCAAATGGTACTAATATTGAACTTTCCTATAATAATAGAAAACAATATGCAAACTTGATCTATGATTACCGATTAACTAAAGAGTTTAATTCCCAATTGAATGCCATCAGAAAAGGACTGTTCAACATGCTCACTAACAGATACTTTAGTCTCTTCTCTTGGCATGAACTGGAAAGAAACGTGTGTGGTATTCCTGATGTAGATGTTGAAAAATTGAAGCAACACACAATTTATGAAGGATACACAATCCAAAGTAGAGAAATCAAGCACTTCTGGGAAATTATGCAAGCATTCAGTCCAGAACAGCGCTCACTTTTCCTCAAATTCGTCTGGGGTAGAGGTAGAATGCCTTACAATGAGAGTGAGGCCTTCTCCAATCCAATGAAGATTCAAAAACTTGATAGACCAAATCCTGACATTGTCTTGCCACTTTCGCACACTTGTTTCTTCTCTATTGAGTTGCCATCCTACTCTACAAAGGAAATTATGAAAGAAAAACTCTTGTATGCCATCATCAACTGTAAAGCTATTGATATTGATTTTACTACAAGCGCAATAGAAGCTCAGAATTATTCTATTGCTGTAAGAAGATAATTATTTCAATAAAACTGAATAATCTTCAAAGCAATTAATGCCAATTCATTATTTTGTTTATATCAAAGAAGGAAAACTGAAAGGAAACCTCAGTGCTTGCTTTGAAGACTTAAAACTCACCAGTAATGCTACTGGAATGACAAAAACCTCCTTGAAATATTAGAATTGTTACAAATAAGTGATTCTATTTTTTCACATTTCCAAATTGGTATTCACCAAAGCATAAATTTTTTCAATCAAAAAAAATACGCGAAAATGAGCAGCAAGAATACTGTCTTTAAGAAAATTATTATTGGTTGTGACCACGGAGCAGTTGATTTGAAGAATCAAACTGTGAATTATATTAAATCGGTTTACGGAAGTAAGCTTGACAATTTTTTCGATTTTGGTGTTCATACTGAAGATAGAGTTGACTATCCAGATATTGCTCATGAAGTTTGCAAACGTATTCAATCAAATGAATATGATGGAGGTATTTTGTTGTGCGGAACTGGTGTTGGTATTTCAATTGCTGCTAACAAACATGAAGGAATTAGAGCAGGACTTTGTCACGATGATTACACTGCTGAAATGATTAGAAAACACAATAATTGTAATATTCTCGCTTTCGGAGGTAGAACAACAGGTATTGAAATTGCTAAAAGAATGGTTGATATTTTCCTTACCACTGAATTTGAAGGTGGAAGACATGCTGAAAGAGTTGACAAGTTGAAAATTACTTCATGTTGCGAAAGTAAATAAATATTAAATAATATTATATTATTTTACAAAACTGGTGTATCGTGTAAGGCACAACAAACTACTGCTTTTGCATGTCCCTTATATTCTTTGATATATTCTCCTCTATTACAATCCCAAAGTTTAGCTGTCAAATCTGAGCTTGCTGTCACTAAATATGAAGAATCAGAATTGTAAGTACAATCCCAAACCCATTTCTTATGTCCATTAAGAGTCTTTTGAAGTCTACATTGACTAGATAAATCCCACAATCTAACAGTGGAATCTGAACTACAAGTAGCAAGTTGTGTACAGTTTGGAGCAATTTTACATTTAAGAATATAATGATTAAAGTGAGCATTGAATTGATAGATCAATCGTATGACACCATCTTCAGTAATTGTACAAGTTTGCTCATTATTGGTTGTTGTCTTTGGAGTTGGGAATATTGATGGTGTTGCTGGTTGTACCATATCATGTAATTGGGCTCCAATATTGATACCACTCATTGATGAGGTCAATGGTGTTGTACTACCAAAGTCAGAGAATGATTTTGAAGAAGATAAAAGTGGCTTTGATGATGTAACAAAATTCTTCTCAGCACTAAAACCATATGATTCCCAAATACTATTCTCTGTTTCTTCATAGCACTTGTAGTGATAAATATATACATTTCCCTTTTGATTGGCAACAGCAATTGTTCTTCCATCTTGACTAACATCTACACTTCTAATAGGAGTTCCTTTACATACACAAATCTTGTAGGCACACTTGTCTTCGGTCAAGTCCCAAATTCGCAAATATCCCTTCTGATCACCAGCAATTAATTCTACTTGATTTGGATGTAAAACAACAGAATTAACGTGATTATTACTTGCTCTAATACCTTTAGAACTCTTCTTTTTACGTTGTTGTTTACCTGATGATCCACATACTGAATATTCTCTCTGACAAGTAAAAGTACGTAAATCCCAAACTCTCACCGTTCCATCTTCTCCAGCACTGTACATCCACTTGTCTTCCTGTTGAAATCCAATAGCTAGAATATTTGCAGTGTGTCCTTCTAAACTACCAACAAGTGGTAATTGTTGTTGCTGTTGTTGTTGTGGTTGGGATCTACTACTCGACTTCATGGTTCTTCCTCTTGGTGGATCACTTGTAGCCAATTGAAAGAGACGAATATGATTGTGAGAGGCAGCAGCCAATAAATGTTTGTTGTGGGAAATACAGAGAGCATTTACTTGTGGATCCGTATAATTGATGGTGTGAGAGCAAACATTTGTGGTTGGTTCCCACAAGCGAATGGTCTTATCGTAGGAGGCTGTACAGAGAATAACTCCTTGTGGCATTTTTCTAATAATTTATAATCTTTTATTTTTTTTATTATTAATTGATGATGTTGATGAGGTGTGGATTGACCTCAATTCAGATTGTGTGATTTCCTCAATCAAGTTTTTACTGTAAAAATAACTTTCCCTCCAAAATATTGAAATGTTTTATGTATTGGCGCGAACACTTTGAAAAAAAAATAGTCAACTTGTGATGGAGGCACCAGTATTTACCAACGTCAAACAAGCCTTAATCACATCGGCTGAAGCTCTTCTGATTGATCATAGCGCTATCAAAACTGAAGAGGATGTGATTGTAAGTAATTATTTATTCTCATAATTAAATCATTGATAATTATTCGAATAGTCAATTAAAATCAATCAGCACGGTTCGAAAAGAGAACAATTAGAATTTAAGGCTAACTCCTTGAATGAAAGTATGAAGTCGATCAAATCATCTCTGGATGAAACTTGGAAGAACACCACTTCTCTTCAATATGGAACGGTTGTTCATGTTGCCTCTTTGAAGAAATATTCCGAAAGTACTGATGAATACAAGAAGGATTTCACCATGTTCGATCAAGAATTTCAATCTGTGAGAGAAAGAATGGATCAGTTGAATAGTCAATTCATAGAATTTAGTTCGAAAATGTCTCTTGAGGAGAAGAAGAAATCCGACTTATCAAAGGCTGTTAAGACCGCTGTTCTATCAAAGCAATCTCTGGAAAAGGCCATTGAAGCAAGCAGTCAAAGGATATTAGATACAGAGAAGGCTCTTTCTGAAATGAATATCAACCTTTCCTCCACACTAAGCGAGTTGCAAAACAAGGAGAGACTTTTGCAATCCACTTTGTTCGAAACCAAACAGCAAGAAGAGAATGAAAAGGCAGCCAAGTCAGAGCTCGAATCAGCCACAGAAAGGAGGGAGAAGAAAGCTCAATCATTGAATGACCTTGTGCAAAAGATAGAACATTCAAAGACAGAGAAGGAGGAAGCAATCTCAAATTTAGATTTGAAGGGAAAGGAGGTATTCAATGAAGTGACAAAGAGTATTGACATGGAAATTGAGCAAATCAACCAAGATGTAGAGCAACGTAAGGGCAGCCTTTCATGTATGCAAGAAGATTTGAAGAATTTGGAAGGCGTAACAGTCCAACAAAAGTAAGTAATTGATTATTCTTTGGATCATTCACCGATTAACAGAAAGTTATTGTTTGAAAAGCAAAAGTCAGTAGTTGAAAAAAGAAAAGAATTGTGTCTGTTGGAAAGAAATTTAGAGACCAAGAAGCAAGAAACAATTCAATACCATAGGCATGTAGAGTCAATCAAAAAAGATTTAGCCAACATCTCCAAGTCAATTGAAAAATCTAATGCCGAGTTGTCCTCAAAGATTGATCTTCTCAAAGAAGTTTCAGAACCAAGCTCTGAATTGATGACTGTGAAGAAAGACCATGAAGATATTTGTCAAGCATTGGGAAAGGTTAAAGAAACGATCCAGTCTAAGAAAATTCACATTGAAAATGGTTTACACAAGCTGAAGGATCACAAGGTTAGTATCTATGATTTTTGTTTTAACGAGCTTTTTAGGTTTTGATTCAAGAAAATATGAACAAGTCATCCTCACTTCAGAGTGAAATCTCTCAATATGACATACATCTTTCAGAGATTTCAAGATTAGAACCAGATCTCCAAAAACAAATTAAGAAATATGAGCAAGCAAGCTCTGAATACGAAACACGGTTGGCAAAGGCAGAGGAGAAGTGTAGCATGTCCTCCAAATATTCTGAAGGAAAGAAGAAGTTTGACGAGCAAGTGGCCCAAAAGAAAAATGAAGTCGAACAAAAGAAGAAGCAAGTGGAAGAGGATCTTAAGAAACAATTCGAATCAGATATCCAAAAGATTCAAATAGAAATGGAGAATGAAGAAGATAAGGCTGAGGAAAATCTCAGATTGTTATTGATCAGGCATGAGAAGGAGAGAAAGAAGAGGGTAAGTATTCTCCTTTTCTTTATGAATGACTCATTACAAATGTAGGCCGAAACAATTGAGGAACTTAAGCTTAAGGCTGAAAAGGCAAAGAAACGTAAAGCACGTAATCTAGAAGAGACTCCAAAGAAGAAGAAAAAGAAGAGTGTCACAGATGATATTGATGAAGACATTTTCTCTGTGGTAAGTTTTCAAAATTCTAATTTCCAATCACCTTGCACCTTTAGTCATCACAAAGTTCAGACATAACAAGAACTTTTGTCAAAACCACATCAAAGAAGGATAAGCAACCCAAACCAAAGAAAACCAAGGAAACAAATCTATCTCCACCAAGTAGCACTAAGGGAAGAAGAAAAAGTCAAACAGAAACCAAATCAAAGAAGGCAGAACAGGTTGAGTCCACTGGAAAGAAAAGCAAGACACCTACAAGCAAAACAAGTAAGAAGAAAGATAGCTTGAATAATTCTCAAATGTCTGTCTTTGATTTTACAGACTAGAGAACTTCCAACTGTACATATTATAAATATTAATAATGGTTGTCTGAACGTTTACTGATTCCTCAGTTCTTGTTTGACTTCAGTTAGTAACTTTCCAAGTAGATTTAAACCAGGCCATTTTGAAGGGTGGGTCTCTATTGCTTCGTGTTCTCTCATTCCTATTCCCCAAATTGCATCATTTGGAGATGCTTCCGCTAATATCTTATCGCCAGTACTTAATAGAGTTTGTTTGATATCCTCATTCTGTGAAAATTTTGCATAAAGATGTCTCTTCATAATTAGCTCTCTATTTTGATTCCACATGTCGTCAGTGAAATTCGACACCATTCTTCCAAGCTGTTTAGCATTTGATGGACTTGTATTGGCCAAAATATCTTTTGCCACCTCATCATCTCCGAATAATTTAGCTTTCCCATACATCATTCCTTGTTCTGTATTTGCAAATTGAATTCCATCTAATACATAACTAGCTGCATGCCAATTACTAAACACTGATTTATCCTTCCAAAAGAACTCGTATTTTTGAGTATTGCCGAACTTGTCGTATGGTTTCTTTGATTGTTGTTGGGATGGCATTTTTTTATAGTTTTTTCAAAAACTTTCATGTTGGAAATTGATGTTGTAAACAATTATTTTTAAAACTGTTTACAATAAATACAATTAAAAAACAATATTTAATCAACTACCGACAACATTCTAAGTGTAACTATGCTCAATATGTTAAATAATTTAAATTCTTGTTAACATTCTTAAGACAACATTTGAATAAGAAATAAGAAACAAACTTAATATTGTTAATTTGCCCTCCCGCGGAGTTCTATTCCTTTCTTCTATTTTCTTAAATGATCTATCAACATCTGCCAACTGTAACATCTGTCGCATTTGTTAAAAAAAAATGCAACAAGTTAATTCATCATTAACAATGAAGTTAATTACGTTCATTGCCATATTTTTAATGATCATTAACATGGCAACATGTGTATCATTAAATAATCATCATCCTGTCACTTCTCATGTCAATAATGACATTAATTATCATCAAGTAATTTTTGACTATATGAAAGATCGTTCTAATGAAAATTTTAAATATCAACTTTTAAATTCGGTTGACATTCCAAACACTGCTAAATTTTATGTATTTAACATGACAAGTGTCAAATGGTTAACTAACAAGGAAGTGTCACGTAGTGAGTGGTATCATTTTGTTGAAATTGTTGTTCCCTATCAAATAACTCAAACTAAACAAGCACTCATGTTAATTGCAGGTGGATCATCAAATTCACAAGTTCCAACACTTGACAAGGAATTAATTCAAATGGGTGTTTTAACAAAATCAATTGTTTGTACCATTCATCAAATTCCAAATCAACCACTCACTTTCTTATCAGATCCAGAAAAGAAGAGTCGAGTTGAAGATGCAATTTTAGCATTTGCTTGGGCAAGATTTATGAATTTAACACAGGAAAATGATGAATTGAAAAGTAATACTGAATGGATTCCAAGACTTCCAATGGTCAAGTCAACTCTATTTGCTATGGATTTAGTTCAAGAATATTTATTGAAAAATCTTAATATTAAGGTTGAAGATTTTCATGTTGCTGGTGCTTCAAAGAGAGGTTGGACGACAAATCTTGTTGGTGTTGTTGATCAGAGAGTTAAGAGTATTATTCCTATTGTTATTCCAATTTGGAAAACAAGAGAAGTATTGGGTATGTTTTTTTTTCTTTTTATTGAACTAGTTGTATATTGAACTATGAAATTCTTATTGACTGGATTGTAACTTATTGTAACTTATTGTAAAAATATAGAACATACATATAATTCACTTTGTTTTTGGCCTGAAGCAATGGGTGATTATGTAAGGGAAGGAATTATCAATCGATTGAATTCAAAGGAATTTAAATTATTAGCAGATGTTATTGATCCATTCGAATATAATGATATTCTTGCTGGTAAATTTAAATATTTTGTTAATGCAGTTGGTGATCAATTCTTTGTACCTGAATTGAGTCAATTCTCCTATCCATTTATTAAGGGAAGTGATGAACGTAAACATTTGAGATATATTCCAAATGCAGATCACTCAATGGCTGGTTCTGATGCTGAACTTACAATTTTGGCCTATTACTATTGTTTAATTAACAATATTTCACTTCCAATTTATAATTTCAATTTGAAATCTGATTCATTATTGACTGTCAATATTGTAAAGAATATTTTACCAATTAAGAGTATTTTATTATGGGAAGCTTTTGCTCCAAATAGAGATTTTAGACAACAAACTATTGGAAATGTTTGGAAATCAAGAGATATTTCTACTAATTACAATGCTCAAACTTGTCAAATTAGTGTTAATTTAAATAATCCACCAAGTGGTCAATTTTATGCTGCATTTGTTGAATTGACATTTGATCTTGGAGGTGCTATCTATCTCAAATTCACAACTTCAGTTTATATTCTTCCAAATGTTTTACCATGTCATTATAGTGACATTTAGTTTGGAATAGAATATGGATTTAGTATGAATGAGATATTCCAATAAAAAAGTATTTCATTGATTTCAATTGTAGTATGCTTTGTGCTTTGAGAATTTTCACTTATACTAACTCGAATTCCATCTTTAAATATTTAAATATTAATATTGTTGAATATTTAAAAAGTTTTACAAAAAAAAAATGATGAAAAAGGCCATCAAACAATTTTCCTGTAATATTCATAACAATAACAACAACAAAACTAGAAAGGAAGCACTCTCCATCCTCTCTAGAAAACACAATTATTTAAATAATAATCAACAAAGAAATACATCTTTCGGACAAGAACAAATTAAATGTTTTTCATCAAGCCTTTTATCTTTAACATCATCTAATAGTAATACAACAACATCAACAACAGCAACAACTCAAGCAAGTTCTAAATTTCCAACTCGTCCAGTTCCTGCCGTATCTGTTACTCTATTAAAATTAATAACAAGAGGTTCCGAAGTGGATGGATTTAAAGTTTTAATGATTAGGAGAGGAAAGGCTCCTGGAAAGGATTTGTTGGCTCTTCCTGGTGGACATTTAAATCTCGGAGAACGAATGATTGAAGGAGCAAAGAGAGAATTGCAAGAGGAGACTGGAATTAATGCTGATTTAATTCATTTCACTAATGCTCCACTCTTAACTGTTGAATCAATTTATTATCATCAGGAGGGAGATGATGGGAATGAGACAACTTCTCACAATGAAGAGGAGGATATTAGAACTATGAAGATTTCAACAAAATCGAATGAAATTAATTTTAGAAAGGAACTTGGTGAGGAGTTGACTAGAAGAAAGAGAGAAGGAGATGATTCTATTCAAATTCAATATCATTTCATTATTTCAAGTGTTTTGGGTATTGTTCCACCAGAATTAAATCATCAAATTGAAGGAGAACCTTCAGATGATGCTTCACAAATTCAATGGATTAAAATTATGAAAAATGGAAAGAGTAGAAATTCTGTGGAATTGGATGAAGAGGGATGTATTACTACTCACATGAGTGAATGGATGGATGAAAGAAATCATAGAGGATTGTGTGAAAAGTTAAAGACTATTTACACTATGCCAATTGTTGTACGTCATGCTATTATGAGACTCATTTCTTGTTATCCAGAAATTCAATCGCAAGCTCTTGTTACACCAACAGATTTATCCCTCTTGTATCAATTGAATGACATGATGGTATTCTATCCAATAAGAGATAAGGTTTTGGAATTTTGGTTCCAAGGTGACATGGCTCCTCAACAATGGTGGTTCAAGTCAAGTCCAACCATTGATCAAGGTATTAAGAAATTATTCGAATCTCATGTTGCTGCTCTTTCCAATAAGCTTGAACTTCTCTTTGAAAAGTCATTCGAAGAAATTGATGCAGTTTTGAAGAAGCAATCTAAGGAAACCTTGTTATCTGCCATGATCATGTTGGATCAATTCCCAAGAAATATGTACAGAAATAGTGCAAAGAGTTTTGCTTTTGATGATGTTGCTGTCAAGCTTTCATTATGGTGTATTGAAAACCAAATTGACCAACAATTTGAATTCCCATTACAAAAGATCTGGTTCTACTTCCCATTAGAACACGCTGAAGATGCAGAATTACAAGACATGTCATGCGAACTTTTTGGTAAACTCGTTGAAGAACATGAAGCTATGGCTCTTTTCAATAAGTATGCTATTAACCACAGAGAAGTCATTCAAAAGTTTGGAAGATTCCCATATAGAAATAAGGCCTTAGGAAGAGAAAGTACTCCAGAAGAAATTGAATATCTAGAAAGTCAATAAATTATTATGAAGACATCGACGTGTCAAACACATGATCATTTAATTAATAATAAGATAGTGAACGGATATAAGTCAATAAATTATTTAATGATTGGATTGTTTTTCGGTAGAGCCAACATAGGTTTCTGATAATAAAAGGACGCCAATCGCAACCATTCCTGGTAAGTAAACGTTGAACATGCTTCTCTTTTCAGATTTTTCATCTACTTGGCTATAACTTTCCCATGAATATCTAGTGAAAAAGCTCAAACTTAAAAAGCTAATGTTTAACAACAATACCAACAAGCTAAAATTTTGTTTTCTGGCAATTATCATTACTTTAGTAATGGAATAAACTGAAACAAGAGCAAGAGCAGCCCCATAAATACATTGTCTTTGTAAATAGTTCAATAAATTTTCAATATTCTATTTAATCCTTACCTAAATGTGTGATATCCAAATACAAAGGTATCCAACATGATAGCAACCCCAACCAATACGTATAAATAGTAGAACGCCGTGGATTTCCAGTCATTCCATCCAACCATTTTGAGTAATATATAAAAAGCAAAGACTGAGAATAATATAAAATTGTAATGGCCAGAAACAGAATTAGGATGAATATTACAAGTATGATCTCCAATATATAATTTCAAGAATATTACTACAGAATATGAGCAATAATACCATGATGAAAATTGTAAAATTGCTCTTAAAGTTTCTTTCCAATTTCTGCAATGAGTAGAAGGAGAGTATTGTTTCTTATATGAATAAATTAAAGTTATAACTATTCCGAATAATGTTAATACTAAGAAGGAAGGAAATAAAAAGGTCTTTTTCAAATAAATTGCATTTGAAACTACTTGTTCTTTTTTCTCAAATCTATCCACTAAACAAACATCCACATAATCATTATTATATTCAACCATGGATAACAATCTGCAAATTATTGTTAAACTCAAAATCCATTTTCAAAACACAACATACAAACTAGATATAATTAAAAGTCCACTCAGAACTGTCAATACGTAATCAACCATATTTGCAATGTTTTCTTGATGTTGTAATGTAGGAGATGAAGAAGAAACGTCAATATTTACTCTATCAGTAGAACTCATCCAAGAAGCAGGTGTATTTGCTATTTATCATCACCCAATGAATTATCATACGATAATAATAACATTTAAATTATTAATTATTGAAAAATTCATCATCACACCATTCCGGAATATGTTGTTATCCAAATAATAATAATAATAACATCATCATCCACACATCATCATCAAACCAGCAAACTTACGCGCCAAATTACGAAGTATTTTACTCTTCCGAAAATTCATTCAATTTCCACGTTATCACGTTGTGCTATTTTTTTTGAGATTTAAGAAAGGAAATTTTGTAAAAATAATTGTTATCGACATCCTTTTTAAAATAGATAACAATAAACTTTGAACAAATCAATGAAATTATTAATTTGAAATTTAAGAATTTTTTCATTCCGTACCTTTGAGGTATTATCATTAATCTAATTGGAACTTGGAACATGAATCATATCAATTATTTATACTCAACTTAAGGGCGATACAATAGTTAGTAAATAATGATTATTATTTATTGATCAATTCTCACATAACGTGCTAGATGATTTACAACTTCTTGCATGTCTTTCTCTTGATACAAATCTTCTTCAAGATTGACTTGCAACACTTCTTCTTTCCACCAACCAATTTGAATTTCTTACAAATCTTCTTTCCCTTAGAACGTTTCAAACACTTCTTATAATACTTCTTCTTGATACATCTTGGTGGAATTGTAATTGACTTGGCACAATACTTCTTCTTATTATATTTGACACATTTGGAGAGAGTCTTCTTGTGCTTACAGAACTTGATGGTCTTATGCTTGGCACAGAAGAATTTCTTCTTAATGAGACAACACTTCTTGAAAGATTTTCTTTCCTTACAGTATTTAACCTTCTTATACTTGGCACATTTCTTAGCCCAGGAGACAATCTTGCACTTTTTAACATATCTACATTTGGCGACCTTCTTATTGTAAGAATCAACAGTGTACTTGTCGCAGACCTTCTTCTTTTCACACTTCTTGATTGGAACCTTCTTGAATTTCTTGCAGACCTTCTTAACACCCTTCTTGACGCACTTGTTGACAATCTTGTGCTTGGCACAGAATTTCTTGAAACCCTTCTTGACGCAAATCTTCTTAGTTCCATAAGAATCACAAACTTTCCAGTGCTTCTTCTTGGCACATCCAACAGTCTTGTATGCATGCAAGACACACTTCTTTGTTGCCTTACTATACTTGTCACACTTGGAATATTTCTTATGTTTGAGACATTTACCAGCACCGACAATGGCATATTGATCACAGACCTTCTTTTGACCAACGAGTTTGTGTTTCAAACACTTCTTAATCCACTTGTGCTTTAAACATTTTCTCTTGCAAACCTTTGGCTTGTGATACTTGTCAACTACTGGAGGTTTGGTTTGATAGCTGTCGCTTGCTTGAACTGAAAGGATTGCAATCAACAATAGAATTGCAATTGAAACGATTATATTTGTTTTCATTTTTTCTGTTTTGTTGATCTTGTAGTTTCAGAAAACTGAAGACAATTTAAACCTTTCGAATACCATTTCATTAGGGATAAAACTCAAAATTAGAAACTTGTAAGGTTCCAAATATGGAAAGAAATTTGATTCATAATTTGATAAAATTTGATCCCTCCATTCGCTGAATGAACCAAAGTTTACAATAATAAAGTGTTTTCTTGTAATAAACGTATTGTAAACTATTAAAGTTCCTTGAGACATAACTCTCAGTTGAAAGTATTAATATTTCAATTTTGTGATATGTTTCGTATTTAAGAGAGCATCTTTCCCTTCCTTATCCATGTATTCCGAGAAAATCCTAAGTTTTTTCAAGTTTTTCATTTTAGTGATTGCAATTATTCCTTCATCACCAAATTTGTTCTCATCAACTTGTAGTATAGTTAATTGCATCATTTCACTAATGTACTTTGCACCTTCATTACCAAACTCATTGTTACGTGCATTTAGATCAGTCAATTTTTTCAACATACTAATCGATCTAATACCACGATCTCCAATGCTGTTGAACCCAACATCAAGTTTTGTTAAGTGTTCCATTCTGCTTAGTAATTCAGCTCCATTATCATTAATTTGATTTTCTGAAATATCGAGCATTGTTAAATGTTTCAATTTACTTATAAACTCAAAGCCATCATTTCCAAGACCTACAACTCCAAATTCTAACTTTTTCAAATGGTCCATTTTACCAATCATTGAAAAACTCTCGATATTCAAATCATTTCCACCAATATTTAGTTTTGATAATTTTTTCATGTTGTAAATATCTTTCGCCACCTCCTCATCAACATCATTATAGCTAACATTTAAATAAATCAATTGTTGCAGGTCGCTTAAGTGTTTCACTCCTACATTAGATAAATAATTTACGGAAATATCAAGTTTGGTCAGTTGTTTCAATTGACCAATAGATTTAGCGCCTTCATCATCAATATTGTTTCCGCTTATATCAAGTTTAGTTAATTGCTTCAAATCTTCAATTTGGTTTGATGATGATTTTTCTAATTTGTTGTACTGCACTTTGAGTATTATTAATTGTTTCATCTCACATATAAATTTGAACCCTTTTGAACGAATAGAGTTGTGAGAAATATCGAGATTAGTCAATTGGCCCAATTTGCTAATAATTTTTGATCCTTCCTCACCCATTCGACAATATCTAACATCTAGTTCAGTCAATTGCTTTAATAAACCAATCGCCTCAACTCCTTTCATTATTGGGTTGTCACTAATATTGAGAATAGTTAATTGTTTAAATTTACCAATTGGTTCAATATCATTAAAAGTGTGTTTGCTCAATTTTAATTCAGTTAATTTTGGCATCAATCCCACTAACTTCCAAAATTCATCTATGTTTGAAATGTTCTTAAAGCTAACACTTCCAATACATGCAAGAAATTGATTTGTCATTATTTGTTCCAAATCTATTTCTTTTTTAAATTTGAGAGACAATTTTGAATATCTCATCACAACATTAAACCACTGTTTTGAAATTAGACAACAAGTCTTGAGAATGAAAACAACATCAATAAAAGATAATATTTCATAACAAATATCATCAATAAATAATTCTTGGTTGTCATCTACACATATTTCCAATTACATATAATAGGAGTGGTGGATTTATTACTAACCTCTTCTTGATGTCGTCCTTTTCGAAAAGGGATGATAATCTGTCACATGATCCGAATCGTCCAATAATCGTTTGCTCATTTTTTTTAGATTTTTATTTAATCCTTCGAAGTTATTTTTTCAAAACATATAATTAAGGAAATATTGTAATATTGAGCCAACCACCTAGTGTACTAGTAAAAACAACCTCGATCAATAAATTGATTATTTCAAACTACTCTAACCTTCAATACTTGTTTGCCTTCTCTCTTATTTATTTACAAATATAGCAATTAATTATTATTAATACAACAATTTAAAAAAAATGAAAAACCTTAAAACCATCACCAGTACTTCGCTCACTTTTTCGTCATCACTCTTGCAGAAGAAGCAACAGCAGCAAATGAATATCATGATTGGCTTGCAAAACAACCTCGGAACGAAGGTTACACTGCTCAAAACCAAATACTGTTGTTCCCTCCACACAGCTAGATTTGGAGCATTGAACGATAGCATCAATGCTGCTATTGCTGCTACTGAGCAAGATAATTTCAATCACAAGACACAATCATCTTTAATTTTCCATCAACAGGCTTATCATCATTCTCCGAAGAATTTTCCTACAGAAAAAAAATTCTCAAACTCTAATCGTCGTTATCATCGAGGACAAGTTGCCTTTGGATTGGATAATAGTAGTAGTGTAAATACCAAATATAATATTGGATTGATAAGTAATAGTAGTGGAGCATTTGTTAGTAGAAATTATTCAAAAATGATGGGAGAGAAGAGAAAAGTTGTCGGAGCTATTGATCAGGGAACTACTTCGACGAGATTTATGTTGTTCGATGCTAGTGATATGAAGGAAGTGGCCTCTTATCAAATTTTACATGAAAATCATTTTCCTAAACCTGGATGGGTTGAACAGTAAGTTGTTGTGGAATGAATTTTTATTTGAAATGGTATAGAGATCCTATTGAAATTTATACAAATACACTTGAGTGCATGACTAATGCATGTGAAAAATTAGAAGGAGAGGATTATGAAATTATTGGTATTGGTGTGACTAATCAGAGAGAAACAACAGTGTTGTGGGATTCAGAAACTGGAAAACCACTTTGTAAATCAATTGGTATGTTTTATATTCTATAGAAATGATTAATGAAAATAGTTTGGAACGATACAAGAACAAGAGATTTGGTCGATTCCATTTGTAAATCAAAAGCTGGAGGTGACTACTCCAAATTTAGAGAAGTTTGTGGTCTTCCACTTTCCACATATTTCAGTGCAGTTAAACTGAGATGGATGATTGACCATTATGATGAGGTAAAAAAAGCAGTCGATAAAGGAACTTGTATGTTTGGAACTGTTGACAGTTGGTTGATTTGGGTATGTACTAATATTGGAATTTAATTTTGTAAACTTCATTTCAGAATTTAACAGGTGGCCTGAAGGGTGGTATTCACATTACAGATGTTACCAATGCCAGTAGAACCATGTTAATGAACTTGAAGACACTTAAATGGGATGATGATATGCTCAATCTCTTTGAAATTCCATCAGGTGTTAAACTTCCAACCATCAAGAGTAGTGCTGAAGTTTATTCAAGTATTTCTAAGGAAGTTGTACAAAATCACCCTCTTTTAAGTGGAGTAGCCATTTCTGGAGTAAGTACTCTAATATTCAAAGTATAATAATATTTATTTCATCATATTCATAATATACAGTGTATAGGAGATCAACAAAGTGCCACTATTGGCCAAAAGTGTTTTAAAATTGGAGATACAAAGAATACATATGGAACAGGATGTTTCTTACTTATGAATTGCGGACATGAAATTGTTAAATCCAATCACGGATTATTATCAACAGTTCAATATCAACTAGGACCAAATGCTGCTCCAGTCTATGCCTTGGAAGGTTCTGTTGCAGTTTGTGGATCTGGTATTTCATGGTTGGAACATAATTTAAAACTCATAGAAAATCCAGCAGAATCTGAAACACTTGCCAGAACAGTTGAAGATACTGGAGGTGTAGTTTTTGTTCCTGCCTTCTCTGGATTATATTGTCCATATTGGAGATCTGATGCACGTGGTACTATTGTTGGTATTACTCACTATACAAACTCTGCCCACATTGTTAGAGCCATGTTAGAAGCTGTATGTTTCCAAACACAAGAAGTACTTGAATCCATGGTGAAAGATAGTGGACTTGCTGTTACAAACTTGATGGTTGATGGTGGTATGACCAAGAATCAATTATTAATGCAACTTCAATCTGATATCAGTAGAAAGAAAGTTAAAGTTCCATCCTATCCTGAAACAACAGTATTAGGAGCTGCAATTTGTGCTGCATTTGGCGTTGGACATTTCAAGGAAATCAAGGATATTCCACCATCTCCAAAAGATAAGATGTTAATATTCACTCCTCACATCTCTGAGCAAGAAACTGAACTCAAAATGAAGAGATGGAAGAAGGCCATTGAAAAGTCATTAAATTGGCATGAAGAATAAAGGATAGATGTTCTATAAGAAAGATCTTGGAAGAAAAAAGAGTTGATGGTTCTTTATTGTGTCATTTTCAAGGCGCGATGATTGTTCAAGATGTAGTATATCCTTCTGCAAGGAACAGAGTTGATTCGATGATAACAGTCGTCGTGGGTACCACACTATTCGTTTGCGATCCGATTGTTGTAGTGGCCACAGTGATAGTAGTGGTAGAGAACATTTTGATAATAGATTGATATTCTTCAGTTTTTTTAATTTTGTTTTTTAATGATAGTCGGAAAGTCAATACTCAAGCTTGAAAATACGTGAACAGCCAAACTATTCAGACATTTGGCAGGTAAACCAGTCAGGACATTTTTTAAAACTATTTTTAAACGTGATTTCAAAAAAACTAGTCGTTACGAAATAAATTAAAAAAAAAGCAAAAACACTTTAAGCTTTGCCAGCGAAAGATGAATATGAGCTTGAGAATTTATTCATCATCAATAAACAAGTAAATTATCGTCCATCAATAATCTACTCGCAGTATCAATACTTGGAGGCGCTCGATGGTTCATTACCTCCATCAAACTTGTTGCCAAAATCGCTTTCTGTCATTGGTGTAGCAAATTTTATACTTTCTACCTTTTGAATCGCAACGTGGTGGTCATTGCCTTTAACAGAAAAACACCACAAACCATCAACAACAATGGTGTGAGTAGTATCATCTTCTTCAACTACTACTACTACACTATTATTTGGTGTAAAATTTTGATTGTTTGTTGAGTGGGTGTTCATATTCAAGCAAAGTGGTGTGTTATTTGGTTTTTTTGGATGACGATTTTCACACACAGCACCAAGCAAACTATTCTCATTTGCCTTGCTGTGCTTGTGGTGTGGGAAATGAACCTCAAGGGTTTCGTATTGCAAGGATTACTATTGCATTGTGTCGCTTTCAAGTGCTTTTTAGTGTTGGAGGTCGATTTCTTTGGCGAAAGGCCTTTTCATTTTACCATTCTGATTCAGTGCGTCAATCAATGAGGATGAATTCAATACCTTATGAAATATTTGAAAGAAATTGCAGAGAATGAGTGGGAATAGTTCAGATTTTGAAGAAATATTGTTGGATGGTCATTTGTAAATATTCCATTTTTGAAACTTTTGCAATCTGAATATATCAAAAAAGAAGGTTGTTTAAAATTGGTTTTTGTGAACACTATAAAAATGAGAAAGTAGACGAAAAGTTTCCAAAGTTCGAGATCTCGGGAGATAAAAGTATTTTTGATTAATCCAATATGCATTATTTCACATCTTCTAGCCAGTACAATTACGTCGATCTATTTGTCAATCTTCAAATTGAAAACTGAAGATGCCAACAATAAACATCATATTGTGAATAAAATCAAAAGGAATCGCCCACCGTGGGGGTCGAACCCACGACCACAAGGTTAAGAGCCTTGCGCTCTACCGACTGAGCTAGACGGGCAGATATTAAGGATTTTATGTCACACTAATCATTTTTCCCTTACAGATAATCTACCATTTCTTAATTATATAAATGAGGGAAAATATGTTTATTTACAAAAGATTGAACATGAGATACACCACAATGGTAAGAAGAATATACACAGGACCATTGTTGGTAAAAACACTATTTGACTCACTAACAAGAGCTCTTACATCTAATGTATTGTTTTCATCCATGTAGCCATCAAATTCCAAAACCATTTGATCCATTAAAGAATCAACATTTACAGATCTGGCCATCATTGTGGATAAACTAGCATCTGTAGTTACTCCATTCTTATCCACAACAATAGAAATTGGACAAGGCATATCGAGAATGCAACCACATTTCAATCCTTCCCAACTGTTCACAAATCTCTGAGCTAGGAATGTGAATAAATTATTGGCTACTCCAGTGTCAGGACTTGCATATTTCAGAGTGATAGACTTGTCGAGGAATATTCTGGCAGGTGCCACAACTGCGTAATGTTTACAATAGAGACGAGTGGAAGCAAATGCAACACTGGAAACTTGTGGTTGAAAAACAGCAGCTCTGTACAAGTTGAGTTTTTCAAGGTTTGCTTGATCATTGCTTCTTACCATTGGATTTCCTTTTGGAAGAAGAGCAATCGGTGCTTTTTGTTTCAATTTAGCATGAATCTCATCCAATGCCAATGACTGAGTCAATTGACCATTATTGGCCAAATCAGGGGCCATGTATGGAGTGCAATTTAGAGCACGTGCCATTGCAACAGCTAACAATCTATTATCAGAACCATTTACCAAAGTTTGAGTTTGAGCAGTTCCTCCAAGGGCTTTCAAATTAGCTGCAGTATTTTGACAAGTTCTACCTGCCAATGTCTTGTTTGTACTAATGATATAGGATGTAACAACGTTATCTGATTGATCCATGTCAACAATACCAAAATCTCTGACAGTCATACATGATTTTCCATCAAGTGCAGTGCCAAGTGCTGGAACTGGTGGATTAAAGAAGGAACCAGGATCATTGGTTGCTTTTTCCTTAATAATTTGACTGATTGATGTTTGAACAGCTTCAAAAAATTGCTTTCCATTGCATGAGGCGAATTGACCAAAAATATCATTTGCTCCATCAATACCATTGACACAATTACCTTGAGCAAGTGAATTACTGGAATCAATTAAAGTAAGAGAACCAGCATTTGTACCAAACCACAATCCAACAATTGCTGTTTTTGGAAAGACAGGAACAGTTGGTTTGATTGCTGGTTGAGTATTTTGAGTAATTACCAAAGGATTATAAATCATGAAGGATCTTGTCTCTGGAACGAAAATAACACCCTCAACAAATGATTGTTGATCAGCAGCAGTCATGACACAAGGGCCATTGGCAGGATTGACAGCTCTCAAAATATAAGGAGTTGCCAATCCTTGAGGAGTGAGTGGATTTGGAGGAACAATAAGAGCACAATCAGGATTAGCACCCTTTACAATTCTGATATAATGTACAAGAATAATGGCAAGACAAATACTTGTCTTGAGTGAGTTGGAAACGATCATGTTGAGCATTTGTGAATGGTATTCAATGGTTTGATTTGAATAACAACAGTTTGTTTTTGTTTTTTTTTGATATTGTTCACTAGTCCAATAAAGTGCCGACAATTTAACAGAAATTGCACAAATCATGTATGTTATCAAAAAGGAAAAGTAGGTTCTCATAAAATTGAATGAAATAAAGGATGAAAGGTTGAGAGATATACGAATATTAACGAATGAGGAGTTTGGATAATGATCTATCGCGAAAAACTTTCTCTATCTTTATAATTGATTGATTTGGTACACACAGATCCATCATAAATCATTGCAAGTAATAAAAACCTAATTTTCATGTTGAATCTGCAATAAAACCGAAGATGCAAAAGAGAAAATAAAAAACATGAATCGCCCACCGTGGGGGTCGAACCCACGACCACAAGGTTAAGAGCCTTGCGCTCTACCGACTGAGCTAGACGGGCTACATTCACCATACTTGTATTTACTTTATGAGCGAACACTTTCGTTTTCCATATTTTGGTTATGGAGAGTGGCAAAGTTTCTCTAAGGCAACCCAAGAAGAATTTGATAGTTTAAGCTTTTAAATTTTGAATTTCCAAAATAGCCTGGTCACTCCAAATAAACATTGGATATTGAAGAAAGTTCAATCCAACTTCTAAAAATGTGAAAATACCTTTTATAAAATTAGTCCTTGATAACATTCTTCAATTGTTAATTCTCTATTCTAATCTTTCATCTCTTGAAAACGAAACACATTAAAATACAAATCGAAAAGAAACAAAAGAATGTCCATAGGAGCCATCTCTGGTTATCAGTTCACTGATGTCGACAATCCACCATCTGAGAAAGAACGTCATCACTTTCGTAAGAAATTTCATCGTAACAAGGAAACAGATGAAACTGTTTCAAGAACTTTCATTCCAGATACATTAGAACCCAAAGTAAATGTCCTATCTCATTGTTACATGTTCAAAATCTTTGGTTGGAATACATGGCTAATTGTCATTGGATGTATTGGTGCGATGGGATATGGTGTCATTCCAGTCATTTGTCAGTACCTTCTGGGATCTCTTATTGATACATTTGCTTCACCAACAGTGACTAGTGAAAGTGCTGGAAGAGCTGTAAACAAATTGAGTCTTCAATTGTTAATTCTAGCAATTAGTGGTAAGTTCTCTATTGTATATTAAACTAAACTTGTCAAAGGTGCCATTGCCTTTGCTATTCATCACTGTTTCATGCAATTGGCCAATGCAAGACTTGGTACTGCAATGAGAAAAGCTTACTTGGGTTCATTATCCAAACAAGAAATGAATTATTTCGACATTAAGAAAATTGGATCATTGACAGTTGTGTTGAGCGAAGATATTCCAAAAATTCAAGATGTTTATACGAATGAATTTTTTGCATTCATGCAAGAGATTATTCAGTTTGTGGTTGGCTTTATTCTTTCATTGACTGTGAATTATCAAATGGCTTTGATTTTATTTTCAACTGGTAAGTATTTCGATCACTTTCGTCCCATTTAGAATATATTTTGTAGCTCCCTTGACATTTTTTCTACATACCATTCTCTCAACTATTGCCACCCTTCTTACAAGGAAAATCAACAAGTGCACTGATAATTCAGCTGCCGCTGCCAATGAAATTTGTTCCTGCATGAAAACTATTCGAAGCATGGCTTCAGAAGAAAAGGAAGCAAAGAAATTTAGTAGGGATTTGAGAAAGATTGATACTTTGGGTTTTTATATGGGAATTAATTATGCTACATTTCTTGGAATATCTGTTTTTGTAACATGGGCAACTATTTCACTTGGTTTTTGGTAAGTTTATTGTTTTAAAGTTTCCTATAAAAGGAAAAAGGTACGGTGGACATCAAATTGTTGATCAAAAGTCAACTATTGGTTCTATTTTTAAAGTATTTGGAATGATGTTTCTTGGAATTGGTAAGTTGTTTATTGAAATTCTGTGAAAATTACAATTTTCGAATATAGTTGCTCTTATTCGTTCTGCAACTTTCTTTCCCAGATATGGTAAAGCATATGCTTCAGAAACTACTCTTCTAAAGGTACTATTAAGAAAACCTGCCATTCCATTCAAAGGTGGACAAAAACTTGATAAAGTTGAAGGTGAAATTGTACTAAAGGATGTTGAATTTGCCTATCCTTCTCGACCAAACATTAATGTCATGCAAGAATTCAATCTACACATCAAATCTGGACAAACTATTGCCTTGGTAGGACCATCAGGTTCTGGAAAATCAACTATTGTTGGTTTATTAGAAAGATTCTATACTCCAAATAAGGGAAATATCACAATTGACGGTGTTGACGTTTCAGAATTGGACCCAATGTGGCTTCACCGTCATTGTTTAGGAATTGTATCTCAAGAACCTGTTCTCTTTGCTGGATCCATCAAATATAACATTGCCTATGCATTACTCGGACCTGACGAAGACATGAATAGGTTTACATCAGTTTCCATGGAACAAATCGAAAGTGTAGCCAAGAGAGCAAACGCACACAACTTTATTATGGAACTGCCCGATAAATATGACACTCTATTGGGTGAGAAGGGAGTTTCTCTTTCGGGAGGTCAGAAACAGAGAATTGCCATTGCACGAGCTCTACTGCAAGATCCCAAAATTTTACTTTTGGACGAAGCAACTTCTGCACTTGATACAGAATCTGAAAGATTAGTCCAAACAGCCCTTGATGAATTGATGAAAGGCAGAACGAGCATTTGTATTGCTCACAGGTTGACTACCATTGTGAATGCAGATATGATTTGTGTGTTGGTGAGGGGAAAAATTGTTGAGAAGGGTACACATCAAGAATTAATTCAAATTAAGGATGGTGTGTATAGAAATTTAGCTCAAAAGCAAATGATGATTGGATCACAAACTGATGAAGAACAAGAAGGAATTTCAAGAGTAGAAAATATTGGAGATGACAACGATGAGTAATAATTGTACCGTGTATGAATTCAAGCATGATTGGTAACTTATAAAGATCTTTTTATTAATGTTCAGTGTGTTCAAGTAATGATAACAGTGCAACATCCTATTCGAAATGAGTTGAAATCACAAATCACACATAGTTAACGTATCCTAAATAGTGTAAATAGTGGAAAGTGTGGCTCGCAAGACATGAAATTTCAATCTCATATATTGCAAATTTCTTGTCAAATCTTTGATGATGATTCAATTTAACACTTTCTCCGTAATTGATCACAAAACATGCTAATGAACGCAAGTTTAACATGAAAGTCAAACCTTTGATTTTTTGATTATCTTGACATTCCAATCAAAATCCATTTCATTAAAAATCATTTATCTCAAATCACGTTTCTAATTTCAAAAAAAAATGCAACACAACTCTTCCACAGATGACGACCACCATCAGCACAACAACATGGATGAAATTGGAACACCATCTACCAATTACATCAATCTTTCCTCCGATCAATTAACTCCCACAGCCACCACTCAAGGTTTAGTCGAAAAGCAACAACCCCTAAATCCATTCTATTCACACGATGGTAGACGAAAGGCAGTTGGACACTGGTTGTGTCATAAATATGTCAGCTTGGGATTATCTATTTTCATATTCTTTGCAGCTCTTTCTCAACTTATTTGTGAAATTGCAGTTTATCCCTATACCAATAATTATGGAGTCAAAGTTGGACCAAGAGTTGCCATTTATATTCCATTGGCATTTTCCATCTTGTACTATGCCATTATGATATTTAGTTGTGGAACTTTCAAGTATTTGTGGAATAATATGAGTGTGAGTGAGATTTATAATTATATAGATATGATTACAAAGGTGAAACCTGTCATTGCAATGAGTGTTTCGTGTTATCATTATGAAACAAGAGTTGAACATTATACTGATTCACAGGGAAGATCACAAACGAGAACTACAACTGTTAGAGTGAATACTTATTCTGAAACTAGATTGTTTAATTATGAATTTTTCAGAGATTTATCAAGACCTTTTGTGTATGTGTTTATTATAAGAGATTTTAATTCAATAATTTTCATATATTTTATTCGAAACTTTTCAGTCTCGATGGAACTTCCAAAAAGTATATGAAACTCCAAGTAGCAAACGTAATATTCACCAATGATGAAACCACAAAAAAGTCCTTAGATACATCCAGACTTGCAATTCAAGTTGAAAATCGTTGGAGAGATGTTCACATGGATTATTCTGAAAATTGGACAGTTCCAGGATTCAAGAAACAAATTCTTGCCAAAATGGAGGACAAGACATCAGCTACCTACTTTTTCAACATGTTCAGTTATATCCTATTCTCAATCTTTTTAATGAATAGTTTGTACAGAATCATTTTTGATTATTATTGTGACACTCAGGAATATCAAGTAGTGAAAGAAATTTCAGTCTTGCCATTCCCTGAGGAGATGATCATTTTACAACCTTCATTATGGATGAATTCAAATTATGGAAGTATGAGTTATGGAGAAGCTGTTTCATTTTCTTCACAATTACCAAAAGATTATATACCTCCACAAAATGGTCAACCAACAATGAGTCAACCAGGTATTCCTTATCCTCAACAACAACAAGCAATGCCTATGCAAAATGGTCAACCAATTTATCAAGGTATTAGTGCTCAACCTTATCAACCCTATCCAAACAATTCATACACACCACCACAAGTTTACCAAAATAGTCAATATATTCCACCACCAAATACTGTATTGGAACCTGTAACCATTCCAAATCCAACAAATTAAACATTTCACAAATTTAAAGAACACTGGACGAAACAAGAAGTTATTTTTCTATTTATTGGAAGATTAGAGGACATATCTGTAAATTAACCAAGATGAGAAAGAAATATCAAAAACTGCACAGAAAGGAACATAAAAATGTGGAACACTTTCATGCTTGTGGAAAAGTAAATCCCACAATGCATGAATTCCAATTCCAATTGCATTGGTCAACCAAGAACGATGCTCCAAAGCATACATTGCCAATCCAGTGTATAAAACAACTGCACCAATTTGTGTGAAAACATTCATCTTGCCATTGGAAGCCAAAGCAAAACCCAAGTAAATAGCAGCAATGGTTGGGAGCATGAGAGCAACAAATGAGAATGCCAAACTCTCTGACATTAATTCAATGTTTAGGATAGAGAAGAGTGCCAAACCTAATCCAACAAGGGAATCTCTAACTGAGGTATGTGAATGCATTTTATATTGTAGTTCAATTAGTTGTGCATCAGGTGCAAGATTCTTTTAAAGGAATTTAATAATTGTACTATTGTTATCCAATCAAAATTAGCTACTTAAATGGAATCTATCGCGCAGTTGACCACAATTCTAAAGCATTTTGATTGAATGATTCGCAAACAATTTTCACCTCAAAGTAAAACAAACCAATGATCTAGTTCTTTGTTTAACATCCAATGTGAAGCAGGGGTTCCCGAGTGGTCAAAGGGGGTAGACTCAAGTTCTACTGCGCAAGCTTCGTGGGTTCAAATCCCTCCTTCTGCAACTTTTGCTTCTTTATCCCTTAATCTTTTTGATAAGACGACCATTTTCAAATATTTATTGTTAGTATGATGTCTAGTTTCTATGGTAAAATTTTTGTGCAACTCCAAATAGACTCTATAAAGATAATCAATAAAGATAACGCTGACCTCAAATATTCCAGCTGAAATACCTTGAAGATTTGAAGAGCTACTAAAACATTTAATTTCCAAAAGACTACAGCACCACAGGTTCCCAAGTTGTCTCCAACCTCAGTACTGATGTGGCTCGACGATGCTTAACTTCTCAAATCGGACGGGATGAGGTGCATTCATCGTGATATGGCCGTAGCCAATCATTATCCTAAAACCTTGAATATAACCATCACCAAAGAACCACATATACTATTTTTCTGACTAATGTCATTTTGAATATTAAAGTTAAGCCAATTCAAATGCCAAATGATATATAAAAGAGAACTACACCAAAATTATCCCCACTATGGATTGATTTTACTATTGGTGTACCCCATCCTCCCTACTCAACGATGTTATTATGTTATCAAGCACAAATACAACACAATCTCCAACAGTAACTACCATCAATAAGGAGTTTCGTTTTTTAATTAGAATTTTGGTGTGTTGAATGAGGAAAGTATCAGTTAGTGTATTGGTTTATTTCTTTTTAGGTCTCTTTCTTGGTCTTCCAATCTTTCTCTTGACGATTTTATACCTATCCTTCATGGAATCAATAGTTTCAATGTTGAATTTTCCACGATTAAATGATATAGAGATGTGTTTTCGTTTGGAAGATGGAATTTTCATGCCTTCACTTGCTGAAGATCTGTCAGAAGAATATTGGAGATTAGTTTCGTTTTTCGAATATGTTGATATTGATGAATAAACTTGTTGATCCTTTGAAGTTTCTATCACGTTAGTATCTGTACATGTTCTTAGAATTTCCAATAAGAGAAGCATCCTCTCCTCTGCACTATTTACATGTTCTGTCAATTCTATAAATTGTTTTAATCTAATGAAGTGAATTAAATGTTAATAAGTTGACTGAAATTTTTCAATAACATACGTTAAGCTTCCATTCACTAGTCCATCAATAATTGTCTTCCATTTTACATCATTAGATTGAGAAGGTTGTTGTTGACACATTTTTTAATTGTTGGTTGAATTGAACGACTAGAAACCAATGGACTTTGAAAAGATTCCAATCTAACACACACCGGTGGATCTTATCCACCCATTTGCAACTTCATGTTTGTTGAGATCTAAATTAACACAAATAGTGGTGAAAGTTGAAATATTTCAAATTTAAACGTCGTTATCTTTGAAGCGGTCTGTTAAAACTATGCGACCATTCATTGGTATTCGAAAGAGAAATTAGTGATATTTACGATATTTAGAAGGATAGTTGTTGAATTGTCAAATGCTACACTATTTGAATTCTTTCTTTATTTGTGATTCAGTTAGATGAGTGGTTCATCATCTAAGGCTTTTCATTTAATGTTGAACCGTTCAATGATTGTTACTCTTGGTTAAATATCAAAGTATCTCACAACAGTCTACAGAAGAAACATTACTGCAAAAGAAGAGGTTTGTTTATCATTGTTTTTGCCACTTTCTTTGATTAAAAAGAAAACGTTGTAAGTTTATTAGTGTACTTGAAAAGATTCTTGCGTATTTAGTACCTATATGTATCTATAACAGATCAATTAGAACAAATTCCTTATATATGTTAAAAATTGACCTATTTGGAATGCCCTGAACTGAATTAAGGCTAAAATCCTACATGGGAATCAAGTTTTTACGCTTCTGTTTCGTTAAATTCAAAAATGAAGCATATACAGCAATGTAATGTTGGTCAAAAAATTTAAGAATAATGAACAGAAATTCGTTGATTGAGATACAGCTATTGGAATGGCACCTTAACGTCTTGTGTTTCTACCAACGTTCAAGCATTTGCCAATGCTTGTGATGACACCTATCAAAATTAGATCCAAATAATGCTAACTAATTTTTTGTTTAACAAAATTTGAAGTTTGACATACATGTTGAAGGATACAATGAGTTGGAAGAAATGTTATCTGAAACACAATTTTCTTGATATAAATAGATGTCATTACTCATATCAATTCATTATTGAGAAAGGTGCAGCAATACCTTCAATAACCACACAGAATTAATTTCCTATTAAAATTCAGATTGGAGAACATTTAACAATTTCTCAGCCTTAATGTATTCGTTTCACTAGTACTAACAAACAATAATTGGCCAATAATTTACATTAGGTGAAAGTGTGAAGTTGTTATGTGTTGCATTAATTTGGATGACAACCCTTTTTTTAACGGGTATTGTAATTTTTTTAAAATAATTAAAAAATTATAAAAAAATGAGCGACGAAGATTTCTTTACCACACCTTCCAACGAAGAAACCCAACAACCTGCTGACGAAATGTTCGGCGATCAACAACAACCACAAGAGTCCTTTGATTCTTTCGCTTCTGGTGATGATAATGGATTTGTTGCTGATGATCAAGGTTTCGATCAACAAGGTTATGTTGAAGAACAAGAACAAGAACAACAAGATTTTGAACAACAAGGTTACGTAGAAGAACAACCAATGACTGTCTATGAACAACAACAACAAGAACAATACACCGAACCACCAAAGCAAGTGTCTGCCATCAGAGAATTCGAGGAAAAGAGATACAACGCCCTTATGGAAAAGGACAATGAAAGCAGAGTGCAACACGATAAAATTTTGGACGAAGCCAAGAATTATAAGGCCAAGTATATCAAGGATCGTGAAGAAAGAAAGGACACAAACTCCAAGAAGAACAAGGATGATGAAGAAATCTTCCGTTCAACCATGGAAACTGTTCACGAAAATGTCTGGGAAAATGTTATGAAATATGTTGACTTGAACAAGGCAAAGTCTCAAAACAAGCTTGACAAGGAATTGGATGATATGGACGAACAAATTCTCGGTAAGAAGAAGAAGAAGAAGAACCAACAAAAGGAAGAAGAAAAGACCACAGTCAAGAAAGCCGACCAATTTGATCATCTTGAAGTTGAACAAAAGGATACCACTAGACTCAGAAAGATCCTTTTGGAATTAAAGGCAGAAGCTCCAGCTCATTAAATAAACTTTAAAAGCAATTTTTGTATAGTAATAATTATTTTCATTTAAAATATTACAAAAATATTAAAATAATTAAATTTGTATTAAATTTATACAATTATTATTCTTAAGGTCTATTCACCAAGTTAACCAAACTTTGAGTACTCACAACTGCAGATGGGAATTGATTTTCCAATACAATCAATCTGTGAACTCTGGTTGCCTTCAATCTCTTTACGATAAGTTCCAATGTTGAATCTGGCTTACAATAAATATATGGATACTTTTCATTGACACTCTTTTGACGAACAGCAGATAAAAAGTCAATAACAGGTAAATCAAGGAGAGCAAATTCACCTTCAGAAACCATTTGAATATCTCTAGAACTTAAAACACTGATCAAATGTTTTTCTTCACTAACAATTGGCACAAAATTAACCTTATGTTCGGACATCATAACAAAAACATCAATAGTACGCATATTTTCATCAGCACAACATTTCAATTCACGTGATAAATGTAATTCATGACAAGTAGCATTGAAAACAGTGTTTCCTTCATTTTCATCAATAATTTCTTTCATCAATTTGATAACATCGGAGTGTGATACAACATTAATGATCATACCAGCTTCATCCTCAATAATAATACGCTTATTACCTAAAGCAAATTGTTGAATAGCATCCATAGCAGTGGCTGCTAAAGTAAGAGTTCCATGAGCATCCATTTTAGAGTAATTAGCAACTTTAATCACAGGTGTATCCAAAATAGCTTTAGCAACTTCTTGATTTTGGAGTAATTGAATTGTAATATTCTTTCTTGGTGATACTGGTGTATTATTAATATTGGCCATTTCAACAAGAGCTTGTCGGTAAGTATCAACCATGAAAGCAATAATATCACTAAAATCAATAAAGTGAACTTCTGAAGCTTTTTGAGTCTTTTCCTTGTGCGAATAAATTGGAGCAGAACGAACATCCCACTTCATAAGTTGTTGTATGGCATGAGAAATAGTTTCATCTGCAGTAAAAGAGAGAAGGTTTTTCTTTTGACCAACAAGTTGTTCTATAGTGGTATTTTGGAATGTTTCCTTCAAAATTTGCTTAGCAACAGACGTTGAAGACATGATGATGTGATGATGTAGTGGTGTATATGGAAGTAAATAGATCAAAACTTGTATATTCTTGAAGTGAGTGGCTTTAGTACTACAACAAGAATTCAAAATAATAGCGCGAAACGGGAAAGATCAAGCTTTGATATTTTTTTAATAATTTATAATGTTGTTGTTTTTGGGTCTTATTGCTGATGGAACCATTTTCATCGAATCTTAGCCTTCGTTCATCGCCCAACGAGAATTGAAATAATTAACGAAGTACCCAAGGAAGATTTCAAGTGAGCATCAAAGATAAAATTAACCATATTTCTTAACACTTGGTCCTCCAAAGTATACTCTGTTTTAAATGAAAATATGAAATAATATTTGATATCAATGAAGATATTGTTGTTGTTACTGTAGTTTAGTTTGTTTGGAATGATGTTGAAACTAATCAATAAGACCGGGTCCAAGTATGGTAATCATTAAAATTGTACAAAAGAGGAAAAAGTTGTGGCTCAATTGAGTAGAATTTTAAAGTAGGTACTCGGTTGTAAATAGCTTGTTTCAGTTCCTATTCGATATCTTGCCATTTCTTCAAATTTATTTATAATTATCATCATTCCTGTTGAATCAATTTACAATAAAGAGTTTAGAGTTGTTCGTTATTGGGATTCTTGTTTAACCAAATGCTATTAAACATATTACAATTTTAATTCCTCCAATTTAATGTCATGAGCATTGAAATGATACTCTTTGAATTTTGAAATTAGTAAACTTTTCATTTCATTTTCCAAATTATTCGAAATTGTAACACTTCCATCAACAATTGCATTTCTCAAGACTGCATTTGCATACGATTCCATTGTAATATTATAATCTTTCCCTAATTTTCTGTAAGTATCATTTATATTATCCAATAAAGGTTCATACTTGACTGAATATCTAATATATTGATCCTTCTCTTTCGTAAAGTATAAAATATTGGAAATTCTTTGTGTTTTAACAGGAAAAAGAGTAGGTTTTTGAATGAAAGGAATTAAAAAGTGAGGACCCTGTTCTAAAGGTTCTTCAAATTGTGCAGATAACCTATTAAACACAACTCCTTTAAATCCAGGTTTAACAGAACAATATGATGCCTGGATTGCAATGGCAGTAAGACCTGCTCCGAGAATCCAAAATATTGGTGCCTTTCTTTGGTTGGACATTTTTTTTTGATAGAAGATTCTCATCAATGGTGATCATGTTGATCATTGAGAATCTTTATTGAAAATACTAAGCAGTAGATGAAATAGAAACGCCCATTATTATTGAGATATGAAAGAAAAGCACATGTATGGTTGGTATGTGAAGAGCTAATCAGTGGATCAGTTGTTTTGTTTCTAATTAAAATTCGAAAGCTCCTTAAAGAAAACAAGATAATGATCATTATCAAATCATTAAATTTATCAATGATTTGAAAATGTCAAGTCTTGCAAATATTAATAAAAATAAGGAGCTTCACCATTTTTCACCTTCGTATTGTTGTCGTTTGAGCCAAGTTGTCAAACACAACAGACAACAATGGTAATACAAAGGGCGATGTAGAAAAAGATGAGAGAAAAAGTCGAAATCATGTCAGACTTGTCAAACGTTTAAAAAAACTAAAAAAAATGCCAAAACATAAAAGAGTAGGAAAATATGAACTTTTTGAAAAACTAGGAGAAGGAAACTTTTCTAAAGTAAAACGAGCCATCGATACTGAAACACAAATTCAATATGCCATTAAAATTGTTGATATTTCAAGTGTGGCTAAAGAGGGAATGGAAAAACAAGTGAGAAATGAAATTTCGGTTTTAAAACAAATTAAACATCCAAACGTTGTACAATTGAAAGAAGTCCTAAAATCAGCAAATAACATTTACATTGTCATGGAATTGATTACTGGAGGTGAATTATTCGATAAAATTGTTGCTGCTCGTAAATTTACAGAAGATGTTGCTCGTCGTTATTTCCAACAACTTATTGATGGTATTGCCTATTGTCATGCCAATAGAATTGCTCACAGAGATTTGAAACCAGAAAATTTATTGTTGGATTCTCATGATAATTTGAAAATTACAGATTTTGGATTGAGTGGTATGATGAAACAAGGTGTCATGTTGGAAACTATTTGTGGTACACCTCACTATGTTGCTCCAGTAAGTATTCATCATCATTATCACCATTTATATATTTATATATTTCTAATTTCTATTTTGTTATTGTTGTATCATCATCATCATCATGTATTTGTATATATATATCTTTATAATAATAGGAAGTTTTGACTGGTAATTATGATGGTTTCAAAGCAGATATTTGGTCTTGTGGAATTATTCTGTAAGTAATGACAATATAGCAATTCATGAATAACACAATGGAAATTAAATAGTTTTGTCATGTTGTCGGGATGTCACCCTTTTGATGGTGAAACTGTCAATGATTTATTCAAGAGAATTGAAAATTTAGAATTTAAATATCCATCACACTTTTCAAAAGAAGTTCGTGCATTGTTAGATAAGATTATTGTTGTTGATCCGAATAATCGTGCTACAATTGCTGATATTCGATATGATCCATGGTTTAAAATTAATTATAATGGAACACTTGATGCCATGCTGTCGAGTGTACCAAATACAAGTAATGACTTGGTTGGTGAGAGTGGTGTTATTCAAAATAATGTTACTCAACCAGCAGCTAGTAACACAACAACAGATGCAAGTCAACAAGAAGGAAGCTCACAAACAAATGAAAATTCAGGTACAGAAACAACTCAAGTACCACTTCCTGCTAGAATTGTTGTGAATAATGAGGATTTGGAGAATGCAGTTCAAGATGTCGATATTAATGATGGTGAGGAGAGATTTGTTGTACAAGATCCAAATCAACAACGTGTTCCACGTGGAAATAGAGGTCAAAAAGTTGATCCATCACGTCGTCGTTTAATGACAGGAGGTACTAATGGAAGTAGTACTGAAAGAATGTCAATTCGTATGCAAAATATGGAACAATTGAATGCTTTCGAATTGATTGCTGTCATGATGAGAGGTAAATTGAATCCTCTTGTATCAAAGCACTTTACTAGACGTGCCAATCGTTTCTCAACTTGTGGACATCCAGATGATTTATATGATAGAATGATTCAATATTTACATGAAAAGAAATTTATTGTACGACCAAAGGAAACTGAATATGAATTCAAGGCAATTATTAAGAACAAATTGCATGAAATGAATTTTGCAGTTCAATTCTTTATTGTATCATTCGAAATGATCATTGTGGAGGTTATCAGGTTGAAAGGAAACATTTTGAAATTCCAAGAAATTTTCCGTGAACTTCAATCACTATTCGATTATGAAGCTCAAAAGAAGATTCTCTCACGTCCAAATAACTCTATAATATCTGTAACTAGCAGTCATGATTCCAGTAAGCAATAATTATTTATTATCTTTTGTTGTATAAAAATATTATTTATGTAAAATTCTAGTTTCTTCTGGCATTCTCAAATCAATCATTTCTTGCATTGAACTTGAATCGATAATATCCATATCATCTCCATTTCTTTGTATTCTTGATTCTATATTAACTTGATCAAAAGTTTGTTTGGGATTACCCATTTCTTCTTGGGTTTTATTGAATCGGTCAACTTGCTCCTAAAAGTGTTAACAAAATGAATTATTATTCGAAAGAGGTGCAATGCAACTTTACCTTACAAACAATGCTGTGCTTTGAGGTATTCTGAATAGTGTTGGACATTTTTTATTGAGAAATTAACTGTGTGAATCTTGGAAACTATTAATAAATGATAATTTTTCGAAAATGGAAACTTGACTGATTTGAATTTTATACATGTTAGGATTCAATTCCCATTTCAAAAACTCTACTACTTGAAATAAGAGTTGAAATCAAAACTTGACAATTTCATAGTTGTTGAAAAATTAAAATTTAAAATAAAATAAAAAAATTTAAAAAATTTGTTCCGAAAGTATTAATCTTCCTATTCTCTTATCCAGTATACTAGAGCATTCCTACCATGTTCAACAATGAACAATTATTATTGATAATTTATTCATTGGCAATACTTGCTTTCATCATTATTATTTTGTGCTATTTAAAAAAAATGTCTACATCAGCTAAGCCTTCCGTTCAAGAAATTCAAAAGGTTTACGTCCTTGTTGATGAAAGAAAGGATGTGAATGCTCTTAAAGAATGTGATGCCATGTTGCAAAAGTATCCAGAGTCTAGTGTTTTTCTCTCATTCAAGGCTTTAATTTTGATGAATTTAGGAAAGAGAAAGGAATCTATTCAACTTGTTGATGATGTTTTAGCACAAAAGAAGATGGAATTTCACGATTTTATTCTCCGAACATTGAGTATGGCTTTGGAAAAGGTACACGATTATAAGAGAATTGCAGAATTATATGAAAAAGTATATAATGCCATTCCGGCTCAAGCAATTACACAATATGAAGATGTGATTGAAAAGTATTTCTATAGTTTGGTAAGAAGTAATCAAACTGAAAAACAACAAACAACAGCTGCCAAACTTGCTCGTGCCTTCCCTGATAATCAACTTTATTCTTATTGGAATATTTGTAGTATGTTACTTATTGGAAAGGAAAAACCTCTTCTCTTCAAATTGGCATCTAAAATGTTAGAAAAGGAATTTTCACTTGAAAACAAAGATGTTAAAAAATTAGATGGTGTTATTTATTCGGAAAGATTGAGATTATACATTGAATCTGTATTGAATGCCACCAGTGATTATGAAGGTATTATCAAATTGATAATTAATGATGAACCATGGGGAAAGGAACTTGAACCTCTTCCATTTGATAGAAAGGCAATTCTTGCTGGATATTGTTTAAAGGTTGAAAAGTATTATACTTTAGCCAATGGTATTTATACTCATCTTTTGGAAAATGAAGATTCTGATGAATGGCCTTGGTGGTTGGGATTGATTCAAAGTACATTGTTGGCTATTCAAACAGGACAAAGTACTACCTCTATGGAATGGGAAGGGAAAACATTGAATTGTCACACCTCTATTGAATCATTACATAATTTTATTAAATCTCACCAAAATAGCAAGGATAAGAGAGGTCCATACTTGGCAGAATTGGAATTAATGAAAGTTTTGAAACAAAAGCAAATGAATGACTACAAATTTGAAAAGGAGGCCAACGAATTAATTATCAACTATTTCAAGACATTTGGATCAAGAAAGATTTGCTACGACGATCTTAAGGTATACCTCGAACTGGTAGCCGATCTTAGTCAACTTTTGTCAAAAATTTATTCTTCAATTGATTCATTGAAAGTTAATCAAATTGACAAGATTGAATATCAAATTACCTTCTTCAAGATCCAAAGACATACAAAGCAAAATGTTTGCTGTGCAACAGAGGATGAATTGATTACCACCCTCGTTTCAAACTATGCCCAAGCCCTTCCTCTTGGTAAGAATTTACTTGAAACTGATAGTCAATATGGTGATGAGTTTTTATTGATTGCTGCTCACTATCTCTTGGATAGAAAGGAGTATACTTCAGCAGTTATTCTTTTGGAGCTTGCCTTGAAGAGATCCAAGTACAACTTCCACTTCAAGGTTCTTTTAATTAGAGTCTATGCAACCATGAGGTCATTATCATCACGAGCATTTACTATCTTTTTGAATGAATTGGATGTCAAGCATATCCAATATGAAAGTATCAGCTATTTAATTTATCATGACTTGATGGGAGTTGGTGTTTGTGATAGAGGTGTTAAGGTTGCTGAAAAGATTCTCAAATTCTACGACTCTGAACATAGACTTTACACTTCACAATATCTTGCTCTTCCATATCAAAAACAAAGTTGGTCCAAGATTGAAGAAATGACAAAGTTCAACAGTAGAATCGATAATTCTTACTCTATTGCTAAAGCTCAAATTGACAAACTTTATCTCAAGCTTGTTTTTGATGATGTTCGTTCAGCCAGAGATATTTCAGAACAATTGAATATGACTGATTTGGATGATTACATTTATCACTCAGTCAAGTCTTCAGGAAAGTCTTTCTCACACAATGAAGATATCTCAATTCTTAAATATTTCGGTAATGAAGATTTGAAGAATAATATTTTAATTCCAAAAGAGCTTGTTGAAAGACCATCATTGGACGAATCTTTCACAAAACTCAGAATTATTGAAATTATTTCTGACTTTGTAGCCAACAAGGAAATTTCAGTATCCAAACCACCTATCCAAATTATTAATCCAAAGAAGAAGAAATCAGAAAAGGAAAATCTTGAACATGCTGCTAAAGTTAAGGAACACGAAAGAAAGGTTGAAAATGCCAAGAAGGCTTTGATGAAACTCAAAGAAAAGGCAGAGAAATTATTGAAATCTATTGAAGGACTTAATTTACCGATCTATGTTTCTCAAATAATCAACTATATCATTTCTCTCGTTGGTGATGAAACCCCAAAGACTGACTTGTTGGACTCTTTCATTCAAACTTTTGGATCGATAGACTTTTTGCAAAATAAGGATAACTTACACTTATTGACCCATGAAATCATTTGGGGACTTACATTCTTCCAATTTATTTATTCTCTCATCAAAGATTTGGGAGCCAAGTCAGACAAGACATATGCCTCTCTTCTTCTTAAATTCAAATCCACACTTTTACAAAAGGCCACACAAATTGATACATTCATCAGGGAGAGCAGAAAGAACATCACTACCCTCTCGGAGAATACCTCAATTTCTCACTTTTTCACTTCCCTATCATCCTATGATTGGGATGTTGTCTCCAAAGAAGTTTTATTGGACCTCAACAGTCAAGTTCATAAGGGTGGCTACTTGAACAATAAGATTGAACAAATTATCAGCAGTATGGTATTCCAATACAGTAAATAAATTTATCATGTTACCAACAGCTACTTGACAATCAACTTGATCTGTTGAATATTGGAGTGTTCTAAAGTATCAAACCCTTACGAGAAAAAAAATGGTAGTTCTCTCCCTTAAAAAAACCAATGTAAGTTTTTGGTTTCATTGATCATGAGGATCATCATTGTTAAAAATAGGGCGTGGAGGACATGATCCTTCTAAGGAATGCAACTGATAATGATATTGTTAATAATTTAAGAACAAGATACATTAATAATACTATTTACAGCTATATTTCTGATGTATTAATTAGTGTAAATCCATATGAACCAATTCATGGATTATACAGCCACGAGCAAGTCGATATCTACAAGAATAGATATTTCAATGAGGTTCCTCCTCACTTGTATGCTATTGCCGAGAAGGCTTACAGAAACTTACAAAGTAAGTTTATATTTATGAGAATTCAAATTAATCAAACTTTATATTAAGAACATTTAAAAAGTCAATGTATTATAATTTCAGGAGAAAGTGGAAGTGGAAAGGTTTGTTTATAAATTTCCTTCTTACTAATTTAAGTTTCAGACTGAGGCATGTAAAGAAATATTAAAATACGTTTCCATTGTGAGTGGAAATGATGAAGATGTTCTCCGAGTGAAGAATATTATTTCAGAGAGCAATCCATTGTTAGAAGCCTTTGGTAATGCTAAAACAACTCGAAACGACAATTCATCAAGATTTGGAAAATATTTTGAAATCATGTTTGATAGTATTGGAAAACCTTTAGGGGGTGAGATTACTATTTATTTGTTGGAAAAGAGTAGAATATGTAATGTACCAAAAGGAGAACGAAGCTTTCATATTTTCTATCAAATGATAAGAGGAATAGATTCAAAGATTAAGGATGCCTTGGGAATTTTAAATATTGAAGAGTATTACTTTCTAAATCATTCAAATTGTGATTCAATTTCTGGTGTGAACGATGCCGAAAGATTTCAAACAACAGTCGTAAGTTTCAGCACAAATATGCAATTTTAATTATTATCTAAATACAGAGAGCTATGACTTCAATGGGGATAGACCAAGAAAATCAGTTAAGAATTTTCAAATATCTTTCTGCTATCTTGTTATTGGGTAATTTACAATTTTCTGAAAATGGAACATCAACAAAAGTTATCAATAGAAAGCATCTTTTAAAATGTGCCAGTTTGCTAAACATTGATGAAACTCTTCTTGAAGGAGCAATGACAAAGAGAATTATATACGCTGAAGGTCGTCCAATAGAAACTCTTCACAATTCTATTCAAGCCAAGAATACAAGAGATGCTCTTGCTAAACTGATTTATGAAAGAGTTTTCCATTTTGTTTTGAAAAATGTAAATAATGCCATGAAATGCTCAGACTTTGATTTGACTATTGATATTTTGGACATTTATGGATTTGAAGTGTTTGAATCAAATTCTTTTGAACAATTAATAAGCAACTATGTGAATGAAAAATTGCAAAACATATTCTCAGATATGGTTATAAAATCAGAAATTGATGAATATGAGGAGGAGGGAGTTCCACACAGTACTGGAAACCATGTCAGCAACAAACCTATTTGTGAGTTAATTGATGGTAACAATCCACCAGGGATAATGGCTTTATTAGATAGCATTTGTGCATACTCAAGTGCAGAAGATTCCTATGAGGCTGATAAGAAGTTTTTGGAGGCCCTCTCAACGATCAACAATAAGAATTTCTCTAAGAGATCCAACAGCTTTATTGTTGAACACTATGCTGGTCCAGTTTCATACAATGGGTTTTCTTTTACAGAAAAGAATAAGGATTCATTGTCGAGGGATGTTATCTCGTGTATTCAAAGTACAAATGATAATCTGCTGTATAGGTTCTTCCCTGACAATACAGACTCAAAGAAAAGACCACCAACTGCTTCTGCAAAGATCAGAAAGAGCATAGATGAGTTGATTCAATCTATCTCAATAAGAGAAACTCATTATATTAGATGTATAAAACCAAACGAGACAAAGCAACCAAGGCAATTAGATTTAAAGAAAGCACTTCACCAAGTTAAATATTTAGGATTATTGGAAAATGTAAAGTTAAGAAGGAATGGCTATTGTTACCGAGACAGTTTTGCAGAATTTTTCAACAAATATCGTGTTTTGTTTAGAAATACTGTAGACTGGAGTGGAAGTATTGAACAAGGAGCGCTTGCTATTTTATCTGATTGTGACATTCCTTCCACAGAGTATTTCATTGGAAAGTCAAAAATCTTCCTGAAATCACCTGCATCTGTGGCTGTCTTAGATGAATTAATGGATAGATATTACCACAGCAAAGCTACAATTATTGCAAGAGCATTTAGAAGATACCAATTCAAAAAATACTTGCAAAGTTTGAAAGCCAAAGCATTAGATGTTTTGAGAGACAAGAAACAAAGAAGAAGAAATTCGGTTTGTAGAGAGTATCGAGGAGATTATTTGGACTTTTTTAATAATGCTCAATTATTAGAAATCATGCAACCTTACAAACATGAAGGTGGAGTTTTCTTTGCTGATCATTTCAAAAGACCAAAGGCAAAACTCTTCAAATCAGAACCAGCAATGGCTAGATTACAAGGAATAATTACTCAAAAAGCAATCTACTTTATATCCAGATCAAAAGTGAAGGAAAGATTTTGTTTGTCCATCTACAAGAGAATCCCATTTTCTCAATTGGATTGTGTAATATTATCAAATCTTCCAGATAATTGGATGTGCATTAAGATTTTGGATGATTGTGCAATTTTCTGTCAGAGTGAACATAAGGTTGAATTCTTGACAATATTGGACGACTTGTACAAAAAGGAAATAGGTGGTGATCTTCACATATTATTTTCGAATGATTACGAATATGAATACAAGAAAAAGAAGTTCAAAAAGGTTGAATTCATTACAGATTATACTAACAGACACCGTGAATCTGTTATTCAATCAACAAAAACATTCAATTTCCAAATTACTGTTTCCAAAGGTCTCTCCTACGAGCAAGTTTGTGAAATTGCAAAGAAATCATTCTCCAAATTAACTAGTTCTCAAAAATCCCATAACTCATCATTTGGATTGGCTCTTGGAAGTTTGGGAAATTGTCCTAAATTACCAGTTGTTGTAGAGCCTATTGCAAATGCTCTTCCCCCACCTCTTCCTAAAACAAAGCCAATTGTTATTGACTCAGATGATCAAATTAAGCTGCCTATTATTGAACAACCACCAACTATTGTTGAATCAAATCAAAATGATGATCCAATTGATGAAAATCAACCAACAAGACTATTAGTTCTGTACGACTACCATGCTGCTCTTGAAGATGAGCTCACTCTGAAAGATGGAGATGTTGTTAATCTCATAAAAATGAATTCTGACGGCTGGGGATTGGGAGAGATTGTTGATCCTGGAGACAGAAAAAAGGTTGGATTTTTCCCGCTTAATTATTGTGTTGATGAAAACTCATTTCTCAATTTCTACTCAAATTCAGATACCTTGCAATAATTAAATTATCACTTTGAATGCATTAATAAAGGCTGCTACAATATTAAGGATTAGAATAACCTTGAATGTGGATAGAATTCTTCTATATACTGTCTTCACTCTTTCAATTTCTTCTTTAGAAGTTGTGAAATATTGTATGTAGTAAATGAAAAGAGTCTCATATATCTTGGCTCCATCTAAGAATTCGACAGGAGCCAAATTAAAAACTGCCAATCCAAGAGAAAGAGCTGCCGTATATTCTAACAACTTTTGAGCATAAAATGCCATACCAAGAGTCATAAATTTCGAAAATAGGTTAATAACCTTTACATCACTGACAACTACCTGACTGAAGAATTGTTCCAAAGTTCCCATATATAATAAGTCTTGTTTTCCTAATACAGATACACGCAATATATGAATGGAAGAATCTGAATGAGGTAAAATACATTCGTGATCGTCTGGTTCTGGTACACCATTACACACTGAAAAGACTGTAGTTTGTCTTACATTCATGCAAACATCTTCCTTTCCTTTAAAACAAAGTAGACTATATCTTTCGTCATCGTTTTCATCAGTGCAACACTTATTATTGTACGATTGCCTTTGTTGTTCTATGTGTTTTTTTGGTACCATGAATCCTCTTTTTGATTTCAATTCTTGAATAACCTCCATGAAATTATCCACCTTTGAAATTGAGAGGCCATTAATTGAAAGAATATTGTCATACTGATTCAAGTCTCCATAGAGTGGATTTTCCGTATGAACATGCTTTACAAATACTCCATTTGCAGGTCTTTCCACAATCGACAAGAATGAAGTTGGATTGAAAAATAGAAATAATCCAAATCCAATAATAATACATAAAATAATATTATGCCATACACCTCCACAATAAACCATTAATCTTACAAAAAGTGGTCTCCTTTCTAAACTTTCAGTTTCAATAGCTACAAATGCACTCGGAAGGAAGTAGAATATTGAAAATCCAAATGATTCAACTTTAACATCATGATAATCTGCTGCTATGGCATGTCCAAATTCGTGAACTATTAAACAAACCACCAAAGCAATTATCAGAAGGCTAACCTGATTTAGTGGAATATTAACACCAGGAATTAACATCACCATATCCATTTTAGGTAATGTAGGAGCAGCTTCAACACTCTTAGGATGCATATATTCATTTGAAGGAATCAATCCAAACACAAAGTAAAATAAATGAAATACCAAAAATGCAGCACAAATCACTAACATTATCATGCTTAAATAAACACCAATCATGAAACTAATCTTGAAAAATCGACTAGCAAGCACATTCATCGAATTTCTCATTGCAAATAATTGTTTAGGTAAATATCTAGAAAATCCACTCCATTCGAAAGTAATAAATCCAAATCCATGTTCTGTAATATTAAACATTGCACAAAACTCCGAATAGCCTGTCCCATCCGATTTGAAATATTTAATTCCGAAGGGAATCAACCACAATATCGACAATATACAAACAACACCAATAAATAACCCGTACGATCCAACAACATCGCCCATCACATCAAGCAATTCTCCCATTTTTTTTAAAACTTTAAAAATTAGAATATTTTACAATGATGTAATACAAATTACAAAACACGTGTTTTCCATAGTTTATGAAACTGAACATTTAATAGTATTATGGAACAATATTATGAAAACTTCCATTAAAAATCTATTTTCTTAATAGGAATGACATTATACAATGTAATCGTAATCATCAAATTCCTTACAAAAAAAAATGAGCAGTCACGATGAGGGAAGAGTATTGTTTGTTTCAACAAGAGGGCAATTAACAAGGAAGTCTTCCACCACTTTGAGTCATACAAAGGAAATAAGTTTTAATAATTCGGAAGAGGTGGCTGTTATTTAAAAATCGAGAATTATTTGGGAATGTTATGTGGATGGTGTTGATTTCGTGTATTGTGATGTTTGTGTCGATGCAACAACTTCAGTCATTCAACAGTGTTGCTGCCGCCTCCGACAATTCTACATTTAGTTGCAGTGTAATTGTAAATAATCAAGCGAATCAGAGTTTATCGGATAGGAATTGTTTGAATGGGGGTAAATGTGTTTTAGAGAAGGGAATTTGTAATTGTACAAGTGGATTTACAGGATCAAATTGCTCTATTACCATTGTTGCACCTATTCCTCAGAGCACCATTAATGAAACAACAAAAAACGAGACTAATTCAACCTCACTTGATAATACCAAGGATATTATCTCTAATACTACAAATAATAGCACAAATCCAGATAATAATATTGTCACTCCTCCAACTTGGAAATGTGTTCAAGGCGTGAATTGTATATTTGGAAATTGTACTTCAGATGGAAAATTTTGTAATTGTAGTATTGAGGCATTTACAGTGAAAAATGAAACCCTTGTAGATCCATTGGATATGGTTTATTGTAATTATAAGAACTGTCCAAATAATTGCTCAATGAATGGTGTTTGTGATTATAGTACTGGACAGTGCATATGCTCTGAGCCTTATTTCAGTAATGATTGTTCTCTAAAGAATTGTACGGTATCATGCGTGAAAGGACAAGGAGATTGTGACTTTAATACTGGAAAATGCAAATGTAAAGACCCTTATTTTGGAAAAGATTGTTCCTCAATTCAGTGTGCAGATCCATCATGCAATTCTGTAGGAAGATGTAACCATAAGAAGGGATTGTGTGAATGTGATGCTGACCATTTTGGAGATGCTTGTCAATTTTGGCTTTGTAAGAATAACTGTACACAACATGGATTTTGTAACACCACAACTTCACTGTGTTCATGTGTTGGAGCCTGGACAGAAAGAGATTGTGGAGTCAATTCAAACGTTGTGGAGATGGGAAAGATCAAAGAAAGCTCAAGAATTATCGGTACTTTATTTGTATTCCTCGTCCCAATATCATTAGTTATTGGCTCATATTATGTGACATATTCCTACTTTGGAGGCTATTTCTTTTTGATAGTGGAGATTTTCCAATTCATTGGTATAACCAGTTTGATTGGAAGTAATAGCCCAGCTCTCTATTTGAAATATTCCTCGTTTTTTGAGTGGTCAAACTTTTTATTTAGCACTGCTGAATCTGCTGTTGTTCAATCTGCTGCAGTAGAAATTGGTGATATTGTTGTTCGATCAGTAGAAGAGGAACGATTGCTCCTCTACAAATTAATTGGTATTTCATTTATTGATAACTTGTAAGTTTACTCTCATTGAAATATTAATCATCTATTTAGTGTATTGATTACAACCTCAATCGCTATTGCCATTATGATTTCAGTTTCACTAATCCTTATCAAAGTTATTAGAGAAAAGTATTCCGTTTACAATAACCAAGATATTGATGTAATGAAGGACAGAATATTCATTGTTTCTATTAGGTTATCCTTGCTTGTTTATTCTGGTATTAGTTTGAGTACATTTTATCAAATCAAAATGACCTTGCTTTCACAAGCTCCTATTGTGACACTTTTTACTGCTCTCTCAATATTTGTGGCATTTGTTCTTGGTTTTCCCTTCTTGGCAAGTGTTGTACTCAAAGCCAACAGTGACAAGATTTGTCAAAATACTACACACAAAGACTCTCCATTTACTCCTCTCCACAATGAATTCAAACCAGCAACATATCAATTCTTATTAATAGTCCTCATTAAGAAATGCGCATTCTCATTTGTTATTGGATTTTTTGAGGGTATTGAGTTATTGATTGGTCTATTGTGTCTCCAAGTTACTTATTTATTTATTATTCTGATTCTTAGACCATATACCCAACCTGGAAGAAACACCATTCAAATCATGGTTGAAGCTGTCAATTTATTCAACATTGTTGTATTGGTTCTATTCAATGCCTTTCCATTTAACTCATTTGCCTCAAATCTCCTTACCATCATTACAATTTTCCTTCACTGCTGTATTATTATCCTTGCTGTTGTCATTTGCATCTTTGAAAAGAAGAGAAATACTGAAACAAATTCTTCTGGCTACAGAGCTGGTCTTTTAACAGAAGAAGAACTTGAAATTCAAGGAACTCACACCATTTTTGAAAGTGATTCTGAAGATGAAAGAGTCAATAATTTAGATTTACGATCTGATTTTCATGAAATTGACCTAGATAATAAATAAATCTAAACAACAACAATAATAAATAATTGGAAAGTTTAAAAATATTTTTTGTTGAATAATAAAAAATGTTTGAAAGAACTAGAGTTTGTTTAGGAGGTTTGGTTTGGAAGCAAAAGCGATTCAATCAACTTCGTAAGAGAAGAGCCAGAGAATATCAAAATAGAGTTTTCAATGTTGAGGTAAGCATTTTGTGATTCCGAGGAGAGGAGTACTTACCCGAAATTTATCAAATTGATTGGAAATTAATTTTATATTTTGGATGATAATTATTATTATTTGGAATGGAAAATATGAAATAACAACAATAATAATTGGAATCATTTCGACAATAATACCTGATGATGATGACGAATACTTACTTTTATTTGAACAACAATAATTAGGACGAACTTAAACATCCATATGCTAGCTTTGCCCCACTCCAAAGAGATAACGGAACTTTGGCCAACTTTAACATCAACAATACTGCTCACCAAAACGAAGTTATCAATCGTATCAACAATGCTTTGAATTCCTCCATTAATAATTTCACTTCAATCTTCCCACGTAAACAATAAAACCCAACAAACTAAGTTACACTAATAAAAATTGTGGATAATTTACTACTTTATAAACGAGGATACGGTGTACTGTGATAATAACAAAAACAATACTTTTATAATTTAAAATTTAATATTAAAAAAACAAAAAAGATTCGCTTTGGTTTTTTTAAAGCCAAAACATTCCGAGCACAAGAACAACAATATCGACACTGTACATAGAGTATTATGATTGTATAAATTCTTCAACAGATCAGAGAGTGGATTAATTTGTTTTTTAAAAACCTGTACAACATCAACATCACTTTCTTCTACATATTGATAATAATTATAATGGATAAATTATTTAAATTAACAAATGATGAGTTGGATAGTATTAATCTAGTACAATATAAAAAGAAACTTTATCAATTCTTTAATGTCCAACAAAATCCTCATGAAAAATCAGCAATTGCTCTCCATATTGAAAGTGTAATATTACCAACCACACAAAATGTATTAAATTATCCTCCTAAACATATTGGAGAAATTATAACAGAAACACAATTGATAGATCTGTGGAAGAGAAGATTATTATGTTATTTGTATTTGTTTTATGTGGATAACATTCATCCATTACTGTTTCAGATTGTTCATCATTTGAATTTCTCTATGAATTATTCTTCATCAATGAGTTTGCAACAGATAATTTGGAGTGGAGCCCAACATTTTCCTCCAGAAAGAAGAAATTGCATTCTTATTGAACTTAATTTACTATTGAGATTAGTTTCCCTTTCATTTAATATCTCCTCCTCTTCTGAATATATAGCTCTCCATGAAATTTCTGAATATGTTTCAGAAATTAATCTAAATAATCCTGATATACAATGGTTGAAAAAAGCGACTCTAAATTCACTTTTCTCAAGAGAAAATAGTGATGAAGTGTATCTTTTCCAACAAATTCAATTCTTGGCAACATCAACCCTTTTAGCCAAAGTTAATGAATTGAGATTACAACATGATTTATTTTCTCTGAAAGGGACAAAAAATCATGGATTATTCCCAAAGTTGCTTAATGATAAGCAATTTCCATCTCCTAGCAAGCCAACCTATTTCAATTCACCTCCCTTATCTAATTCATTAGTTGGATTTGAAGAATCTTTAAATAATACTATCACCATATCTCCACTTTCAAAGTTCGAGGCGAAATTTTATCGACCAACCCCACCACTTTTAGAATTTAATCCTGATTACGAATTTTTATGGATTAATGATGTCAATACATATTCCACCACTAGTTTCACTAATGAAATGAAACAAAACACTGCAGAATTTAAATTAGATCCTAAATTAGATATTGATAATACTCATCTATTCTGTCTGTATGAGCTAAACTCTACTAATAAGGGAGGGTTTATGAGCTCAAATCACCAACGAAGTCAGCAACAATCATCAGTAAGCTCTTCCGAAACCTCTAATTCCTCACAATCTAGTAATGATGGTTTAGTACTAATGAAGCGAGGAAAGACTACTCAAGAAAACGAAATGAACGAGCTGTTTTCCAAGGCTTTCAAACAACAGCTTCAACCAGTGCAGATCAAGTACTTGCTGCAAAACTTTGATAAGCTTACCATGTTAACAGATTTACTGACTCCAAATAGACTTACAGATTTGGTAAAAAACAATAGAGAAGTTGCAAGCAAATGTCTTCAAGTATTGATACATTCGAATAATAAGCGTTTGGATGAATATCTTTCTGTTCTAGTATCTATTCCAGTATCTCTACAATTATTGGAAGCTGTAAATAATCTGCTAAATAAGACAGACAAAATTACTACAGGGATTTTCACCAAAAATTTAGAAGATTCCAACAGCTCTTCATATTTACACATTCTTCTAAGGAATTGTATCACACACTGTAATCAATCCATGCAAGATCCTCCATCTCAAACAAGAAAAGTAAGATTAATTTGTGTTTTCGTTCAAAGGCTTATAAGAGAAGAAATTCTAGTTGTAAACCATGACGATTTCATATTTATGGAACTTCAAAGTTTCTGTATCGAGTTTATGAAAATTAAGGAAGCAGCAGATCTCTTCCAATTACTGAAAGAAAAGATCTAATAAAAATTTTCAGAACAACCTAATCACTTTCATAATCACTTTCAAAATCGCTGTCAAATTCACCACCAAAGTCATCATCAAAATCAGCAAAAATGTTATCTCTTTTAAGTGCAGATGGATGGGTAGCATTTCTACGATATTCCACTTTTCCTGAACCTGAAAATGTAGCTCCAATTATTGGTTGACAAGATTTGGATTTCCATTCACCAAGAGGCTTTTCTGAACAAAATGCCCTATTCACATAGACAACAAATCTACTTCCCTTAAAATCATACCAAACACTGATAACTCCTCCTCCCATAAGAGGTGCTTGGCAACCATACATTATGGAATCCTTAATATTAGTTTCTATCCAGATTACAATTTAAATTATTTTAATAAATCTTACCTGAAACAAATCCAATGTGGAACCCCTTTAAATTTCCTGTAATTTCAAATTCAAAATAATACCTGTGTGTATCAGATCCATAACTGGTTTGTGATGGCTTAATGGTAAAATCCAAAATTCCACTAGCAACATTACGATATGGTCTGACAATAGTGGACTGAACAGTTCCAGACAGTTTTTCTTCATCCTTGAATTTCATAATAGAAAATTGCATATCCAAAAGATTATCAAATAAGTGTTGAAGGTTATAAAATTTTGCTTCCTCTTTAAATTCATCAATATTTTCCTCATCTCTAACTTTCTCGTAAAACAAGCAACAATCCAAAAAATCCAAGCTTTGAAATTTCAGATAGAATTTTTCACTAATTAAACTTACATGTATTGAAAAAAGTGGCTTTTTCTCTTTGGTATTTTAATAGTGTTCGTTTTAGAGTTGGAAAGCAAATTTTCAAAATATTCATAACCTTCAAACCATTCTCTGTTTGCTTCAAAGGTTTTTCCATCATCAAATACTATTTTGACTTGTTCGGAATTAGAGGATAACAAGTCATCATTCTTTCTCTTCTTGGATGTAGAATCATTAGATAAGGCCTTTCTTTTCATTTTTTTAATTCATATTCTGTAGGAAATTAACAAGGCACTATTTTGCTGAAAAATTTAGTGCTGATTAATTTCGTGAGAATTTAAATTTTAATTTTGTTTTTATTATGCCATTCTTGGAAATGGTATTTAAATAAATAATCTAAAAATGATTTAGTTTGAGACTACGTCATCAATCTTCAAAAGCATTCTAACTAACTCGGTAGATAAAGCGATAGCACTCAATGTTGTCAGTGTTGGTTGGATAACATTTTCTTCAACCATATCTGAAATCAAACCCTTCTTAACATTGATACCGGCATTCTTTTCACCGTGCATATGTCTATTTTTGAGTTCAGTAACAATCTTAATTGGTGACAGACCTGCGTTTTCAGCAAGAGTGGTTGGAATGACTTCCAAACTTTCACCGTATTCACGAACACAATATTGAATAGCACCTCTGAGAGTCTTTGAGTATTCAACAAGTCCTAGAGAAATTTCAGTTTCTGGAGCAGAACCACCAGCAATGATACTCTTCTTCTTAACCAAACTTCTAACAACGCACAAAGCATCATGGAGGGATCTTTCAGCTTCATCGAGCATCAACTTGTTTGAAGATCTAACCAAACAAGTGACAGTCTTACCTTGAGATGGAATACCAGTAATCTTGACAATTCTACCATCACCAGTGTTAACTTCTTCAACTAATCCAGCAGATCCGAGCTTTTCCTTCTTGAATGAATCAATAGAAGAAATTGGCTTACAGTTCAAAGTCTTTGAAATGAATTCAACATCCTTTCTATCAATATCTTGAATGACCATAATACCCATCTTGGCCAAAAAGTGCAATGACATATCAGTGGTGGCATCTCTCAAAATAGACTTTTGAATCAAGAGAACATTACATCCTTCCTTCTTGATTTGCTTACAGAGATTGAGCAAATAAGCTCTTTCTTCTCTCAAAATTCTATCAATTTGTGTATAGTCAGTAATGACAACATTGTTTTCCATATCAGTCTTTGGTGGTGACAATTGGAATTGAATCAAACCAATCTTGGCATCCTTGATAGAAGTTGGACCACCAGCAGACTTTCTAGTACCTTGATCCAAAACCAAACCTTCAATCAATTCAGTTTCTTCAAGAAGACCTCCCAACTTTTTAACAATCTTGATATCGTTCAAATCTACATTGGATGCATCCTTTGATTCAACAACACGGAGAACAGCATCAACAGCTAATGGAGCCAAAACATCGGCATATTGGTAAACAACCTTTGAACTCAAGGAAGTCTTAGCAGACTTAATCATATTTTCACGATCAGTTAAATCCACTTTAGTAGACATATTATCGAGAATTTCTTCAGCTTTATCCACACACAATTTGAAAGCATCAGAAATTGTAGTTGGGTGAATACCTCTATCGAGCAAGTTTTGACAAGCAGCAAGCAAAGCTCCAGCCATAACGACAACGGTAGTAGTACCATCACCAGCTTCAATATCTTGTGATTTTGACAAGGAAACTAACATTTTAGCAGCTGGGTGAGTTGGCTTCATCTTATCCAAAATTGTTGCACCATCGTTGGTAATAATGACTTCATCTTTAGGGAGGACAATCATCTTATCCATACCCTTTGGTCCTAAACTAGTTCTGACGGAATCAGCCAAAGCTATAATAATGTTGATAATAATGCAAAGTTTTCGGATTTGGATGATGATAATGTTGTTGTTGTTGTTAGTGATGATGCAATTCAATGATGATGAATAATATCAAATAGATAAGACAAGTTAATCCATCAAACAATCAATCCACAAAAATACAAATGTATAATTAGTTTCAAAGTTATGATTTTGATTCTTACCCTTGGCGGCTTCAATATTTGAGTAACGGACATCCTTTCCTCTTTCCTTTTCATTGACATTGGTTTCACCTTTACCTCTTTGGAAGTTTTGTGTTGGAGTGGCACCTTGTGTTTGAGACATTTTTTGTATGTTGATGTATAAAGGCTCCCAGGTGTTGTGATTTGTTAAATTTTTTTAATTTTATTAAATGAGGTACGGAAGCTTGGCGGAAGTTTGTTGTAATTTGAGAGGTTTTGTATGATGAGTGTATTCAACTCAAGTTGTCTTGTATCGATATTTGCATAGGAAACAATATGGTTTTGTAGTACAAACACATTCAATGTATTTTGGAATGAGGTTTATTAATTTTGTATGATGAAATAATTTTTTTCTTTACTTTCAGCATTCAAGAATATTCATTATTTCAAAGTTTTCTACTACCTTTAAATCAATAATGCTCGTTTAGGAATGTTGGGTAGGATATCAAATTATGGTGTGTTAGCCAAAATACATTCAAATTTTTCTTCCTCATGGTCAAGTTGTCAACCATATTAATAACTATTGATAATTTTATGATTATTTACCATTCAGAACTATGAATGTTAGGTCTTGGATGTGGACAGTTAGTGAGATTGAAAATAAAGAGATTTCATTCGGTTTGTATTGTTCACATTTAAATTGAGATTTATTGGAAAATTTAGTTTTGATTTTCAAGCCAAGTTTCCTTGATAATCTTAATAGTATCATTGAAAGTCTTAACAGAGTGACCAACAGTACGTTCGTGTGAGAAAATTTCATAATCATTTCCACCTGGTGAAGTCTTATCACCAAAGAAGTGAATTTCATCGAAACTATCTTGAACGTATTGTAAGCAGAAAGTCTTATCCCATCCTTCTGGGAAAACATCAAAACTGATTTGACCACCAATACTATATTTGAGATTGTAATCCTTAAACTTTTCTTGTAATTGTTGAACAAGTTTGGCTCTGATTTGATGTTGATGATCATACTTTTCATAGTCATCTCTTTCTTCTTGAGAACAATTTCTTCCGATTGGAGAAACATTGAACATTCCCTTTCTGAATTCAATAAAAGTTCCTCTCTTAACAGGAATATCAATATCAGCAAGAGCTCTGAGTGTATAGTTTACAAATTCCTTAATTCTATCCTCTCCGAGATAATCCTTGATAGAAGTAACTTTAATAAGTTTACCTGATCCATAAGCAACAAGTCCATTCTCAGAAAATACATAATCAAAATCATTCAAAATATTTTCTCCCATTTGTTCATATTGTTTGGCCAAATCGGAACCACCAACAATACCAACAGCAACTCCAGATTGTTTTAATTTCATCAAGGTATCGTACATTTCGGTGGTGACTTTGTTTCTAGGAACAGTCAAGGTTCCATCAACATCGAACAAGGCTAAGACTCTCTTGGACATTTTTTTCATTTGATTTTTTAATTGTCGTGTTCATTCGATAAGTTTTTAAACAGAAGTGGTAATAGAACAAGAATAATAGAAAGACTCTTGTTAGATAAATACTCTCTAAATTCAAGAACACGATTTTCATATTATTTCCACGTGTTTGATATGTCTGATTGGAAGATGATGAATACGTTTTCATACGTTGTTTAATTGACAAGCTTGAAGATTCGTGAGAAAGATATCTTATTATTATTGGGAGAACACGTGTGATTCTTAATAAGAATGTTATCATCATCGGAAAACAATTAACAATGTATTTACATTTAAAATACCACAAAGATGGTGATGTTTGCTAAGTTTATGTACAAGACCCTATCTATTATTATTTAAAATTAATTTACTTCTTAGTCTCCAAAGCCTTGGCCAACATGGACTTGAGTTCTTCAACTTCATTCTTCAACTTGGAAATGTCATCGACATTCTTCTTGTTGTGAGTTTCAAGTTCTTGCTTGACTTGTTTCTTGACTTCTTCAGTCTTGATATCCATCTTCTTTCCTTGTTGATCAGCCCACTTCAACAACAATTCATAGTCGTGCTTAGCAGCGTACTTTTCTTCTTCAGAAGTTTCCTTTTCATCAACAGACTTTCCTCTGACGATTGGAGTAGCACAGAATCTACCTCTTTGGACAATGACGGCAGCTCTTCTAGTAAGATTAATCAAGGACATTTTTTTTAATTTTTATTGTTGTAAAAATTAAAATTATTTGTGATGGCATAAAACATTAGTTTCAATTTTGGTACCTAATTATAAATAGTAGTATTATTTGAGTGTAATATTAACAATTATAAATTTATTTAATTGAGAAATTGTTAACAACTTTATTCAATAAATTTGTAAAAATTCAAGTTCCAAGTAAGTACTAATTTTTCTAAAATATTATTTTAGAAATTATTGTTGTAATCTTGTTATTATAATAACTGATCAAATTGAAAAAGACAAAACGTGAGAGAAGAACACATTATCGATTGCACTGGTCGATCAAATATCTCCTCTTTTCAAACACAAATAAAATTACAAAAAAATGTCTCTAACTAAAACCTCTGTAAATTTACCTTCGGTGTTTGCTATTCGACCTGAGGTTCGCGTAAAGTTTTTTGATCGTAAATATGAACTTGCCCAAAGGTATGGAGAAGATAATGTGGTAGAAATTTCGGATACACCAAGGACAAGTTCTCAGCAGTCTGTTGTCTACAACAACAAAATGTTTATTTTTGGAGGAAGAAGTGATTCGGATGATGTATTTATGTATGATATGAACGAGAATGTGATGGAACGTTTATATGTGAAGGGAACACCTCCAAAAATCAGATTGTATCATAGCATGAATCTTGATATTAGTAGAGATTGTTTCTATCTTTTTGGAGGAGTTTCTACAAAAAATTCATCTTTATATTTTGCTGATTTATTCAAATTTGATCTGCTTAAATTATCTTGGGAAGAGATTAGACAGGATTGTACTTCATTTAAAAAAGATTCATTGGCACTTACTCAGCCAAATCTATACACACCTGTTACTGTTCTTGATTCTAGATCTGGGCATGTTGGTGCCTATAGAGAGTGTTCAGATACTCTTATAGTATTTGGTGGTTTGAAGAATGGAAACAAAACTAATGATCTTCACGTTTTTGCTTTTAGTGAGAAAAAGTGGTACAAATATACTCCGATCAATAATGATGTTGTTACTCCGAGATCCTATTGCAATGGACAATATTGCAAGGGAAGTGATGAATTAATTGTGTTTGGTGGTGACACACCTTCCTCTCTTACTGGTGACACATTTATTTTGAATTTAACTACTCACTTTTGGACAAAACTTATTATTAATAATCCTTCTGATACAATGCATACATTCCCACCAGTATTTGGTCATACATCAATAATGGTAGATTTTAAAGGACCACCTTTCTTTTTGATTGCATATGGAGGAACTTCAAAGAGCTCACTAAATATTTGTTACTTATTGGATATCACCAACAGAAAATGGACATGCCTTAATAGAGACGATATCAACTTTCCAAAATTGAATTGTTGCTGTTTAGGATTTCATGGAAATTCAATGTTTCTCTATGGTGGAAGAGATGAAAGTGGACAAAAAACCAATACTTTGCACTCTGTTGGTTTACATGTGCCAAGTGTAATTTTACGAATTTTCCCAAGAATGGACATAATTATAGAGAATCAATTCAAACTTCTGAGTGATATTACTATCAAATATGAGAGTTTATATTAAAAGTTCTTTCAAACATTCTTGAGCATCAACAACAAACTTTTCTTCAGTGTATCTATCAGCACTCTTTCTGGCATTTTCTTGAATTTCTTTCATTTCTTCAGTGTGATATCTTGACAAAATATCATTGATTGCTTGTGAGTATTCCTTTTCAGTTTCAGCCAAGAAACCAGTCTTGTTTGGAGTGACGATATCAGATTTTGGTCCTCCAGAATTGTGCGAAAGAGTTATCAAACCAGCAGCCATATATTCAACAACACAAATTCCAAAATGTTCATTCCACATTGAGTGAATTCCTATCATAGATTCACCAAGCTTTTCTAATAATTGAGAGAATGGAGCGTTAGTGATAATTTCAAATTGGGATGATGGAATTTCCATATCTTGTGCAAGTTTTTTAAGATAGTCAACTCTTGCACTATCTTCTTCATTTCTACAACCTCCCAACAGAATAAGTTTGACATCCTTTTTAGAAATTCTTGTACTTCCTCCCAAATCATATTCTTCATTTTTTAAGAATGAAGAGAATGCTCTAACTTGCAGAGCATGATCCTTTTCAGGTCTAAATTGACCAACGGACAAAATGTATGGCTTTCTTGTTTCATGAGCTAATGGAACAGTTGTTAAATGATCAACATTGCATGGAGGATAGACAATTTCAATATTCAAACGAGATTTTTTGATCTTTCTATTTCTTAACCACCACAATGATTTAACATGTCCATGAGTCCAAGTGGAATTTACCATAACCATATCACAGAAGTATCCAGCAAAGAAGCCATAGAGAGCTGAGAAAATCTTGTAATAAGTCAATTTAAGACTTGTTTTTAAAGTACTGTTAGTAACACTGTCATCATTATTGTAAGCTGTCACTCTTTTAACAACTCTTTCCAACATATCAGTACTAATGGTTGGATAATGAGTATAAGATCCAACCTTACATCCAGCCAATTTAGCAACAAAGTAAGTAAATGGCAATCCATGAGTATCAATGAAAACATCAGGTGTATAGGTGCTAACAGCTTCCCATCCTAACATGATACTTGCCAAGCTTTGTCCAATAAGTGTTAATCTTGCTTTTGAAGCTGCTTCCAATAAATCTCTATTATATAAAAACACAACTTGAACAGGTCTATCCAATTCAATATTAAAAATCTTTTTAACCTTATCAGTAAGAATTTTTTCATATTGTTCTTCAGTGATATTTTGAAAAGTTCCATTTTCATTAAGAGGTTTTCCAGAAAAGAGAACAACATGAACATCATCTCTCAATTGTTGAAGTGCTTTAATTATCCACCACAAAACACGTTCTCCTCCGGCACATCCTTCACTATATGGATGCATAAAAGCAACAACAGTTTCATCTTTTGGTGTTCGGAATTTACTTCTACAAGCCTTCTTTATCGATGGGAAATAATTTACTCTGAGATAAATAATCACAAAAATTAAACTGATCACACTCAACACTGATTGATACCACATCAAATGAAACAGTGATGATTTTAAAATAAAATCAGGAATAATTCCCGATAGAAAAGTCTCTGGTGAAAAGAAGGTCATTTTTTTTGATGTTTCTAATTAATTTAAGATTTGAAAATTTGGAGATGTATTTAACATAATTTTAGTGGCACGTGTTTGAATGAAAAACACGAATATCAAGATTTTTGTTTTGTTACAGGTGTTTGTGTTGTTGTTCCTTGTTATTCCTCACGATGAGGAGATTATTAGCCAATCTTTATGGCTTGACCTTTATCGAACTTTTTTATCAAAAACTCTCAAATTCCAATCAGACCACTCTAGACGCTCTACTGCACTCAATCTTAACCCAAATCCTTCAAATGTTGCACAGAGTCCTTAATTGCCTAAAAGTGTGGTCTCAGGTCGTTATTGATACAAGATACTTTGATAAACTTACACCTTTTATAATCGAAACCTTTCTCTCACCGTTCAACAGACACCAAGTTTAAATTTCGAAGGTTATTATCGTAAGGGACCATGGTCTAGTGGTATGATTCTCGCTTTGGGTGCGAGAGGCCGTGGGTTCGATTCCCACTGGTCCCCTTTCCTTTCATGTAACTTTGAAAATTCCAACTTTAATATGTTTTGCTTATTGGAATTTTGTATAAAATTCGTGTTATTGCCTTAGTTCAATAAATTTAGTTTAAGGTTTAAATTGAGTTTTTTGGGTACCTCCAATAAAATTAATTGTAAAACAATCCTCCCATGCCGGGAATTGACCCTCCTGGGTGAAAGCCAGGTATCCTAGCCATTGGACTACACGGGATCTCATTCACAATGAGAATATTCTCATTTTATAGATAAATGCTGAAAACTCTCAGATTTTAGAAAACCTCGAGTTCCCCTCTCAAAATAAGACTCAAAAGCCTTAAAAGAATGGTTATACGATCTTGGTACCTGGTAATAAGTACCATCACTGATATTTATCGAAGTGATGAAAATTTGGGTGTACCCAAACGCCTTAATAAAACAAAAGACTACAGCACCACAGGTTCCCAAGTTGTCTCCAACCTCAGTACTGATGTGGCTCGACGATGCTTAACTTCTCAAATCGGACGGGATGAGGTGCATTCATCGTGATATGGCCGTAGCCATTGATAATATCAAAATCTTAATACTGAATAAGAAACCGAATCTTGTACATTAAACATTAATAAGAATAGCGAACTGTTAATTTACGTAAGCAAAAAAGGAGTAGCAAATCTAGGTTTCGATCCTAGGACCTATGGGTTATGAGCCCATCGCGCTGCGCCAATTTGCTTTTCATTTACCTATTAAAATTTAGTCCAACTTTCAAGCGGTTTAACATGGCCTTTGAGACTTGATCATATTTCTGATTTGTAAGTGTTTCTATATCCATAGTTATCCAATTACATTATTCAACATTCTATCAATCCTCTCTAATCCTAAACAATCACTTCGAATATTAGTTGACTGCCAAGCTCGAATTTGATTCTTAGTCAACAAAATCAATTTGACCGGTTTAAAAAGTATTTTCCGGTCCTCTCTTCCACCAATCACTCTCTTTACTGACTCGAAAGACGACGTACCTCACAGTTCATACAGTCAAAGACTGTAGCGGGACAGTCGCCATATTCCTGGCAGGCTTCCCGTCTAGTAAAATTAATTGAAAAGTTTCAAATTGTTGTAAATCACAACTACACTGTAAATTTGATTCTTTATTGTTTTAAAGTTGTGCATTTGAAACTCGTTCTTTACAAAGAAGGAATTCTAATATTAAGGTAAAACTAACTTTAAATAATATTTTCAAATACTATACACTTAATTAAATTTGAAAATATTATTTATATAAATAATAATGAAAAAAAATAAACAATTGGTATTTACATATTTACAGTTTGTTGATTGACTCGTTGTTGAGCTTGAATTCTTGTTGAGAAACCGTTGAGTCCTCTCTGTTCAACTCTAAATGAAGTGGCACTACAAGCTAATTTCACACTTTCAAATACTTGTTCGCTTGAAAATGAAAGTTTGTTGGAAGTATTTGCTGTTGAATTCCTCACAAGTAACTCAGCAACAAAACAAGATAGAAAAGTATCACCAGCTCCAGTTTCGTCCAAAACTCTAACTGGTTTGTAGGAAGAGAAATATTTAACAATTGGTGTTGAACTATTTGATCTCAACCTAGGCAAAGACAATTGAATATTTTCTCCTTCGCAAGCACAAACACAACCAGATGATCCCATTGTAACTGTTACAATTGGAAATCCATAATTCTTTTGAATATGGTATGCACATTCTTCAGGTGTCATTTCAGAGCTATTTGGAATACATTTCTTTGCTTCATCATGATCTAATTTAATGACTGAAATAATCTTACTCAAAGTTTCCAACACTTCCTCTAAATATTCGATAGTATTATGAGAAACTTGACCACTTTCTGTATCAATTTTTCTCAAATAACCCTGAATATCAGTACAAACTAGAAAATCTGACTGAATTTCTTTAAAAACCTGATTTGTAAAAGCATTCACAAAGTGATGATCAAACTCTGCAGCTACTGGAACAAAGAGCAATGCTCTAACTTGATGTAATTCTCTAATCATTAAATTAATTGATTCATCTTGTTTGAAAATACTTCCTCTATCTCTACAATTCAAGCTTCTACTGTTAGAAGCATTTTCAAGTGAATCAAATGGAGGATATAATAATTCATATTGAGTTAATTTAGATGATTGATCTTCCTCAACAAGAATCATGTCAAACATTTTCATTCTTTTTAAATGTTTGGCTTCTGACAGATCAGGTTGGAATGTCTTGTGAAATTGCTTATTAATTATTGGAGATTCACATGCAACCATTGTTATTGAATCATCTTCATTAGCAGCATGTTCCAACCCATTGAAAAACTGACTCAAAATCATCACATCATGTTTTCCAATTTTAGTCAATATTTTAGGATGAATTTTAAAATGTTGATTATTAGAATAATACATTTGATTATCAATATTCTTCATATAATGTTGAAAGGCTAAACATCCAAACATGACTGATCCTCCGAGTGATTTGTTGACTATTTTTCTATATCCTTGATAATGAATTGAATTAGCATCTTCATCGGAATTTAATTCTTGTTCAATGTGATGATGTTGTGATGATGAAATACCATTCGGAGTATGTTGGTGATGATCTTTCTCAAAGGTAATAATTGTATCTTGAGTGATATTACCAACGAATATTACTTGTTTTTCATTCAACATCATTTTGGAATATTGACTTGCACCACTTGTTCTTTTTTGATTTAAACGAAGGCAATTTGTTTCACTGTGTTTACTTGTTGTCGTTTGCTTCTAGTTTTGGTTTTTTTCTATTAATTACCAATATTCAGTTAAGCGTTTTATATTTATTATTGAGGGACTTTTTCGTGTACCATAAAATAAGAGGGAGCAACAAGTTTGAACTTTGCAACCGATTTTTCAAATGTTCATCAAGGTTTTCTCAAAGTGTGATTGTGGGCCTAGTAACTTGTATCTCTTCAATATGAAATAATGTTGGAAGAAGGTTGTTTAGCTATTGAGATCTATTCTTAACTCAATTAGAATCTAATTCTTATTTTATATTTATGATAATAATAGGAGTATTGAAGTGTCAGTGTAAAGGCAGAGAAAGAAAGTTTACAATAATTTATACAATAGCTATTCCATTTACTAATCCAATTTTTGACAAAATTTTAGAAATTTAATAATCAAAATAAATGAAATTTATTAAAAAAATGTCTGAAAATAATCTGTTGATTGTTCACGCCTTGAGGAAGACTAATAGCAGCAGCGATAATGCTACTGTAGAATATACACAAGAGGAAATTTTAGAACAAGTGATCGGGATTGATAATTTTGTGAAGGAGAATAATATTAAATTAAAATTACAAACTAAATATTATAGTGCTGATATTAATATACATTTTTGGAATGTTGAAAAGGAGAGTGTTTGTCCTTTTGATTGGAAAAGTTCTTCCGTGCAAGTGATTGTTGGTATTCCTGATTATCAATCGGATATGGTTTTGGAAGCAATTTTAAAATATAGTAATGAGATTGAATCTGGTTTTATTTATCATTTAGAACAACCAAATGAAAAACTGGCAAAAGAATCACAATCTTGGTGTGTTGATAACAATTTTGAAATGGTTGTGAAAAATTTTACTGAAGAAAAAACTGATAATGGAATTATTGAGGAGAAACAAGGTATTAAACGATTGATGGAAGCTATTGAATGTACAATGTGGCCAGCAATGAATAGAATTGATCCAAAGGCAGTAAAGGCTCAACAAGAATCTTCCAAGAAAGAAGAGAAGCCAATCGAACAAATCAAAGATGCTAAAGAATTATTAGGCAGTGAAGCTGAAATTGTGGAAGAGGATGAAAAAGAAATTGAATCATTCGAACGTCTAATGCATGAAATTCTCAATATTAGAAAGGATAGTAAAACTATTGGAGATGATGAAAGAAAGAAGAGAGCTGAATTGGCCACCCTCAAACTCTTGTCAATGATGGGAGATGAAGATGAGTATTTATCTGATGAGGATTATTAAACTACTAAAAGTGTAAATAAAGACTTGTCAGTTGACTTTCAAGAATGAAAATTGTTTTGAATATAAATTAATTATTTGTTTATCTCATATTTCCCATACCACCCATCATTTGTTGTTGTCTTTGTTGATCGTGTTGATTTTGTTCACTTTCTGGATTCTTGACAGTTTCATCAACTGACAGAACGAGAGTAGCAGCTTCGATCGAGGAAACGAGAGCATTTCTCTTAATGAGAGATGGTTCCCAAACAAAGTTGTTAAAATTATCAGCAACATCTTCAGTCTTCATGTCAACACCATACCAAACACCATCCTTGTCTTGATGCTTCTTTCTCAGCTTATTCAAAATATTTGTAGCATCAAAACCAGCATTTTCAGATAATTGTCTTGGAATAATTTCAAGAGCTTTAGCGAAGGCCAAAATGATTAATTGAGATTTACCCTTAATACTTCTAGCATGGCTCTTCAAGTGAGCACTGATATCCATTTCAACAGCACCACCACCAGCAACAATTGATGTATTCTTCAAAGTTCTTCTGACGACCATGATAGCATCGTGCAATGATCTTTCAGCTTCAGCAATGAATTGTTCAGCACCACCACGCAAAACAACAGTAGCAGTCTTGGAGTGAGCACATTCAGTGAAAATGTTAAATCTTTCATTACCAACTTGTCTTTCTTCAAAGAGTCCACAAACACCCAAATCAGAATCATTAACCTTTGAGACAGTAGTCAAAATCTTAGAACCAGTAGCCTTTGTGACACGGAGCAAATCATCTTCAGCAACACGACCAGCACAGAAAAGTCCTCTATCAGCAAAGTATTGAGTAGCAAGATCACCAATGGCCTTCTTGGAAAGGACAATCTTAGCACCACTAGCAACAATCTTTTCCAATTTATCATAAATAATCTTCCATTCAGCATCAACAATAGATTGATATTGTTCTGGGTTATTCAACTTGATTTCAGCGTTATCCTTTTCAGCCTTCAATTCAAGTTCAATATTGAGAGTAATAATTTTAGGAGAAATAAACTTCTTAGGTTGTTGTTCAAAACCAGCATATGAGAAACTCTTCTTGAAAGCAACACCCTTAACGAGGAAAGATTCTTGCATAGAACCACCTGGAACTTGTTTAACACCAATTAAATCAATATCCAAATCATCATCCAATGAAAGAACAGAATCAACAACCATTTCAGAGAAGTGATCGGATTCAATACCACCAATCAATTTAGATGAAAGTGATGTTCTGGCAATCTTTCTAAGAAGGTCTCTAGTCTTGTTATTGTCGGTTTTATCAATTTGTACAGCAATTTCTTCCAATCTCTTCAATGCAATTCTAAGAGCTTCTCTATAGGCTTTAATGATGAGTTGTGGATGGACACCTTCTTGTATAAATTGTTTGGCTTCCTTCAAGAATTCACCTGCCAAAATTGTTGTTGTTGTTGTACCATCACCAACTTCACTATCTTGTGATTTAGCAATATCTACTAAAAGTTTAGCTGCTGGATGGACAACATCCAACAATTTAAGAATAGTGGCACCGTCGTTTGAGATTGTAGCACGACGACCATCGTGTATAAGTTTATCCATTCCTCTAGGACCAAGAGTGGTCTTAATAACATCAACAATAGCATAACAAGCGTCAATGTTTGATAAGAGTTGTCCAACACCTTGTGAGGTATCTGTACCATCCTTCAAGAGGATTATGCTAGGTTGCTATAATAATATTCCAATATTATCAATTTGTTGTTGTTGTATATCGAATGATGATGATGAATCCAACAGTTGTTTTCAAAAGAGTTCAAGAAAGTCATCAAAAGTTTTACATTAAAGTGAGTGTATAAAATCCGTAACATTAATAGGATGAATATTTGTTAACAACTACTCATTCTTCTAACATACCATCATATGAGACATTTTGTATTCCTAATCTTTTTGTTGTTGTATCGATTGTACAAAAGGTAGTACTCTGGAGGTTAATAGCAGGGTACTTATTTTTTTCGGATTTGTTTTCCGTGTTTCTTACAAAAATGAAGGCAAGATGATGAGAGAACATCAACCTACAAAATGTATGACAAGTTAGTTGTTTGTATTATTATTATTAAATAATAGAATAGGCTTGTATTTTGTATGGTTGAGTTCAACAAGCATATAATCATGTAGGAGAAATTTTGAAGAGGTTAATGGACACTGTAGGATTAGATGATTTTGAATATTATTATGATGACAATTATTGTATTTTAAAATCATATTGTTGTTCTTAATAATAGCTGATCTCTTATTGATAATTTTGAGAACATATAAAATTGTTTAAAAAGATGAAGGTCTTTGATCAATCATATTTAATATTTATTGCTCTATCGTAAAGGTGATGGAAATAAAATCATCTAATTGTCATCACACAATAAAATCTAATTTAAAAAAAAATTATTGTGATAAAGACAAGAAAATCATCAACAGTTTGTGAGTGTTTATTGCCGATAAAGAGTTGATCATCACATTGTCATCACATCATCATCAGAACAGAATTGAAATTATTTATTATTATTAAAAATAGAAGATAATGGATCAATATCAAATTGAATGGAGAACAGCACCCGTTCCTGTTATTGCTCTTGTAAAAAACAAGAGACTTCATGATGGATTGATTACATGTATTCAAAATAATATTTCTAGAAAGATTAAAATACTTAGCCTCGAGAATGAAAATGAAATAATCAAACCAAAATCAATTACTTCCAAATCAAATATTAATTTGTTTGAAAACTTGAGTATGAACTCAATTTTAATATCAAGTAATGTTACTGCTAATTCCGTTATGAATAGTAGTAGTAGTAATAATAACCAAATATCGTCACCAGTAGTATTAACAAGTCCACCACCTTTACAACCATCATTATCAAGTTCTTCTATCACTTCATCTTCATCATCTACATCTAAAGATTTACCACCACTTCCTTCACATTTGTTAAATAATAATCCTACTAATAGATTTGAAGGAACTAAACCTGCAGGTATATTTAAACGTGGCTGGTTTAAAAAACATCAAGAATTGATACCAAGTGTTTGTGTAATTATTGTTCATTGGAAATCAGATGAACATTCTACTTGGCGTGCACAAGAAAGTGAAATTGCTAAAAAAATCTTAGCTGTAAAGGAAACAAGAACAGGAAAAAACACAAAATTTGTTGCAATAATTGTAACAAAGAAATCAACTCCTGTGAGTGAAGTTCAAGTTGATCCAAACACTTACATGTCAACTGATGATTTTATTTATAATGTCAGAAAAGCAGCTAATTTGGATAGTAAGAATATTATTTTAATGAAAGAATCTGAAATTAGTGATGATCAATCTTTTAAAACAAAGCTTACAAAACCTATAAAGGAATCTATTGTAAATTACTATAAGGAACAAATGAATATGGTTAAAAAGTTTAAGAGTGATATTAACAAAACTACTCAACCATATTATTTTGTAAGACATAGAATGAAAGTGGCATTTTACTATGACATTTTGATGAATAGTGGTTTAACTACTCAATCGTCTATTCAAAAGATGATTAAATATCTTACACAGGCATATACAGCACTGCAAAATGTGTCAACTACAGATTTTCTTGTAGAGGAAATCAAAACTTTGGGAGATATGCTTAATTTTAAACTTTGTTTTATCAAATTATCAGATAAGAAAATTGATATGGCTGTAAAACAATTTTTGAAACACATTTCATGGTACAAATTAATTCATGAGGAGGATTATTCATCTAGCTCTATCGATCAATTTAAATTCCATGCAAGAGTTTATTTGCAATACAGAATGATGGGAGAAATTCTTGAAAGAATTCCACCAAATTTACTTTCACCTGATCAAAGATATCAAAATCCAGGATTTTATTATCAAGCAGCAGCTACACATGCCAAATATAGAAAAACATATGCTTCCAATGTATGTGACCTTCACAAGGAATTGGTAGATTCCATATTTGCAGGCAATGAAGAATTGTTAACAAAAATCAAAATTGAAGATTATCACTACTTGACTGGATATTATGGTAAAGTGATTGAAATGCCAGAACTTTCAGAAAAATTGAAGGGAAATACTAACGGTATTAATATTAGAAATATCAGAGATATTGCTCGTGAGCTAATTCTTGCTAAACATTCAGAAACTATAATTCAAATGTTAACCAATGCTTACAATCACTTCAATGTTAAAAAAGATTCTCAACTTAAAAGAATGATGTACTATATTGCAAGCAGTATTGCTAGTGAACATTACGAGTCTGGAAACTATGAGAAGAGTAAAGTTTTCTTTGACAAGATTGCCAAACACTACAGAAAAGAACAATGGTATGAACTGTTGACAGTAGTGTTACAGAGATCACTGGAATGTTCAAAACAATTGAAACTTTCAAAACAATTTGTTTTACACGCTCTTGAATTAATTTCAACTTGTAAGTTTAAATGATATAATACTTTTTAACACTAAAATTTCACAGTAATGACAAATCCACTTCAAGAAAAACATCAACATTTGAATGATTTATTATTATTTATTAACACACCTGATCAAGTTATTTTACCTCCATTGTCCTCTCCTGTTGTTATAGATATGGACTCTAAAAATGTTTTATTCCAACTTAAAACACAATTCAGTGTTCCTTTTGCATCTGTCTACCAACCAATTCAATTTTCAGTTCAAATCACTTCTTATATTCCTTCTGATTTGAGAATTTCATCCTTGACAATTTTGTTCAGTGACAAGGAGTATAATATTCATATTCAAGATGGGCAACCAATTCCAATTCCAACATTACCTGATGCTAAAGTGAAAGAGAGTAATGGTGTTCAACAAGTTAATGAATCAGCTAGTCAATCTGGTGAACCTTTGGATTTGGTTTTGAAGGCAAACTGTCAACCATGTACTTTTAATTTCCCACTCATAATTAAGCAAAGACAAGATCTTCAATGTTTAGGAGTTTCACTTTCTCTTAAAGGACCAGTTCCAAACCAAGAAATTAGATTCCAGTGGAAATTCTTAGATAATGAATATTTCCTAACACTTTTGAAGAGTTACGATTATAGACTTTTCTACTCTGAGGGATTGTTTGTTGAGAGACCTGTTGTGATTATTACAGAACCAGAACCTAATCTTTCTCTTTCGTTTGCTCACTTACCTCCAGCTCTTGTAAATGAATATTATAGTATCAGTAAGTTTTCAAGAATTTGAATTATTTTTATTAATCCTTGTAAAGAAATAACATTACATTCCAACGATGATCACGTAACTGAAGGAAGGTTGGTCATTGATAACATTCCATCTGTAGAGATTACTCACATCTATCAAGATGAATTGGTTCCACTAACAAGCGAGGGTATCAAAGTGCCAGAAATTGTTGCTAATGGAAGTTACAGCGTTATCATTTTCTTGAAATGTGAAAAGCCAGGAATCAACAAACTACAGTGTAGAGTCTCTTACGGAACTAAACTTTATCCACAATTAGAAAGAAGTACATCGTTTGATGTTTCTTGTCAATATCCATTTGATTCACATTTCCACTTTATGGCTACCAGACAAGCTGAGAGCAAAATTGTAAGAGATGAACAAAGGGATATTGTACTCAATGAGAATGAAATGATGTTCAGACTCTTACCATCTCAAAGAGTATCATTCTACCAAAAAATTATTAGTAATGTTAGTCAAAATATTTCAGTCTCAGATCCATTTGCCAAGGACAAGACACAATCAGGATTTTCTTATTTGGAAGGTTTTTCAGTTCTGCAAGCCATTGCTCTTCAAACTTCTCTCAAATGTACTACTCCTTATTCTGTAAATTTGGAAGAAGTATCAATTGATTCCTCTGATAAGTTTATGTGTATGACTTCAACTGATTATACCTCTACTCTCTATGCAAACTCTTACAAGACCTATCTTGAAGATAAGGATGAACATAGTTCTTGTTTTGTAATTGTTCCAAGAGAGATTGGAAAGAATGTTCCTGTTGGAAATATTCGTATTGCACTTAAAAGAGCTGAACCAATTAATATTGATGAGATTGATCCAATACTTGTAGAGAAATTTAATTTAGCGAGAATTGAATATTCAACTCAACTTCCTCCTCTCAATATTATTGATCCAGGTGTTACAGTAAGCTTTTGCTCACCTTTCGAAGCTTTTGTTGGTACTTCTATCAAATGTAGTTTAATTGTTGAGAACAATACACCACAAGTACAACAAGTTCAATTATTCGTATCAGAAAATCCAACCTATCAACCATTCTTCTACTCTGGTACTACCAATTTGAGATTTTCTATTTTACCTTATCAAAGTAGAGAATTGGTTTATAATTTTGTTCCTATCATGACAGGATTAATTGAATTCCCAAAGTTTTCATTAGGAAATTTGAAAAAACAAGTTCACATCCTCAATGATGATGAGAAATGGACAATCTACATTCATGAAAAGAATACATTGCCTGAAACTTTTAACATGCAATAAACCATCAATCATTTTGACCTTTAATTTAAAATCAAAAAAAAAGAAACTGAAAAAGAATGAACACTCATTTCAATGATCTTTCCATTGTTTTTGATCAATCATCATCGGAATGTTTTCATTCAATTGACAATAATCAATTATTATCATCACCATCCACCACCAACTATGAAATGTTAAAAATCAAGATGAAACAAACAAAATATGAAACATTGGAAAATCAAGTAACAAATCTCTTTGAACAAAAAGAAATTGTCAAACAATTTTGGAAATTGGAAAGAGAATTTAAATATCTATCTCCCAAGGTACCCAATTATCGATCAATTTTATTACAGGTCATTAATAGAAGTTCTGGAATGGTATTACAATATGCAACTAATGAATTGAAGAATGATATTCAGGTGGTGACAAGTGCCTTTATGAAAACTGCTCGTTCTATTCAATTTGTTTCGAATAAGTATATTGTAATGAAACTTATAAAAGGGACAAGCTATGCTCCACACCGTTTACAATATTTAAGTGAAGAAATGGCAAGAGATGATGAAATTATTCTTGCACTTATTTCACTTTCAAAAATTGGAACTGAAAAATTTATTGAACAACTAAAATTGGATTTTCACACAAATTTCAGAATTAATCCAAATGTAATAATGAAATGTTTTTTACAATGCCATTGGATGATTAAATTTGCAGATGAATCACTAAGGGACAATGAAGAATTCATGCTAAAGGCAATGGAAACCTATCCTAAAACATTATACTACATTTCAGATAGATTGAAACTAAACAAGTCATTTATTCTCAAAGCTGTTAACACAAATGGAAGAGTTTATAATTTTCTTTCTCCTGAATTTCAAAATGATACTGAAATTATTTCAACAGCTGTGAAACGAAATGGATTTATTTTTGCCTCAATACCAAGAAAATTTCACTCCAATAAGGAAATTTTATTGAGTGCCTTCATTGATGGATGTGACAGATATAATGGAAACAATTTTTACACAGTCAATGGTCAATATCGATTCATTTTTAAACAAGTTCCAAAGGCACTGAAAAGCGATAGAGAACTTGCATTGTCACTTGTTCAAAGATTTGGATATTCTATTTATTATTTGAGCAGAGATTTGATTAATGACAGAGAAATTGTGTTAAAAGCCATTGAAAATTGTTATTTCTCTATTATGGTAGTTTACAAACATATCTTTGTGTATAGAGATGATGAAATTATGAAATTGGCAGCAAGACAATATCAACCATCGTCATCATTATCACTACAACTTGATAGGAAATTAAGACGAGAAATTGAGGATGAAAAATATTCTAAACGATCTTCATTTTCATGGAACAAGTATCAGTACTAAGTGAAAATTCGCAATTTATACTTTTTCATAGATTTTTCATAGAGAATGAATCTATGTTATTAATGAGGTAGAAAATCTCAATAATAAAAAATCCAATTTTTCAATTATTTTTTCTTTAAAAAAAAATGTCAAAACATCGATGGAAATGTGATTTACTTTTGTTATTGTTTATTATTGTAATTATTGTTATTGGATTGAGTTCAATTCCGATGTGGATTTTTTATTCGAAAGTTGATTCTCAAGCAATGAAAATTCTAAATGATGAAAATTTGTTAATTGATGCACTAGTTGAAAATGGAACATTTAATTGTGGAATGGATGTGAATTTATTGGAATATTGCTTTCCACTTGTTAGAATGAATAATTTATTTCCTTTTCGAATTTCTAATAATTTATTAGAATCTAATTATACCATATTGAGAAGTACTACATTTTACACCTATAAAATACCTCAAAATGGACAATTAATTCAATTATATATTGATAGTAATTCAACGCCTGCAACTTCATTATTTATTACATTTGATAAGAGTGAAAATTTCACAAGTTTACAATTATTTCAAATTTACAATTCTCTAAAATGGGAAGGAAATGTTTTATTTTTTATTGCATGCATTGCTTGTCTGATTGCATTTGTTGGTTGTTGTGGAGGAAGTGTATGGACTATTTATTATTGTTGTAATTTGAGAGGTCAATTAAGTTAATATTGATTTAATGAGTTTGATTATACTTTGAAAATCCAGTGGAAGTTTCCGTTCAAGAAGATCAAAATTCTTGACAGACCTTGTAGCTATTTCAAGTCGAATGTGATCGATACAGATGATAATTATCAATTTTATTAAGGAATGGTTGACAACTCTTTAACAGAAAATAAATAATTAGTAAGCTAGGACCTTAGTGCTTCATATTTTTTGATCATCTTTCAAGAAGCATTAGTAGTGTAACGGTATCATACCAGCCTTCCAAGCTGGTGACCCGGGTTCGACTCCCGGCTAATGCAATTCAATTTTACAGTTGATAGAAATAAGTTTTTCTCTTTTTTCATTAATTAAAACCTTAAACAGCAGTTCAAAATGAAATTAATAAAGTGCAAATTGAATAAATTGCTATTATTTGATCCTTTGAAAATTGTAACTGCTCAGAACCACTTGTAGATTCCAAAGTTCATTAAATAATTAACAGAATTGACTTGTTGAGATTTCTTGTTCTCTAACCAACAAGAAATCTCAGCTACTTAATCTTCACAAAAGAAGAATAAGAAGAATAAGAAAATTATGAAGGAATTTGTGAGAAAAAACATGTAAACAAATGGTTTCATCTATTGACGAGGATGAGTATGAACAATATTCAATCAATTCTAAATTCTAAATATTTAATAAATTGTTTAACGAAATGGATTGATTGTCTGTTGATGGTTTTTGGAGTGCATGAGAGGATTTACACCAGCTGAGCTCTATCTATCTCTTGGATTATTAAGGCGAGGAATCTACTAACCAATACCCTCAGAAATGGTTTCCAACAACTTGTAAAAAGCACTAATCAATCTTCAAGAAACGGTGCCATTCTTAAAGACATGTTGATATCAGCTAAACTAAAATTGAATTGCATTAGCCGGGAGTCGAACCCGGGTCACCAGCTTGGAAGGCTGGTATGATACCGTTACACTACTAATGCTTCTTGTAAGATGATCAAAAAATATGAACCACCAAGTGGTAGCCATGATAATTTTCATGGAAACAATTATATTTTTTGGTAATTAATTCGATATCCAATACTTGAACATAGAAATGCGTATGGAACTAATAATTATAATTAATGTTTCAATAAAATATACTTGCTTCCGTATAACATGTCAGATTCCTTTGTTGTCACAGATCTAACATGTAAAGAAAGATACAAGCAGAGCTGAAAATTACCTTTTTTGTTGTTCTTTCAAAGCGTACAAATGAAATTGAAACTTCATGGGTGAAAAAATTTTACTGTTTTGCATTCATTCTTTGTTCTAACAGTAAAGATTCCAATAGGTAAATTAACATGTCAATATTGTTGCAATGTGTTGTTATCACCTGGCATAACAATATCTGATATTAAATCCATTCTTATGACCATGTTCGTGATGTAAGCTTCAAATGTCATTGTACAAAATTAATCTTGTCATTCCAATTCCAACCATTGAACCATATCATGTAAGTTTTAGTTGATTCACAACCTCCCAAAACGAAAGAAATCTCCAAATAATGTTCCATCGCCATTGACAAAAATAGAGCTATTTCGAAGAGCTTGAAAGATTACTCTCATACAGTTTCGAATAGGATTGCTGCACAGCAAAACTATTGCACAACAAACTTCTTTGCAAAAAAGTATGACTAATAAGCACACAACCAACAACTCTTCTGATTCTCAATTATTTTCCTCATCAATCCCACCTATTCACTTCATTCCACCTACTACTACTGTCATCATTAATACAACTAATGTAATAACAAACGCAGCGAATGTGAATAATAATAATATGGTAAATGTTGATTTGCTTCTTTCTAATGAGAGTGCCACCAGAAACATTGGTAATTTAGTTCCGCATGAATTAAATAATTTTTTTCCAATGTGATGATTAATTATGATGACCAATGGAGTCCAGCCTTGCCAATCACATCTGAAAGCCTTGAAGCATACAGACAAATGTAAATGTGTATATTATAGGATGCGTGAGAATATCGTACGCATATGTTTCTGCTTTTTTGAATACTAATAATATTCATCAAATGTTAAATTTCTTCTCGAGATGATGGAAGATAAAACTCCCTTTGTAATATTACTCTCTCAACATGTACTTCTAATAAAGTAAACCAAATTACTTTAAACTCTTCAATGTAGTAGATCCCAAACATCTTGTTGTACAACTTTTAATATTACACACTCTCTCAACATGTATTTCTAATAAAGTAAAAAACCAAATTACTTTAAACTCTTCAATGTAGTAGAGGTAATAGTTAATTACTGGCATTCAACTTATAGTAGTAGATGAATGGTATTATGATGATACTGGAGAGGGTTAGAATCGGTTAGTAGAGAGAATTGCATTTTGAATAGATTCTATCAAAAATGATAACATAACATGTTTACATTTTGTTTGAATTTTTTTGTCGTCCCAAAACGTCCTGAAAAATATTTTAATGAAACGTTTACAATTGAATTTCTGTTCCAATTTGGACTATGTGTTTCCAAATCTATTAATAAAATCATATTGTAAAAATCTAGAATACTGTATTGTAATAGTACTCTTAACAAATTCCTTAACTTTCTTTAAATAGAGTGAAATAAAAAGATGAATTAAGATTTTTCTAAAAAAAAATGCTCAACAATTCATCATCAGCATTGTCATCATTAAATTTATCAAGGCTTCTTTTAATAATAGGATTTGCAAGTTTTTATTGCTTGTTTGTTTATTGTGATTTTCCCGTTGATGTTAAAGAATTAAATATTAAAAATATATATGCAGATGATTCAGTGGATTGTAACGAATTTGATTATTATTATTTCAATGTTCCGAAGGATTTTAAAGTACAACGATTTTATTTATCATTCCGTTTTACAAATGATGATGAAGATAAGAGTGATAAACCTGCTCTAGCAATTTATTTTAAAATAGGAAAATTAGCAAATGAAACTGATTATGATGCAATGACAAATTCACCTGATATTCCAATTGCTTTTGATAAAATTCCACCTGATACTAATTGTTATTTAACTATTGCAGGTAAAGGAATGTGTAAACAAGGATTTGAAACTACGAATCATTATTATTTTAAAGGATATTTGGATAAACAAGGACCTATTCCAGAGTAAGTTTTTTTTAATGAGAATTAATGAAAAATTGAAATGTGAAAGTTGGGCATTATTTGTAATTATTATTGGAGGTTCAATTATACTTTGCATTTCTTTGGTTGCTTGTGTATCTGCCTATAGATATTATCAATTTAAGAGAAGACATTATGAAGTTTTGGAATAAGAATTATTGAAAAATATAATTGAGGATTCTAAATGAGAGCGAGCTGTTGTTTACAAGATGTGATGTTGTGAAACTAAAAGAGTAAAGTTTATTGACATTAAGCCAACATTATTATTACATACTTTGTTGATCTACCATCAGTTGCAAATTGTAAAAAATCGTAGTGGAAAATAGTCTGCAGAAACACAAAAAAAAACGAACGTACGAATATATTGATGAACATTCTTACAACACCATCAGTAACGTGGAGATAAATAATAGTTTAAACACCAAACATAAGAAGGGCAATAAGTAAACAACTGGTGGTCCAAAACACCCATTTTTTTATCTGACTAAAGGGGAGATGGATGCAATTAGTAAAGCTGTGGATAGTGAAAAGCAGAAGTTGTATCAACAAACAACATTTTAAAATGTAACAACGATAGAAGGATCCACAAGTTTATCAATCATTAAAAGAAATCATCCAAATCTCTGTCCTCCCTTTCTTGTTCTTAATCACTATTTTTTTACAAACGAGTTTAGTCTAGACTGCAAAAACCAGACTGCCAATTGGTCACAAAACATTTAACAGTATTCTCTCATGAAATTCGAATACATGAATTAAATGAAATGGTTCAGAAAGATATGAATGAAATGATTGATAATGAGAATACTTTGGAAAGCTGAGTTGATATTTGAATAGTAAATTGAATCAGTTTTCTATCCAAATTTGGAACCTTACATCCAACTATTTTCAGCTTGTCCCAAATGAAAAACAATTCGAAATGGTTTAAATTAGCACCATCTGGTTGAACTATCCAATCCAACAAAAACAAAAAATGAAAGCAAATCTAATCTTTTCAATTGCAATTCTACTCTTGCTTGCAATCCTCTCAGTTCAAGCAAGTGATAGCTATCAAACTAAACCTCCAGTTGTCGTAGTTGACAAGTATCACAAGCCAAAGGTTTGTAAGAGAAAATGCTTAAAGCATAAGTGGATTAAGAAGTGTTTGAAACATAAACTCGTTGGTCAAAAGAAGGTCTGTGATCAATATGCAATTGTCGGTGCTGGCAAATGTCTCAAACATAAGAAATATTCCAAATGTGACAAGTACAGTAAGCCAACAAAGAAGTGTGTCTTGCATGCATACAAGATTGTTGGATGTGCCAAGAAGAAGTACTGGAAAGTTTGCGATTCTTATGGAACTAAGAAGATTTGCATCAAGAAGGGTTTCAAGAAGTTCTGTGCCAAGTACAAGATTATCAACAAGTGTTTCAAGAAGGGTTTCAAGAAGGTCTGTAAGAAATTCAAGAAGGTTCCAATCAAGAAGTGTGAAAAGAAGAAGATCTGTGACAAGTACACTGTTGATTCTTACAATAAGAAGGTTGCCAAATGTAGATATGTTAAAAAGTGCAAGATTGTCTCCTGGGCAAAGAAATGTGCCAAGTATAAGAAGGTTAAATACTGTAAGGAAAGAAAATCTTTCAAGAAGTGTTGTCTCATTAAGAAGAAATTCTTCTGTGCCAAGCATAAGACCATCAAGTTCTGTAAACACAAGAAGACTCTCTCCAAATGTGTCAAATATAACAAGAAGAAGTATTGTGCCAAGTCAATTGTCATTCCACCAAGATGTATCAAGAAGAAGTATTATAAGAAGTGTGTGAAACGTTCAAAGGGAAAGAAGATTTGTAAGAAATTCAAATTAGTTGGTGGAAAGAAGAAGTGTTGCAAGTCAATTAAGAAGAAGATTTGTATCAAGAGAAAGACATGTAAGAAGCCAACAAAACCAATCGTCAAACCATCCTTGTAAAATAGTTGACAAATTTTTCTCTAATTACCTGTAAAATAACAAGAGAATTAATAAAGTATTGAACTTTAACAAAATTCAATGCAAAATATCCTCCCATGCCGGGAATTGAACCCGGACCTCCTGGGTGAAAGCCAGGTATCCTAGCCATTGGACTACACGGGATCTCATTCATGATGAAAACATTCCCATTTCATAGATAAAACACACAAATTGACCATAATCTGTTGGCACTTGCAGTGAACAACCACTCCCAGTTGCCATCAAGACTGGTTGTAGTTTCCACTTGATTTTAAATCTTGTTCTCTTAGTATTTACGTTGTACATCGGAGCCTTCATACACGCTCTTTATGTTATTTTAATGAAGGATTAAATAAATTGATTTTATTAACATCTAGACTTGTCCCTAGTTGTAAAATGATATACGAGTTAGGCATAGGGCAAGGTTGTGAACATTGTTATGTCCGTGATGATTCGGTCCTTTTTATTAGATCCGTCATCAAAATAACCATGTCAATAACCATCTTTTTGACATGTTCAAGTTGTTGGTTGGTTACAAACACACACTCATTTAGTCAGTTTTCAGCAATCAATGAAAAACTATCATCTTTAAAAAAAATGAAAGATAATACTTGGTTCACAACAAGTCTTATCATTCAACTCTTTATATTGTTATTAATATGTGTCAGTAGTAGTGATGTAATAACATCAGTCAATGGTCAAACAATTCAAGATGATATTTATATTGTTCCAATTCCAAAAGTAGTAACACCTGAATATGGATCACTTTCATTAACCCCACAAGTTTATTATTTTAATTCATCATATTCATCCAGTTCATTACAATATTTATATTCCATGTCAGATGGTTCAACATTGAAAAGTGGCATGTCATTCACATCAAATGGTTTATTTACATTTTATCCAAATCCATCACAAATTGGTCAATTTAATATATTAAGAAATGTATCATATTATAATAGTGATAACAAGTTTACAATAATTTCACACACCATTACAATTCAAGTAATTTCATCACCTTCCAATAATGGTAATCAATTACAATTATTATTTTCAGATAATTTCACATTTAATTTATCAAATTGGAATTTAATTGATGGAACAATGAAATTACAATCAAATCAATTAAATTTATTCCAAAATAATACAATTTTAACAAGTGTTAAATATTTTGATATTTTTAATAATAATAATAATGGTTTAACTTTTACTTTTAATTTATTAACTTCATGGACTTCTACAAGAGGTATATTACTATATATAGATAAATTGAATTATTATGAAATTAATTTATCAAATTCACCTTTAACTATTAAACGTTATTTAAATGGTGAATTAACAATTGTATTACAAAGTACTAAATTATTACAAGTTCATACTTCAAATTATTATTCAAGTTATAAATTATTTTTACAATTTACTAAAAATGGAATTTTAATCAATTTGGCTAAAATTGGAACATTATCAAGTGATTATTATTTAAATGTAATTGATAATTTTACTAATATGGAATTATTTAAAAATATTAAATTTGGATTTTTTGATAAAAGTGCATCTTCACCAACTGTGTCCACTTTTAAAGTTTTACAATTTCAAGTTTTTAATGGAAAATTAATTCACACCAGACAAGCACAAACTTATCATGTTGATGCAACTAATGGAAATGATTTAAATGATGGGTTAACAAAATCAACTGCTTTAAAAACATTAAATACAGCTCAATATCAATTATTACCTGATGATACTTTACTAGTTTATGATTCTATTTATAGAGAAAGTTTCCAAATTAATAGAGAAGCATCAATTTATCATCCAATTACAATTAAAGCAGTTAATCAACCAACTACTACAACTACCACATTTACAACAACACCATATACTCATACATCAATTATTGATGGTTCACTTGTATTAGATAATTCTAAATTAACTAAAATTAGTAATAGTAACATTTATCAAACCTATATTAAATTTACACCAGATGTAGTTTATTTAAATGGTGTGAAAATGAGTTTAGCAATGAAACCACTTCCAGCTGATTTACAAGATGAATATTTTACAGATAATTATATTCATCCATTAAATAATTCAAAATTTCATCTGATAATTTATTAATTTATTTAAAATTAGATGAAATGTTTAAATATGATTCATTTGGTAATAGAGTTTCAGATAATTATTGGAATGGTGCTGATTTATATCATTATTATTATGGAGCTAATATTGTTTTCACACGTAGAATTTTATCTTACAATGCATCAACCAATACTATTGGAATGGAATATAGAGATTCTATATGGGGACAATTAATTATTTCAACAAGTGATTTCTATGCTATTGGTAATCATGTTGGTTGTTTTTCACAAGCTAATCAATATGTTTCCTCTAATAATCAAATATCAGTTTCATTGAGTAGTGATCCATATTATATTCAATCTAATTCTCTATTATTAGAAGTATCATCTCTCTCGAATGGTATTAAATTTACAAATGGAATGGAAGGTATTAGAGTTCAAGGATTAATGATTAGAAAATTCACAAGTGATGGAATTCAATGTTCTTCTCAATGTAATAATATTGTTCAACTAAATATAATGGTGGATCAGGTGTCAGTTTCACATCCTCTCAAAACATACTCATTGATGGAGGTGAACATTCACAAAATTTCAATAATGGAATTAATTTTGGAGGTGGAATGAAAGATTCAACTATTGAAAATTCCTACGTTCATGAAAATGTCAATAATGGTATTTGGGTAGGTAATGGTGGTTCCAATCTATTCTATTGTTGGAATATTCTATTAAAATCTAATAAGGTTGGACCACATTTTAGTCAACGTCTCCATCCAGATAATATTCAATTAGCTAGTTCACATAATGTAACATTAGATTCTAATATTCTCATTCAATCAGGTGGTGATCAAAATATGTGGATGGAACAAAATGGTCTCGTCACATTTAAAAGAAATATTTTCATTAATGGACCACTTGGTTTAAATCATGCATTGAATTTAGTATTAATTAATAATATATTTTATCAATCATGGATGAGATATTCATTTAAATTTGAAAATTATGTTACTTATAGTTCACTTGTTGGTTTACAAAGTGTTTTAGATTGGAATCAAATGTTTAATAGTTTAAATAGTAGTACTACTACCATTAATGGAAATGATTTACCTAATATACTTGTTTGGAAAGATTTAAATTTACAAATATCAAATAGAATTAAATCATATTCATCTTTTAATTTATTAACTAATTCAGATAAAAATGATTTAATTAATCATTTAAATAATATTATTAATAATACTTTATTTATGAAAGAACATAAAGATTTAGTATTACCTTTATTAGGAAAATCAAATGTTGCATATCCATATTGGACTGCAATTACTAAACGTGGATTATTAGATAATTCAACAGGTCAATTCAATTTAATGACAAGTGACATTTCAATCATTGAAGAAGTTAGAGGTTTAACACGTGCTATTTTAGATGAATTAGTTTTTGATGGAATTTTATCAAAATCTTTAATGACATTTTATCCAAGAATTGTTTCAATTAAGAATAATGCATTTATTAATTCAAATTTACAATTACCAAATTCATCTTATAGTTTATTACCATATTGGGATTCAGATTTTAATTATATTGAACAAGGAACACCTTATCATGCAAATATTTGGAAAACATTGACTGGACCTAATACTATATTTGAAACATCATTGACCAATACTACTTTCTATTTTAAGAATATGACATTGTATGATTTCCATTTAAATTGTAATAATCAAAATATTTCATTAATTGATAGAGGAATTAATGTTGGTGAATTTTATAATGATAAAGCACCTGACATTGGTGCCTATGAATCTAATTGTAATAATAATAATTTAAATCCACAACCATCATCAACAACAAAACCTTCAACATCTGTAAATTCACCACAACCATCAAAATCACCACAACCAAATAATTCAAAAATTGTTTCACTTGGTTCATCAATTAATGTTGGAGGAGGTATTGGTAGTGGTTTAATATTGATTGGATGGATAATGGTGATGATGGTTGTTGTACTCAACACAATGTTTTAATAAATTTATTGTTCTAATCCAAAAATGTTTGATTTTCCACAAAAGTAAATACTAATAATTTAGAAATTTTGTAAAGTTAATCTCAATCAAGAAGTGTAATCTATGTTCATCCAATATATATGCCTAACCAATCAACAAGATTATCAATCTGATGATCATTCAATAAGTATCTTCTCCACAATGTATGGTCACTTCAGGGTATCTATTGATTTTTTTTTCTTATTGGTTTATTTTATCAAAATTTCCAATAATAGACCACAGCCATCTAAAAAGGATGATAATCTGTTTTTGTTCTTGAGAAAAAAACTGTTAAGCCGTCTCTTTGAAAACCAAATAGAAAAAAATCACATTATATTCTGTATCATAAAATGTCTGTCGTCGTTCCAAAGGATGTTCCTACATTGGGTATTTTAGTTGGTGGTGGTCCAGCCCCAGGTATGTATTCTGTGTTGTATTCATAAATAATAATAGTTGTGATGATTTTAATGTCATGATGATGCTGATGTAAATTTAACCTTACATACAAAATTTTGATCATTTCTATTATGATGTATTTCCGTGATTCCTATGATGATTAATATTTCCTATTAACAATTGAATAATCATTTACATATCTTTTAATTTAGGTATTAACGGAGTTATCAGTTCTGTTACTATTGAAGCAATTAATAATGGATATCGTGTTTTGGGATTCTTGGAAGGTTTTAATTATTTGATTGCTCAAGATGATTCTAAAATTGTTGAATTGACCATTGATGCAGTTTCTCGTATTCACTTTGAAGGTGGAAGTATTTTGAAGACTTCACGTGCTAATCCAACTAAGAAGGCTGAAGATTTGACCAAGTGTGTCAAACAATTACAAAAATTCAATGTTTCTCTTTTAGTTACAATTGGTGGTGATGATACTGCATTCAGTAGTATGAGTATTGCTAAGGCTGCTAATAATGAAATTCACGTTTGTCACGTTCCAAAGACTATTGATAACGATTTACCATTGCCATATGGTATTCCAACATTTGGTTATGAAACTGCTCGTGAATTTGGTGCTTCTGTTGTTCGTAGTTTAATGTCAGATGCTCAAACTGCTTCACGTTATTTCATTGTTGTTGCTATGGGTAGACAAGCTGGTCATTTGGCTTTGGGTATTGGTAAATCTGCTGGTGCTCATTTAACTTTAATTCCAGAAGAATTCACCAATGAAGCTGGTGAAATTCAAGTTACTTTTAAGAGAATTTGTGATCTTATTGAATCAAGTATTATTAAGAGATTAGCTTTGGGTAAAGATCATGGTGTCATTATCTTGGCTGAAGGTTTATTGGAATACATGTCAACTGAAGAATTGAAACAAGCATTCGGAAATCAATTGAAATATGATGCTCACGATCACATTATGTTGGCTGAATTGGATTTCGGACGTCTTGTTCGTGATGAAATGAGAGATCGTGTCTCTAAACGTGGATTGAAATTTGCTTTCACTGAAAAGAATTTGGGTTATGAATTGAGATGTGTTTCTCCAAATGCTTTTGATCGTGAATATACTCGTGATTTGGGTAATGGCGCTGCTCGTTATTTATTATCTGGTGGTAATGGTGCTTTGATTAGTGTTCAAGGTGATAAGATGGTTCCAATGAATTTCGAAGATTTGAAGAATCCAAAGACTGGTAAGACTCGTACTCGTCAAGTTGATATTAAGAGTGAAGGTTTCCAAGTTGCTAAGAGATATATGATTCGTTTGACTTCTAAGGATTTGAATGATCAAGAATTCCTTGCTCGTTTGGCTCAAGCTGCCAAGATGTCTGTAACTGAATTTGTTGAAACTTATGGATATTTGGTTCAATAATTTGAATAACTTGTAAATAATAATAATAATAACAATCAATAACATTTGAAACTCTCTTTTAATTCATAAATTGGTCAATCGATTAAGAACAATGAATCCAATTAAAAACGTTTTAAACAATTCAACAGTTAGAAAATTCCCGCCATCCCGCAACCAAACTTTTGAAAAAATAAAAAAATGCAAACAAACGAAGGCTCGGGATCAGAAATGTCTTCTTCCTCATCATCAACATCATCCGCTGCCCAACAACAACTGCAGCAACAAGAACAACAATATAACGAACAAGGTGAAGATTTTCCTTCTCTTTTTATTCGTGCTGCTTCCTTCTCCTCTTCATCAGAGTCTGACGACATAATTCCTAATCATCAACAACATACCACCCAACCAATCAAAACATATGAATCCAAGATTAATTATGAACATCAAATGGTAATTGATAATGAAGAATCGGAATTAAACTTATCGCCAAGGAGAAGTTCTAGAAAGAAAACGCCAAAAAAACAATTCAGTCCAACCCACAAAGAGCAATCTGATAAAAAAACTACACCTTCTAAAATACAGATTCCACCATCACCAATACAATCACAAGTTATTCAACATGATTATCCATTTGGAGAACCTTGGACACAAGAAGAACTTTCAACTTTTTTAGAAGGGTTCAACAAGTATAAAACTGATTGGGGTATGATCAAACCACTTTTACCAAGTAGAAGTGTTTCTATGATTAATTCACTTTACGAAACTCACAAAAGATTTATTGAAGCAGACTGTGGTTTAGATGTGAAAAAATTACAATTTCATGATATTCACTTGGATTACATATCATTCAAACAACAACAAATGATTCCATCTCCTCAACCACAACAATTCCAACAACTTCCACCACAACCTATTCCACCAAGAGCAAAGAATTCTGCTAGAAAACGTTTGCAAGATGAATTTGATGCCATCTCATCACCTAAGAAGAAAGGTTCACCAAGACAACGTTTTTCAAAAACCTCTAAAATAATACCTACCACCAGTAATTCAAATACCCTAATTCCAAACTTTAAAAGAAAACAAAAAATAATAATGGAACAATTACCACTTGAAGTAATTGAATCATTCCAATCAGATTCAGATACTGTAACATTAACAAGCTCTCAAAGTTCTCTTTCTGTTTCAAATACTGAAAGTCAACCAACTTCACCACCTCCACCACAATCCCTTCAATCTCCATTATCACCAACAAGTGATCTTTCCTCTTTCACAGCAGCTATTGGAATGTTATCACCTGATAGTAAAAAGAATTATGAAAAGAACAAAATGTTACCAATCAAACTAAGAAAGAAGGGTACTCACGGTAATCCTTTGCTAAAATATATTCAAATTGCTAATGGAGATCAAAATGATACAGAATTGTTAGAATCAGCTCAAAATGCTGGAATGAAAATTGTAAAAATACTATCAAGAAAGAAAACAAGAACATTTTGCTCAAGTGAATGGTTTTACCCAACGATAGACTTTGGATTTTTCGAAAAGAATGAATTTTTGGAATGCTTATCTTGCTTGGATGAACCATATAGAAATAGAAAATCCTTTAAAAAATCAGAACTTAAAGGTTTAAGAGCAGAAATGTGTAAAAAGTTTGGTAAACCAAGAAGATTTTCTCAAGCTTATTTAAAACAAGAAAGAGCCAAGCTGGAAATGAATAGAAGTTTTGCTAGAGAATACTATCAAAAGTTTAAACAAGTATATCAACTCTCTCAAGATAATCAACCATTTGTTCCTCCTCCAGTCATTATGGACTACCCACTTGTATCTGAACTTCAATTTATTGAAAGATTGGCTGCTCCATTTAAAAAGAACGATCAAGTTTTGGTTTTAAATCCAGAAACCCAACATGTACAACTTGCTACAATAATGGATGATATTCCTCATTCAAAAACAGATTATAGAGTTAAATTTTTATACACTAAAGAGGAACGTATAGTCCAAGATACAGAAATTATGCAATTAGGAACTGTTTCAGTATTACCAGTTCAAAGAAGAGTACCAGAAATGTTCAGACCTGTCATTCAAGATGGAATTCTCCCACCACAAACTCCACCAAGAAAAAGCAATTATAGTTTCCTCTCAGGTGATAATAATTTGAACAATAGTATGTTATCTGCATCCTCACCACATTCCCCATTCTTTTCGAATAATCATCCAATTTTCCAAAGTCCTCCGTCATCAGCCAATGATATTCATGATAATGGGGCTTCATTACAAACCCCAACAAAGAAACAAAAACTGGATGGTGGGTTAATGTCACCAAGTAATATATTTGCAAGTCCAAATATGGAGAGTCATGAATTTTCTAATCCATTATCCTCTCCACAACACGGATTTGCTCAAAATCAACCACCTCCAGTTATGGCTACTGGTATTGTTGATCTTTCAAATCCATCTCAAGAAGTTGTTAGAAATATTTCCAAATGCATATTTTTATTAAGAAAGAAACATGAACACATGGTATTATTTAAAAATTTGAATGAAAAGGCGAGACATGCCATGATGAAACACTCTTTAGCTATGGCCTCATCTAATACATCAGAAGAAGGATCAAGCTCTTCTGTGACTCCAATAATATTTCAAAAATCATTCTGTATTGAATATACCAAATTGGTACTTGATTTGAGTAAGATTAATAATGAATTGGAAGTTTTATTACCTCAAGTTAGAAGCTACAGTTCAACTCCAAATTATGCAACAACTAATTATCCTATCCATAGTATTTTTTCTCAATCAATCACAAAACAATCAACTTTCCTTTTCCAAAAACAAACAAATGGACCAGCAAGACAACAAATGTGTCAAGATATATTTGAGTCAAATAGAAATCATGCTAAAGATATTGTAAATTGTGTAATGGCTCAATTATTAACACAACTTCCATCCACTACCTCTGAAAATGGTAAAACACTTTCATCAAATGTTATACAAACATGTCATGGAAAGATTGGAGATTGTATTGCTTTACTATTGCATTTAAGAGCTTGTAGTATTAATCTTGGTATTTTAGAAAATAATGATATTGATCTAATGCTTGATGCTGGTTTAATGGCATTGAAAGAACCAAATCAATCTGATGAAATATCTCAATATATTACTTTCATCAAGGATACTTTCTTGAGGACAAGAAATGATGAACAATAAAAATTTGATGTCTTTTTAATTCTCTTCCCGCCATTTTAAAAAATAACTGTTTTCTAAATTACAACTTTCAGCGCCAAAATTTTAATTTAGCTTTAAAAAAAAATTAAGGGTCTGAATGTCATCATCATCTTCGTCAAGTAGAGAAGGGAAAATTAAGAAAAGCCTTCCACCTAAGATACACCAATCTCCAAATAGCAGCAGCAGTAGCAGTAGCAGCTATGGTAGTGATGATAGTTTTACTACAAATTCATCACTAGTAACTTCTAGTTTGGCTGCAGATTCGGAAGAAATTAATTATGCTGCTAATACATCAACAAGTCATTTGACAACAACACACCGTTCCGGAAGTGGATCTGATTCTGATTCTGAATTTCTACCATCTTCAAAACCACAAATTCCACCTTCAAATAAGAATATTTTCAATCCACCTTCATCAATATCATCTGAAAAACCACCTTTACATTATGTTCATAAGCATTACCATCACTATACTGATACAAGCCAAAATTCAAAATTATCTGGAGCTTCACAATCCTTGAGATCATCTGTTTCCACCTCAACTAGTTCTTCCTCAAAGATTCATCAAACAAATATTGATAGTATATCCTCATCATCTCTTTCTTCTTCTTCAAGGAGAATGGGACAAGGAGTAGCGCCACCATCTTCAACTTTATCAAGTACAATTCTTACAAATACCACGGCTGCCTCGCCACCAATGCAACACGACAGTAAAGCTATTTTGTCTGCTCTTCAGTCACTGCAAGAAAAGATCAAAACATTGCAAACAAGAGTTGATGAATTGGAAAGAGAAAAAGTTGAACAAAGGCATAGATATGAACAGGAACTGTTTTCACTCAAAATGAAGTTAGAAAGTGAAAGAGATTCCTACAAGGAACAATTGGATATCACTCGTACTGAATGTAAAAGATATAGTGATAAATTGACTGAAACTGAAAAGGAGCTAACTCAATGTAAAGATTCTAGAAGAGAAATCAGTACCAATAATAGTAAATCTCAACAGAGAACTCTTGAGCTTGAAAGAAAATCCAATACACTTGAAACAGAATTGCTAGATCTTAAAGAAAATCACTCTAGGTTGAATAATCTTTATGAACAATCTTTGAATAAGATTGAAGAACTCCAATCTAATTTGGTTAAATATCATAGAAGAAAGGAGAGATTAGAAGTTGAAAAGAAAGAGCTTGATACTGCTCTTAAGGAAATGATTGACCTTCACCAACAATTTGTTAATCAAACACTAGGAGAACAAACTACTCAAAACCATATGTCTTCATCTCAACACATTCATCATCAACAACAACAATATGTTTCAAATAATCATCACAATCATGTCCATAATTCAAACACTATCAAATCATCTCCTATGGTTCAACAACCAGCTATAATACCACAACAAACAATAAGCCCACCACCTAGATCATCCTCCCCAACAATGGATAAGAAAAAGAAGAAGTTAGCAAGCTTGGCACGTCCTAAATCTGCTGGTGTTCTCCAACCAACAATAAGCTCTTCAAGAAAGAAAAGAAGAGAACAAACTTCTAAGAGAATGACAGCTGTTCACTACTCAACCAATCAAATTCCTGTGAGTAGTTCCGCCCAACAACAACTACAACAACCATATGTTAATCAATCTGCTACAAATATAATTTCTAAGCTTTCCTTAAATAAGAACCTTCATGAGAGACTTAAAAAGTCCAATAACAATACTGCACCACCTTTCTTGCCTAATAGCTTTAACAGCAATTCTAGGACCTTCCACGCTGCAGGACAAGCTCAGAATCTTCTAAGCACAACAGTTGGAATTGGTAAAAAAGAATCCACAAATTATTACGGAGCCAACGAACACGCTCAGGACAGAGAGCATATTCAAGTTCTGAGAGAGGTTGATGCATTCAACAGTGGTGAAGAAATAAGGGATTGTATCGCTCAACTCGAAGAAGAATATTTACAATCTCAGGAACAGTACAAGCTCTACTTGAGTAAGCTGTCTGAACCAGAAGTGAATATTGATTTTGTCAAGGAACAACTCAAATATTTGACAGAGTCAATGGATAGAAAGAATAAGCAACTGAATACTTTGAAGACTTATCATTTGAGTGTTTGCGAAAGAATTCGAGATGCAACATCACCACCAAAAATTAGGGGTAGTGAAAAGAGAGTTCAAGCTCTTCGATTGTTTAATGACTTGAGAAAATTACAACAGCAAGGAACTGTTGCAAATCACTGCTAGTCAATGTATATCATCTATCAATGTTCAAGAGAGAACTTTAAATAAAGAAAGCATTTAAAAATTTACAACCTTGTAAATATTTCAATGGTTATCAAGTCTTCTATGCATTCAAGTATAGATGTAAAAACGTTCAGCAGCTGCTAACGTTTTTACATCTGTGTTGTATCTCCCATCCTTCTCTCTCACTATTATCTAATATCTGAAAAGGACATCAAAAGAGTCATTTTTGGCTCCTAGCCTTAGTTTTATTTAAAAAAATAGCTCTACTACAGCATCAGCAGGTTTTTTTGAGCACCAGCTACAACAAACTAGTACAAAACCTTCCTAACTTTCTCTAACTCTAAATTGTACAAAGTATGTAATATTATTAATTTAATAGTAGTGATTGTAATGATTATCTTTATATTCCGTTATTTAAATAATTTTGCACTTCATCTTTTTCATCATCATTAATACAACAACAATAATAATAACAATAACAACAATAATAACAAAACAATAGAATGTCTACTCCGACAATGACAGCAGAGTTTGACGATAGTCATTTAACTACGTTTAAATTTGGACAGTCTGATGCTCATATGCATGACTCACTCGATCCTTCCCAATGGAAAATAACAGATTTTGAATTGTTAGAAATTATTGGTACTGGTACTTTTGGTAGTGTTAGATTAGTTAAACATAAACATACACAACAATACTATGCTATGAAAATTATTAAAAAGTATGATGTAATTAGAATGAAACAAGTAGAACATATCATTAGTGAGAAGAATATTCTCTCTCAAGTTGATCATCCTTTCATTGTTAGACTTTATAGAACATTCCAAGATGAAAATTATTTATTCATGATTATGGAATATGTGTGCGGAGGTGAATTGTTTTCACATTTGAGACGTGTTGGTAAATTCCCTAATGATGTTGCAAAGTTTTATGCTGCTGAAATTATTTTAGCTATGGAATATCTTCATATGAAGAATATTGTTTATCGTGATTTGAAACCAGAAAATGTTTTATTAGATAATGATGGTCATGTAAAAATTACTGATTTTGGTTTTGCTAAGAAGGTTCTTGACCGTACGTGGACTTTATGTGGTACTCCTGAATATTTAGCGTAGGTTTTTATTAATCTCTTAATATTTAAATTACTCTTTAATCTCTTAATCATAATGATAATACTCTTAATCATTCTGATAATCTAAATCATCTAATTATTTTATTATGAATAGTCCTGAAATTATTCAATCTAAGGGTCATGGTAAAGCTGTTGACTGGTGGGCATTAGGTATTCTTATTTATGAAATGTTAGTTGGTTATCCACCATTCTTTGATGATTCACCTTTCAAAATTTATGAAAAGATTTTACAAGGAAAGGTTGAATTTCCAAGATTTATGGATCCAATGGCTCGTGATTTAATTAAACGTCTCTTAACTACAGATAAGATGAAACGTTTGGGTAATTTGAAAGGAGGTGCTGCTGATATTAAGGAACACAAATGGTTTAAGGGTGTTGATTGGGATGAATTATATAATAGACAAATTGCATCTCCAATTCCTGTCAAGATTAGTTTTGCAGGTGATTCTAGATACTTTGAAACTTATCCGGAATCTCAAGATCATTGTATTCACCACACTGGTACTCCACATCAACAATTATCTGCTGATGTTCAAGCTCTATTTGATGGTTTTTAATTTTTATTAAATGTATGTGAGAATACTGTATATACATCAAATAAAGTTATACATATTGTCACTGTACTTTTACTAAACAAGGTTTTAAACACTTGTTTCCATTCATTTGTAAATAATGATTGAATAGTTTTCAAATCAATAACAATGTCAATAAAACACCAAAATCTAATCCATTCACAACCCCAATCTAATTCAATTGGAATTCTAATGACTTGTTCCCTTGTTAATGATGGTGGTGAGGTTGGTGATGGTGATTCATCATGATTTTTATCATTATTCATTGTTTCATCTCCATTTGTTGTAGCAGTAGTAGTTGAATCATTTCCATTCACCGTCATTGTATCATCATTATTTTCATTATAATAAGAATTATCAAATTCAATTGACCATCTAGATCTAAAACCAATACTAAATAAATATAATTGTTCATAAAATTTTGAAGTCATGTAATAAAATAGAGTATTATAAAATTTTCCATACGATTGAAATAAACCTCCAACAGAATGTTCAGCAGTTGCAACTTGTAAATCAATGAAATAACGTAAAATTTTAGAAATTTGAACAAGAATATTTCTACACTTGTTAATTAAATGAATAATTCTATTCAATTTTGATAAATAATTCATATTATTAGAATTTTTATAATTATTTAAAATTCTCAATTCAGGTAAAAGTTCATTATCTAAAATAGGAGGTGGTGGTAATTCAACTTTAGAAAAAACTTCTTGTTGATCATAATATTCTTTCCATTTTTGTAAAAATACTTGTTGTGAATTTTCTGAAAAAGGAGTCCATAATAAACCTCTTTTTGTTAAAGAAATATTAAAATCATTTAATAAATTTGATCTAATTTGTAAACTATATCCTTTTATAGAAGTAGAAATTCCATAAATTAATTTTTTAAAATTATGAAAATTCATAATTGATAAACTTAAATATAAATATCTTGCTAAATAAGGAATATAAAATTTTCTTCTTAACATTAATTTAGTAATAAAATCTTTAATTTTCATTTGATATCCAAAATTAGTAGATAATTTATATTTACCAAAAATAAAACCAATATAATTAATTAAAATTAAATATAATTTTGATTTTTCATTAAAAGGTTTATGTAAATGTAATTTAAATATACCATATATATATTTCATATCTAAATATTTAAATAATTTTTTAAAATAATTTTTAAAATAATTTATATTTTTTTCATTTAATTTAATTTTATATTTAAATGTTTCTCTATTTGTATAATTTTCATTTCCAATATTAGAATTAAATGTATTATAAAAGGAAGTATATTGATTATATTCTTCTTCTTGTTCTCTTTGCATTTCTTCAATATCATCATCTTGATAATAAATATTATTTCCATCTTTGGTAATATTATATATATCATAATGATATTCACTTCCAATTGAATATCCTATTTTTTTATCTAATTGAATAAAACTTTATATATTTTATAATAATATTTAAAAATTATATTTAATTAATATTAAAATTATATTTAATTAATATTATATTTAAATTAAAAAAAAACATACTTTATAGGTATTTGTAAATTATGAGTAGGATAACATCTCATTGAAATATCAAATGTAGCATATTCTAAATCCCATGGATGTGTATCTTCATAAGAATCCCAATTTAATGATGCATTTAATTTATATATTTCCATTTTTTAATATTATTATTAATATTAATATATTATTATATTATTATTAGTATGTTATCAATTAGTTATATTGTTGAATTATGTTATTATATTGTTTGTTACATGAATTCCGAGAGTATGATCATTATTTGTTGTTGTTGTTGTTGTTGTTGTAAATATAACAATAGAAGTGATGTTATTTTTTTCACGTATTAATGAAGGCTTGTTTCTAATTCAACATTATTATCATCATAATAAAGTTTCAATGAATAATTTAAAGAAGAAATAAACATTGGAATTCAAATGTCCAAGTCTAGACTTGAGAATAATTGAATGGCCATTAGAAAGAATTTTCATGACATTATTCCCGCCATAAATTAAATCTACAGTTGTTTTATTCAAATATTAAAAAAAAAGTGTAAATAATTGAGGAGGGAAATTTTAAGAAAATAATAATAATGGACAATCAAGTGTTGTATTCAGCAGAACAAATTCAAATTCCCAATGATTTAGGAGAAGTTCTTAAACAATATACAAAGGATGCTATCAGAGCCTCACCAGCTGATTTGATCCGATGGAGTGCAAAGTAAGTATTATTATTCCATATAATCAATAATTTAGCCTTCCTTACATGAAACAGTTATTTTGCAACCAAGACTAATAAACCACTTCCATTCCCTAATGTTCCTCTCACTAACACTACCCCTACTAGTACTACTGCTCAAAGTAAATAATAGAAATATTAATAGCAAAATGACGTTTGTTGCCAACTCACACAATGTAAATATCTCGAAAACATCTTCCTAATAATATATCATTGCCCAACAATGCATATTGTTCAATACAGCAAATAACTGTAATTGTCTTGCAAAACACGTATTGGTGATTTCATCATTCAATTTGAAAATAAAAATAGCAAACAAAAAAATGAAAATATTTAAACTTTTAATTGTATTATTATTTTTGATTTCATCAATAGTACTTGTTGCTAATTGTTCAGATGCTACTTCAACTGCTGGTAGTGAAAATATAGAAATTAAAAGTAAATTAAATGATCAACAAAATACATATACACAAGATTCATTATTGGGAAATGGTATTTTAACTGGAATTAAAAAGGATGGAACAATTGATAGTATTATTGCTCAATATAAACAATTAGATAATGAATATATTAAATCTAATAATATTGATAATGGTGATGAAAAGAAGGAAGATATTACAATTGAAAATCCATCAGTAACAACTCCTACAACACCTACTACTACACCAACAACAACAACACCACCTATTGATATTACAACACCATCATTACCTAGTACTGTTAATAATCCAATTGATGAAAAACCAAAAGATATTGAATTGCCACCATTGGAAGAAAAGAAATCATCAACTGAATCATCAAAACCAACAGTTGATACTCCAACAACAACAACAAAAACAACAACAACTACTACTACAACTCCATTACAAGATAAACCTGGAAAGGAAGAAGAATCAGCTGCTGAACAAAAATTGAGAGAAGAAATTAGTAAACTTAAGGCTAAACTTGAAGAAATTCAAAAGAAGGAACAAGAAAAGTCAACACCAACAGCACCAATTGAAAAACAAAATAAGCCTATTACAATTGAAAATCCATCACCAGTAATAACTCCTACAACAACAACAACTCAACCAAAGGCTGAAAAATCAATTGAAACTACTAAACCATCTACAACTACTACTACTACACCTTCTAAACCATCTACAACTACAACTACAACTATTCCATCTAAAATTGATAATAAGAGTAGTACTCCAAGTAAACAGACAACATCATCTACTACTAGTAAAACATCGACAACAACAACAACTCCTAATACTACTACTAACAAATCAACAACAACAACTACACCAACAAACAAACAATCATCATCTACTACTAGTAGCAGTTCATCATCAACAAGTAAATCATCTTCCAAATCAAAGAATAAGTCTACAACAAGTAGTACAACAAGTAAGAATAAGACTAAACCATCAAGTACTTCTCCAACTACCAACAACAAACAATCATCATCTGCTAGTACTACTTCTACAACTCCGACAACAAAAACTCCAACAACAACAACAACTCCAAGTAACAAACAATCATACTACCACTGGTTCTACTACTACTACTTCCAATACTAATAAACCAAGTAGTACTACTTCTACAACAACAACTCCAAGTAACAAACAACCAATTCAACCTAATAAGAATACAGTTGTACGTCCAACACTTAAAGAAGAAGAAGAAAAGAATAATGGAATATCACAAGTATTTATATTTGGATTTGGTATAATTCTATTTTTAGTAATTATTGCAATTTTCTTTTTATTTATGAGAAAGAGAAAACCAACATTAAAATATGAACCAGTTTCACAATATGAAAATGATTCAATTCAAAATAATGATAATTCCATTGTTGAATTAGATGATAAACATAAAGTAATTAATGAACCTGTTGATTTGGAAATTTAAATAAATTCAAATATTATATATTACAATTATTATGTTATGTGTGTGTATTTATTATTATTATAAAGTATTATTAATGGAGTGTGTGTATATTACAGTTAATCTAATATCAATGATTCAATCAAATAATTACATAAAAAAATTAACAATAAAAAAAATGTCCAATCAACATGATTCCGATTCCAATTCATCATCATCATCATCTAAACAACAATTACATCATGATTCAAATAATTCAAATAATTCAAATAATTCAAATAATATAATACAAATAATAATAATTCAAATATAAAAAAAACAAGATTTGAACGTGAAATTGAATCATTAACAAAACAAACGATTGAATTAGAAAATGTAGAAAATAAATTAAAACAATTATTTCCACAAGAATATGCAATGAATAATTCAAACAAATTTGAAAATGATCAAATATTAAGACATCAAGATCCAACTGTTAAATATTTTACTTTAATTGGAGGTTCAATTGGTGCAATTTCAAGTGCTTATTTACTTTATCAACCAATTGATAAATTTGGAAGATTATTTTTTAAACAATTTACTTCAAATTATAGAATTAGATATTATTTTACAATTCCAACTTTTACTTTTTTAACAATTACTATAAGTGGTATTTTATCAGGTTTATATCCATATGGTACACATAGAATTATGAAATTTTTAAATAATCAATTTAATATTGATGTTAATGATAATTTTGATGATTTTTTAATTTCTGGTTTACCTTTAACTAAAAATGATTTACTTTCTCATTTAAATAAATTTAATAATAATAATAATAATAAATTAATTATTAATAATTTAATTATAATAAAATTAAAATTAAATTAATATTATGTTTAAAATTATTTTTATTTATTTAAATTAATATATTTAACATTTAATTCAATACCATTATTACTTTGATTTCTAAAAATGGAATTAAAATTATCATTTTTTAAATTATTTGAATAATCAAATGCAATTCCCATACTTTCAGTACTAAAAGTATAACCAAATTCTAATTGATCATAATCAGTAACTTTACATGATAAACATCCAATTTTTCTTTCATTTGTAAAATTAATTAAATTACCATAAATAGAAAATAAAGCTTGTTCCATTGGAATTTCAAATATTTTATCAACTAGATAATTTGACATTTGATTTAACATGATATCTTCACCAATTCCACTAAAATTACTTGCAATTTGTATAAAATTATCATTATCACTATCTTGTACATATTTAGTATCTGAATAACATCCACTTCCATATATAGAAGCTTCACCAATTCTACCTGAATATTTTAATGATATTCCACCACTACTAACACCTGATGATAATATTCCATTATAATATATTATACATCCAACTGTATCATAT